AGAATTCACATGTATGATTAGATAAGATAAGATAGTGGATTGAAAGGGCACTTGGCCAGACCTTCGAGCCTAGCTAGATTCCTCTCAATCCAACTATCAGCAACATCATGACCTTGACCCATTACTTGAGTATTATAATTGATCGTTCAAGCCTGTTCCTACATTAATATTAAAATAATGACTTTTTTAACGTTAATAATTTTAGGCTTCTTTAAGAAATTGTTTGATTTAAACGTTATTTTATCGTTACAAACGTAAAATAAAAATAAAAAGCTCTTAAATTTTAATGAAATAGCGTATATATCATTTTAAACGCTAACAATATAAGTAATTATTTCATTACCGTAATCTTGAAAAGGTTTATAAAGAGTTTTGAAGTATTTATAAGTAATAAAGGTGTTTTTGGTTTCAACACGCGTACTTTCTATGAAGTTTAATTTAAATAAAATATAGTTTTTAAGCTTAAATTTATAATTATATTTATTTAATTATCGTTATTATCAGTTTTTGTAAGAATCTAAGGCGCAGTGGTTTTGGGTGTATGTAGCTTGTTTAGTTGCTTATTTCGTGTCTACCTCGTACGGACGGATTTACAGCTAAATACTGGTGCGGCGCATCTATCTAGCGTAGCGACGGAGCGGTGGGGCAACCAACCCCTCATCCTAGTGCACGAACCACCTTGAGCCAACACCAAAAGCCACCCATATCCGACAGTTTTATTATTATTATTAATTTTATCGTTAATTGAAATAATTACGATAAAAATAACTTTATTTATTACGATTTGAATATATAATTCTTTTTTTAAACTTATCAATAATCTTTACGGTTTTTAACCTTTATAATTATTACGGTTATTATGATTTTAAGCGTTATGGCTGTGTTAATTATTATTTTATAGCTATTATTATTTTTATAATTATAATTATTATTGTTAATTTTACTATTATTATAACGTAGGTCACAAGCGAGCGGCAATTACAAGCGAGCGGCAACTTTTCACCAGCCACCCAACCTTTCAATCAAGGCTCCCAATTGATCAACCAACAATAATGGCATTGCGTTATAGCGAATCAGACTTACAGCTTGCTGTCCAAGCTAAGCGACGCGACCCTCATATTACCATTGGCAAGCTTTCTAAGACTTTCCATGTCCCATACAATACCTTGAAGGCTAGAATCGCCGGCCGACCATCACGACGCGATAGCATGCCTAATTCTTTGAAACTTACGGTTTCTGAAGAGAATGCCATTTGTTCCTTCATAATCGACCTGGATGCGCGAGCATTTCCGCCCCGGTACACTTATGTTGAAGATATGGCAAATCAATTGTTGGCGGCGCGCGGGGCTGGACGCGTTGGAAAGAACTGGACGGCGAACTTCATCAAACGTACACCAGGCCTCCGGACGCGTTTTCATCGGAGGATGGACTACGAGAGGGTCTTGAACGAAGATCCGGACGCGTATCGCGCGTGGTTTCGCCAAGTTGCGGCGGCAATCGCGAAACATGGTATCCAAGACGCGGATATTTACAACTTCGACGAGACTGGGTTTATGATGGGCATTATTGGGTCCGGTATGGTCATTACAAGCGCCGAAAGACGTGGTAGGCCTAGACAAGCCCAGCAAGGCAACAGGGAATGGTCTACAGCAATTTCTGCTGTCAATGCTGATGGTTGGGTGGTCCCGCCGTTCATCATTCTACAGGGCAAAACCCACCTCGCGTCATGGTATCGCGACACGACATTACCACGCGATTGGAAGGTGGCCGTGTCCGATAATGGGTGGACTACGAACGAGATTGGGTTGGAATGGATTCGGCATTTCGACAAGTATACCAGACCGCGTATGACTGCCGGTAAACGCCTCCTCATCCTAGATGGTCACGAAAGCCACCATTCCCAGATCTTTGAGAGATATTGCCAGAACAACAGCATTATTACCCTTTGTATGCCTGCCCACTCGTCACACAGGCTCCAGCCTTTAGATGTCAGTTGTTTTAGCCCGCTCAAACGAGCGTACGGTCGCATGATTGAGGATCTCATGCGGCGTCATATAACCCATGTTTCGAAGGAGGACTTCCTTGCAGCGTTTTGTGAAGCACACAACGCTGCTATGACGCCAGGGAACATTCGAGCAGGTTTCAGTGCCACTGGGCTTGTTCCTTTTGACCCAGAAAGTGTCATTTCGAAACTGGATGCTGTCGCTGTCGTACGAACACCGTCGCCAGACCCCAATCTGCCACCCACTACTTGGACTTCGAAGACGCCTACCACCATCAACGAAGCGGTCAACCAATTGGTTCATATCCGAAATCGAGTCAGAAACCACCAGGGAAGCTCACCTACATCAATAATTGATGCGTTGAGCTCGTTTTCAAAGGCTACATACGGTCTTATGCACAAGGTCGCTTTGGTTGATTCCCGGGTCCGCGAGCTAGAGGAGGCCAATCACCTACTAAGTAAACGCCGGAGGACAAAAAACAAACGTCTAGTGAAAGGAGGAGTACTTTCCGTTGAAAATGCAGTAGGTCTCCAGGCTGTAAAGGATAGTGGTGAGCTGGCAAGACAGGAAATGGGTGAAGGTAGTCGTCGTCCGAGGAGGGCGGCAGCGCGTGAGCGACGTTGTGACGTTTGCGGCAACACTGGCCATAATGCGCGAACTTGTACAATAGAGATAGAAACGTCTGAAGAAGAAGAATCCGATTGATTAGATTGAATTAAATGCGTTGTGGTCGAGTTATTTGACATGTTGGTTAGAAGATTGGTGAAAAGTTGCCGTTCGCTTGTAATTGCCGCTCGCTTGTGACCTACGTTATGACGTGTTATTTTATAGATTTAATTTTAAAACTTCTTAATAAATCATTAATTTAAAACTAAACTTTTATTTTTCTATAAAGTAAACAACATTTACTATAGTTTTATTTTTATTTTCTTTACCGGCGTTAATTAGAGAGTTCAACTTCGGTGTAGTGGCTTTGTTAAAGGCGTTTCCAATAGCTATAGCTGCTTTCTTGCTATTAAGATTCGATGGTTAACGCGATCTTAAACCTTATTAAGAGACAGCTATATATATATTTTGAGAATAAATTAAGCTTTTAACTAATAATAAGGTAATAAATGTTATTATCTTAATGAATAATATTTTTAATGCTTGTTATAAATACTGTAAATGATTACTCAAAGTTTGATTTAAAACTTAAATCTTTATTCAGTTTTATAGGAAAAAATTTATTGTACGTTAAATTTTCTAAGATTTTTCTTAAACCCTTTTTTTATATACGGCAAAAAAAAATAAAAAAAATTCGGTTTATTAAACGTTTTAAGCATTTTAAAGCTCTTTAAAGATCAAATATATGTATAAAAATTTATATTAATACGTTTTAATAATAAAAACTATAAAATAAACTCTGTTACGTTTTATTAGCCCTGTTCTTTTCAAATTAATATCGTGTAAGGCGAAAAAGAGCGCTTTTTTATAGCAAATTTAATTAAATAGATTTTTTAAAATATGCATTAAGACAAGGTTTAAAGTCGAATCGTTTTATTTAAGCTTGTATTTTTCTTGTACTTTTCAAGCCTTTTTTAACGTAATAATTTATCATTTTCTAACGGTAATAGAACTAAAAAAAAAAATATCAACTTTATTCAATAATAACGAAAAATAAGAAAAAATCGATGAGAAGTTATATAAACGATTAATTTTTATTTAATTTTTATTTATAATAAGGTTTTTAAACCGGATTGTTTTTAGTTTCTATTTTGCTAGGAATGCAGTTTTACTTTTTAAAAACTTATTAAAGGTTTTTCAGTTTTCAGTTTTAAGATTAAAGATTTAACAGTTTTTTTACGGTAGCGCGTATACCGTTGGTAATTACTTTACTTTTAACTTTTCGTTATAATTTAATAACGAAAAGGTTGATAATAATAATAAAAATTAAAGTTATAAAAAGTTAATAACATTCTGATTTTTTAAAAGTTAAGGCTTAATATATAATCTTCGTTATAACTAATATTAACGTTATTAATAGACAAACGTTATAATGTTCAATAAAACTGAATTATATACATATATATAAATATAAAAGTTACTTTTATCTTTTAATGGCTTTTAAGTTACCTTTTATTAATAACATTCTTATTAAATTTAAGGTTTATAGTACTTTTATAGAATATTTTAAGATTTTTAATCTTCTTAAGTTTATTAGTAAATCTACGCCGGATTTTCTTATTTATATACTTTACTTGCTTTTTCATAAGCTTAAACAAATCGTTTTTAACAATTATTTAATCGAATTAATTTTATAAGCATTTTTAAATAGTTATTTATTAGGTTAAAAAGTTAATATTTTTTCTGGTTATTTTTTAATTTATACCTTTTAAATAATTAATATAGTTTAAAAAGTTTTCAATAATTTGCCTTTACTTATTTTTGGATAATATGCGTTTATAATTTAAGTACGGTTTGTCAGTATTAAAAACGGTCGTAAGTGTAAGTATCTTTTAATCAATTATTAGTTAAAAGATGCTTTTATTAATTATTAATATCCGAATTAAAAAAAATATTGTTATAAAAACATTATTTATAAATTAATAAATATAGTATAAACGTAATAGCGTCATTATATTTAAAAAAGGTTTATCAATGGTTTGTTGGTGGTAAAATATACTTAAGTCCTTTATAGGTCCTTATACGACCCGATAGCGTGGCTGATCCCTACATACTGCTTACATAGACAGATGGATACTGCTCGCAATAAGTTTATATACCGTCCGATACTGTGAGATGAGAAATTTGGCGTCGAACATACAGTGCAATACGTGCTTCAGTCGGATCCTGCCAGCCCTGCCACCACACACTGTCGAGGCTTTGAGCATTGCGTAGCACATCAAGGAGTTGTCACGATCACGAGGTATTGTATTGCAGTTCACTGTGACTTAAGATGCAGGGAGATGGGAAAAGGGGAGCAGATATGATCGCCAGGGCATAATATTGTGTTATCTACGTAGGTAGGTAATTCATACACGTGCCAAGGGGTTGCGGCCCCAACGGACTTTCGGCTGCCGCCGCGTCGTCGCTTACAAGGGGGACCTCTACCGCATCATTACGTGGCTTCATCTCATCAGCCTCCTTTTGTTTGGCCTCGAGGGCCTCTTCATTCTTCTTGTGCTCCTCCAGCATCCGGTCTGCGTTGGCCTTTGATGCCTCGTAGAGCACACGCAGGCTCACCGCAGGAGGCTTGCCGCTCAGTGTCTGCGGCGGCAGGGAACGACGCAACAGTGGTGGTTGAGGACGAGTGACTGTGGGAATAGCCCTCAGACACCCCACCTTGTCCAGGGTACTTCGCAAGGTTTGAGGGACCTCCCCGTCGCAGGTGCGGTGCGTCATGAACGAGAACTTGATGATGTCGATGGCCATGGTCTTTTTGCCAGTCTTCATGCGCTTCGCAGGGGGTTGAGAGGGTCGTTCTTCGTGATGCTGCTGGACTCGAGCCTCTCTACGTGCTCGGTAAGAAATTTGATACCGCAGGCGGTTTGCGTCATTACATATACGAGCTCCTTGTGTCCAGCCGTTAGTGCACCTTCTTCCCACCGTTGCCATCAGCCTTGTGATACGACTCGTCATGCATTTGTTTCTTCCCGAAAACGGCGAGGTTCGTCGTCATGCACATTTCCTTAACGAAGACGGCGTGCTGTCTTCTCGTTGACGAACTTCACGATAGCCTCTTCGGTGTCGTTGTCGTTGGTCACCTTCAACGTGAAGGCAGGTAGATGTAGCATTCTTTACGTGCCGAGGGGTTTCGGCCGCAGCGGACTTCAACGCGAGACCACATTTTGCGTTTTTCTCCTTCCAGTCGGTCATCACCGACGACTCCTTTGTAGGCGGCCGTCTTGGCTAAAAATGGTACGCTTGGGTAGCCTGTGTGTTTGCCCGTTGTGCAAAGGACCACAACATCCTCAGTGAGGTAGGTGAAGTTTTGCGAAAAAACCTCATCCAGGTGCTCGCGATTAATAATGGAACTAGGGCCGTCTAACAGCAGGACTCGGGACCGAACAGATTCCGGCTCCGACTTGGTCAATACCCGGTGCAACTTGACAACCGGCGTACGCCCCCCGGGCCTGAACTCCCCAGCTGCAACCAGGGCCAGGAACCGATTTTTCCCATCTGTATCCCAGAACACAATTTTTGCGGCCGAGCTTTTGTTGCCCGCGGGCGGCGGGTTGATATGTGCGAAATAGACCTTTCCGACCTTGGGTTCGAAGGAGAGCGAGTTGAGAGAAGTCAAGATGGTGGGTGAGCAAGAAAGTTGGGTAACCGTGGTCCCTAAGGCAGAGCAAGTTGAGGAAAGGTAAGGCAGAGGCTCGAGCAGAGAATGCCAAAAAGAAATGGGTTAGGAGGTTATGTTGCAACCAATGCACAGGATGATCGTTCTGTGGTTGCGTTGAGGAAGAGGTGGTGGTGAGGTGCAGATGTCAAAGCCAGTCAGAACAGAGCTGGAAGGTGGTAAATGCATGCAGACGTGGCACGACTATTATGCAATATTTTTCAGGAGAGAAGAGATGCAGGTCTGCAAACAACTCCCGGCAGGAACAGTGTTCCGAAAGGCCATCCACCCAAAGGGATGTGCTGCGGCGACGAAGGCCAAGAACCGATTCTTTCCTTCTTTATCCCTGAAAACAAGTTTCGCTGCCGAGCTTCTCTTGCGTCGGTCTCTCTGCCTCTCATTTCGAGGTGGACCATCCGTGGATGTGGTTCCGCTGCTTTAAAGCGTCCTCTAGATTGCCCTCCTCGATTGCTTTGAGGACGTTCTTGCTGAGACACACGCTCTAGAGTGGTCATTGACAACTTTGGCCTTAGGTGGTCGGCCTCTAGAGTGAGCTGCCTTGGGCCTTCAAGTGGCGAGTTGATGTGAGTGAAGAGAAAATCTCTTAGGATTTGAAATCAAGTCATTGTTGTTATCTGAGGTTTATATAGCTAGAAGCTAGCTGTAGCAAGAAAATTAGTTATCTACCTCGGAACAACTAAGCGTCGTCGCATTGATGAATTATGAAATTTAGAAGGGATGAATAACGTGACCATTCCAGTGAGACGAGATTGGAAACGGACCCTCCGCGAGCCCTAGCCCTTGCTGGACCATAGAGTCAACCATGTATAACCCCTTCGTGTATATAAGACTTGTGAGAAGTTAGGGATTGGGATGTCTCAATGTAATGAGGCGTGATGGTCAGAGATGCTCATAATTCTGAATGAATGAATGAAATTTGTCTATCTATCGTACAAAATCCTGGGTTCTTTCACCCAAGTTAGCCCCTAAGTCCTCCACATCTCCTTCTGAATACGGGTACCCGCAGTGGCATTCCTTCCTTGAGCGTGATCTCGAGAAAGGCACACTGACATGGGAGTCCTTCGAGAAGGAGGTGATCAAGCGGTCCCGGCCTTGAGGAAAACGACCTGATCTCTCTCTTTTGATGCCATCAAGAGAAGAAGCAACGCCAAGATCGATTGCGCTCTTTGGGAGAAGAACCATCCAGCTAATTGGCCCTATTGCACGACTTGTAGCAAGCACCACTCTGGTGGAGAACCTCGATGCTTCAGAAAATCCACCCCGAATTGCGACCAGCCAGGAACTAAGGCGCACTGGGGACGCAGCACATGGTTACCATTAAAGGTGCCCACACGGGTCGTCACCCCAACGAACTGGAACTCGGGACCAAATGGCCCGGTTACCGTCGTCAAGCAGTTGGTTACGGACTACACCTCCATTGACTGCAGTCACTAAAGTGATATAGGCCTGCGCGGCTTGCGCGCAGTAGCTGCCGAATCTCCATTCTAGTTCCGTGGTGTCCGCGTTTTCTCGGCGTGTTATAACCTCGTCTGTAGCGTACGTAAACTTTGCTGAGGATATCGCGTCCAAGTGGTCGCGATTGATAAGAGTGCTCGGTCCTTTGATGATAAGTACTCGCGAGCGATCAGACTCTTCATGTGTCTTGGTCCGAATCCGATTCATTTCAGCCTTTAGTTGATAATCTCGGACCTGAAAGGCGCCTCTGGCGGAGAAGTCGATGAATCTGTCTTTCCTTCGACGGTCCACATCACGATCTTTGCGGCTGAAGTCGGTATGGTCGCCAAAGGACGGTTGATGTGGACGAAATACACTTTCCCGATGTTGCGGATAGGCTCGAGCAATTCGTGCACCGTACAATCTCCGGGTAGGCCTGTTACCCATAAGGAGGTACTCATATGGAGCGGTATTCCTACAGACTGGTTTAGAGGGTCTCCTGGGTTGCCCCTGTAGTTGGGGTTGAACCGCTCTTCGAATCGGCGGTGCGGAACGACGTATCTCTCCTGCGCCGGAGGAGCAGCCGCAGCGTCCAAGGCCTGGTGATTGCGTGAAATTGTATCAGGTGCATGGTATTCCTGAGGCGCCGGATTGAATGGCGTCGCACTCGGATTCAGCACGTTCGTCTGGAATGCCTGGTTGTTCTTCAGGATGACAGCTTCGATCGTGGCAGCTCGCTCTCCAATGTCCGTGGTGGCAATGGCCCGGTCCCTGATTGCAGATACCTGTTTCTCCATTAGATTCTTCCAAAAGTCCTCACTTATTATGAAAACACATACCTGTTGCTCTAGTACTCTCCGGCTGCGTTTTTGGAGCAATCCGTTAACGACGTATCGCGCGTACGGCTTATCTCCCTCGAGATCGGGAGAGGGGCTGCGGGATCCATTTGGATCCTATATGGCTGGGTCTACTTCTGGTGACCCCATATTGATGGACTGGGTGTTGGTATGTGGTAGGAGGTTGTATGGTGGATGTTGAAGATAGTAGACCACCAGTCAATTTGATGGTTTGGCAGGCGCCCGTGATGTGGCCTGGAGAGAAGACGAAGGAAAAAATTCAAGGGAGGGCCACTGCAATATTTGTACTGAGAGTAATGCTAGTTCTCGTGCATTGTTGGTTGCCCAGGACAATGTGACTGTAGCAACGAGACCACTGTTTGGGGCAACACAATGGCACATATAGTTCATGATCCAACTACCTATTGTCCAACCTCACCCCACCGGTGATATGAATGTGAAAGTTGCGCATTTGTTCGAATATGGGTCAAAGTGTGATATTTCTAATTCATATGATCGAGCACAGAGATGCCCCTTGCTCTCCTCATATACCCAATGCAAGGCCCCTTTCGACCAGATGTTTGGTGTGCTTCCCGTATATAGACAAGAGAAATCACCCCAAACTTGTTCTATGCAATCGTTTTACTGAGCCTACTAGAAGCTAAGCTGAGGCAGTCGTGCCCATTGTCTTTCAACGACTATGCACTTTTCCGTCTGGGGCGGTCTAGTCATATTCTGTATGGCTCATCGCATGCAAACCACGGACCTTGTTGAATCAGTTGAGCCTAACCTGACACATGTCCATCTTTACGTAGGGGCTCTGACGTGGAAAAAGCCTATAACGTTAGGGGTGGCCAGTGAAGTGGCCAGAACCTGTGGAAAGTAGGGCGTATGGGCAGCCCAACATGCAAGCCCGCACCGCAGCCACAACACCAGATGGTGGAAGGGTCCTCAGGCAGACATCGGGGATGTCGCTTTTGAGGATAGATCCGTCGTCATGAAAGTGTCTGTTGTCATACCAGGAACCAATATGAGGCAGTGCTCTTCGGGCCATGTTGAGCACTTCGACGCGCTTCTGACTGCACCATGTAACACACTGGGCTCTCTGAAGAGTCACTACTGCAATGCGTAGCAAAAAAGAAACCCAGAAAAGACACGACAAAACAAGACAAGACGAGGCCATACGCCTTGACCCTTATGGCCGGCCAGGACATCAAGCCTATCGAACGACGTCCTATCAATCACCCAGGGTCCTCATGGATCCCACACATCGTCGATACAAGGCATTGACCTCAGTGAAACAGGCACTTGAGAGTCGCGTGAAGGGTTCAAAATTACCTCGCGCTTGCCGGAGACCGACTGGGAATTATGGCCTTGCGAACAATCCATTCTGGCTGCACTTGCGGGGAAGGGGCTACGCGATAAAGAGGGCCATGCCGACTCTGTTGCGCCTCAGCGATGCTGCCGCCCGATAGCTGTAAGAAGGCTAACCCTTATATCGATGTGGCATCTGGCTGGCTGCTAGCCCTTGACGTGATATGGGACTCTACCCGGAGCCTTTATGCAGCAGCCATTTCGCGTCGCTTCCGATACTGATGTCTGTGGTGTGAATGTCTGTAGGCCTCTCTCCTCCCCCTCCTTTCTTTAACGGATCGCGAAGCATAGCCGGTACCTACGGTCCGGTTTATGGTTGGAGGAACATGCCCCTGAAATCGATATTCATGAATTACTACTTCGCGACTTTACGGATCGAAGCTGTAGCTACCTAGACATCAAGGTTTTTAATTGCCGTTGCCCGGGTGCACGACTAGATCCAGATCTGCTGCTTCCACGTTCACGCCATTGACCCCTTGCATGACCTTCGCTCACCGTGGCAGCAGCCTTGAACATGAAGCTTTTTACAACGACTACCCGTCTTCCACCAGACGACGGCCTAGCCCTTGATCTTCCCAAACACCCCAGCCAGAGTCGCGAACTTGATGGCCAGCGTATAAATAGGGTAAATCGCCAGAGTCCAAGTCTCCGGGCTCCACGCGCTCGTGTCAAGCACGGCAGGCCATCCGCGAGGGTCGCTCCGCGCTATTGTCGAGAAGAGCCCGGCCCAGTGGGTGAAGTCGGCCAGGATCAGGACGCCTATGTGCAGCTGCACGAGCCGCTTGTTCGGCGGCGAGGCGAGCAGGATGATGAGGCCGTAGAGCATCATGCTGAACAGGTAGCTTGCGGACAGCGACGGCATGAGCAGGGTTGGGGTTGGCAGGGGCCCGTTGGAGGCCGATAGCCCCAAGATGTCGTGGGAGGTGGCATATTGCATGAGACCGCCATACGTACTGTCAGGGCTGTCAGTTGCGAGTAACGCATTGAAGAGGAGCGCCGTACACGAGTACTGGTTCGAGGAAGAGGAAGAAAACCCGAGGGATGAGCGGGAGGAGGGATGCGTTCGTTTGTGCCATTTTGACGAGATGAATTAATCAGCTGACCGTGGTGGGAATTGATGTATGAGAAGAGCGTGAAGCCGCGACAGGTCTTGAATCAACGTGAGGTGCTTGTCGTTTGGGATAAAATTGGACCAGTCGAGCGGTGTTGGTTGCGGTTGGGGCGACCACAGCTCTTTATTTATGGCCATGGAGAAGCAAGGGGGTCAACAAGGGAGTCAGCACTAACGAACCAACCGACGGCGCGGTTGGGCTCTACGGCACAGACACGTTCACCGAGTCCCGCGGTCGTCAGTCATTTCGCGATCCAGTCGCGCGGTCAGGTGAACTGCAGGAGTTCGGGCATCTTGGCGGTCCAAGGTGGCCAGTGCCCAGGCGGCACAGATCTGGGTTATAACTTATGGGTGAAGGAATTGATTGCATTGGAACTGATCACGCGTCAAGGAGCTGAGCCTCGAGGGCTCCCTTCCCATTGTGACGATAGTCCCTACGGGGCCAACAGCCACGCCCGGCTGAGTCATCGTCTATTTCACGCCATGCGACAAATGGGCACGGCCCAGTTGGCACTTGAGGTTGGTCAGGTCAATCCTGGCTTTCCTGACTCAGAATCGCAAAGGTGTTGACAGAAGGCGATCTTTTGGAACTCTCTTGACCTCGCTGACCCTGAAGGATTCCGCGTTTCCGCTTTTGCTGCTTCTTGGGAAGAGTGGTTTTGTTGGGAGCCTCCGCAGCTTCGAATGGTGGAATTTCAAGGATGTCCGTGATGATAGCAAACGCATTCGCTTCTCCAAATTTGTTTAAGAGATCAGGCATGCCCTCAACTGTGGGCCATTCATCGATGGGAGGGAATGGGGCCATCTGTCCGCTCAGTTGCTGTATTTCCGCCGAGGTGTCCCGATCCAAGAAAGCGACGACATGCAGAACTTGTCTTAGCATCCGGAGAGAGTACAATGTGGCCTGAACTTGGGCCGTGAAATGTATCAGATCCCACGAGTACTCTTCTGTGTTTCCGAATGGGCCTGTCATCTGGTTGACGAGTTTGGCTGACAGAGATGATCGTTGTTCAGCAGCCGACCATTCAACTTCCTGGTAGACTGCGTATGCGAACCACCGCATTGCCGGCTCTGGAAAATTCTCGCCCAACTTGTTAAGGGTGTTTACCACAGACACACTGCGGGAGATCGTCTCGCCATAACCTGGAATATCAAGTTGCCTCCCCGCCAAAGCACTTGACGCGTCTAACATACGATACTCGATGATCTTGGCGGATTGGTGACGTGCAATCTTCTGCAAGATACAATATGTAACCTGGCGGATATCGGCGCTCAACGTCCAGCAGCTTTTCTGATCGCGGTTCTCTATCATGATTGGCAGGAACATGGCGAGATCCTCTGGGCCTCGTGAAGCTTTCTCCTCAGTTGAGCCGGGTACTGTGCCATTGCCTTCCATGAGCAGGGTTTGAATAACCACTTCTGATATTCTAGGGTCGAGAGTCGAAAGCACCCCGAGTACTGGGTGATCCGACGGGAGGTAATCCTTCATCTGATGCTCTTCCCTAAAGCCCCGGAATTCAGGTAAATCCACGGTGCCTTCATTCTTGGCCCTCCTCAAAGCTTCGCTAAAGGGGATATTGCCGTTGACCTTTTCAAAGGCAACCCGTGTCAGGCCGCCAACGTTGGTGATCCCTAGTTGGTTATTGATATCGTGGAAAGAGATCTTGCAAGCTGACATTCCGAGCTCCTTGGCGAAGCGATCGGTTGGGACAATATCCCCGAAGAAACATACGTTGCCGTTCTCACCGAGGTCCTGGATGAGCAGGTCCGAGTCACTCGTGAGTACGGTACCGCCCTTCTGCCGAACATCCTCGGCACAGAACAGGTCAGCTTCACCCGGTACTACCTGAATGAGAGGGCCCCAGTATTGACTGTTCCGAAGGGCTTCGATGGCGGCTGGGACCAAGAAAGGAGGTTTGGGTAGGTTTTCTGCTGCTGAGCGGCCGAAGGATTGAGTGAGCGATATCTCGGCCTTCAAGTCGGCAAAGGCATTCTCGGGCGAGCAAGGTGAGCCCACGGGGTGGGAAGCGACCAAATCCTTCATCTTCCGGGACTCTCCAAGCAGTCGTTCCTGCCGGACGGCCCACTTGCTTGGAGGCAGATAGCCATCGAAATATATGTTCCTCCTACGAAGCATTAGCACCAACGTGCAACAACGTATTATCTTGGTCCTTACACGTTTACGTTATGCCTTCGCAACTCATCGAGCCATCCGACAACCATGCGACCGAGCAGAGAATACGACGGGTGGCAGACGAAACCACAGCCAGCGGGTCGCTGCCTCAAACAGCCTGCCGATATCAAATGCACGAGTGCTGGTCCGTCGATGACAACGGTATCACCACTCAAAGATGAGAAGACTCCATACACCGAAACGGCTGGGCCGAAGCCTCGGATGCCCATGGACGCCTTGGAAATCAATGACTAAGGAGCCCCCTGACCGTCCGGGTACATGGCCACCGAGTGAAATCTGAGTCTTGTAACTTGAAGCGGAAGACCCGGGGCTGCTTGTGAGTCCAGGTTAGAAAGTGAACCAACGCCGTATGTGGTGAAGGAGAGTTGACATCCACCTTGTGACCTTGGGGTTCTGAAGATCTGAAGACTCAACCTTGACTCAAGAGCCGACTCGTTACAATTGAACCAATCAGAAACTGCTGCAGCAGAATTAGCTAATCAAACCCAGCTGCCAAGCCATCGGGTCACCACCAGGGCTGCAGGCCAATGGAAACAGCCCAACGTCACGCTAGGCTGCCGGCAGGCTAACGGCGGGGCAAGTGGCAGCTGCCAGCCAGGAAGTGCCAGTCCGTTTCCTCCCCTCATCAATTCTACCTTAAGGTAGGTAGGTACTTGTGTACCCGACTCCATGTTACCGTCTTTTCCACCAGCCCCCAGCCCGCCAGCCCGCTTGCCCGCGCACCTCGCGACCCACACCCCAACCTATCTCCCCCCAATCCGCTCAAAACTTTTCTTCACCTCTCATACCCTTCGCAAAATGAGAGGCACTCTGGTATTCTCGGGCACATCGTGTCCGGCGCTCACCGGCAAGATATGTGAGAACCTGGGCATGGCCCCGGCCGACGCCGTCCTGTCGCAGTTCTCCAATGTACGTCGGTTGTCCATCGTCCTTCGTCCTCTCTGCGCCAGCCGCGCTGCGTGCCGCCACATTACGCACCGGTCTACCTAGCACCAAACTCACAAACGAAGGGCGCCCCGAGAATGGTGTAGTAGACTGACTGCTTTCCCAGGGCGAAACGAGCGTTCGGATCCTGGCCAGCGTCCGTGACAAAGACGTCTTCGTCGTGCAGTCTGGTAGCCCTACCATCAATGACACTATCATGGAGTTGCTTATCATGATCTCCGCCTGCAAAGGTGGCTCAGCCAACAAGATCACTGGTAAGGGAGCCCGCGCGAGCCTCGAATTTGTGCTACGTCGTTGCTGACATACCTCTTCTTTGCCCCAGCTGTCCTACCATACTTTCCCTACAGTCGACAATGCAAGAAGAAAACCCATCGTGGTGCCATCACCGCCCGAATGCTTGCCAACTTGCTTCATGTTGCAGGAGTCAAGCATGTCATCACTGTCGACCTCCACGCTTCACAGATGCAGGGATTCTTCAAGTGTCCTGTCGACAACCTCCATGCCGAGCCTCTCATCGCACGGTGGATACGACTCAATATCCCGAACTGGCGGGAAGCCGTGGTCGTCTCCAAGAATGCTGGAGGAACAAAGAGGGTCACCTCATTGGCAGATGCGCTGAAGCTCAACTTCGGCATGGTTACTACAGACCGCAAGCGTGCCACCAACATGACAGCGAGCATGATCATGAACCAGCTCGACGGATGGGATAATCCGCCGGCATACGTCAACGGTGTTCAGCATGCGAGGACGTCGTCTGAGGACCTTGAACCCGAAGTCAATGGCTCGACGAGATCGTTTCGGAACGCAACCAATTCCCAAGGCTCTCCGAGACGCGCCGCCGCACCATCGCTGCGCACTAACAGTGCAACGCGGTCTCCGTACACACGTGCCTTTCATACTTCATCGCAAGCTTCCCCAATTGAAGAGGTTCTGGACGAGGAAGCGGAAGAGGAAGAGGAAGAAGAGGCACTGGAGTATAATGACCAACGCGCCCAAGAAGTCACCCAGGGACGGTGGATACAGGGACACGTAGTGCCCGATGACCATCCTTCTCCAGAGCAGTCGGAAGCCGATGGGAGTCAATCCTATCAAGGCGGCGATGATGATCCTATGGCAATGTCCCGTGCTTCCTCTTTCTTTGTGCCCGCGCCGTCTGCCCTGGGTGGAACGGCCGAAGCTGATGTATCATCAGACGAAGAAGAAGAAAAACTCCAAGATCCGAGTCTCGAGCACATGATCACGCTAGTCGGCGATGTTAAGGACCGCCCCGTCTTGATCGTTGATGACATGATCGATAAGGCTGGCTCCTGGATCGCTGCGGCCGAGACGGTCGTCAAGCGAGGCAAGGCCAAGAAGGTCTACTGCATGGCAACCCATGGCGTCTTTGGCGCCGATTGCCTTGAGCGGCTCCAAGAATGCGACTGCATTGATCAGATCATCGTAACCAACAGCTTCCCTATCCCCGACAAGCGAGCCCGGAACGCGAGTAAGTTGGTTCAACTAGACCTCTCATTCTTGCTGTCCGAAGCCATTCGACGAAACCACTATGGCGAGTCCATCTCGCCCTTGTTCCAGCACATGTTAGATTAGGCAGATGCGGAATGTTACGATTAGCACGAGTCAACAGAACCTGCCACGGCGGGCAGACGTGTACAACGTTTATGAGGCACGAAAGGTGAGATTGCGGACATTCAGCATGGCGTCTCGGCGGGGCAATGGCAAGGCTTCGAAAACAACGGATAGAGAAACCAAGGAACCAATTGAGATACCACGTTTCAGAGTGTCAGGTATGTCTTGGAGGTATCATGCTTTGAGATCTGATGTGTTAGATGATTCTTCCCACCTTTACCCCCCAACGGTGCCATCCTCGGATGGCCAGGGCCAGTACCCCTCTAGGGTTGGCCCTGAACGGAACGTTGGTAGAGCAAATGTCCTTCGGGATCACCATATGATAGGAGAAGGCCGGGCACTCAGATCTGCATTTGTAGGATCACGTCTTGACGGATGAGTGCTTGGCAAGAGAACCTTTCGTACATTTATCAATGCCTATACCCTTTTGCTTACAGCAGACCGGCTCTATCGGCCCTTGATCTCCACTAGTACCGATGGCCCAAAGTTCGATGCATTATATGACATCGTGTAATCACTTGTCGTCTGGCAGCTTCAGTCATCCTATGCCGCAAGGAGGCTTGTCTGGTTGTCAAGAGCAGTTACAGTCCTGGTGTCTTCTGGGAATGGAGTCTCACGACTTTCCTCAACTCATTATCAAGCACTGGCATCACTCCGTAGTAAACAATGGGATTTTATTTTGACAATCACTTTACCTGCCTGACACGCACAGTGTCTGCTTGCTTCCTTGCTGCGAAGCTCACCACGGTGACTCAGCTGGTGATGTCGTACGCGACGCGACTCATCAGGATAGCCGGCAGTTGGTGGGGATAGACGAGGGCTCGGGATGTGTGAACTCTGGCTGCTGCCCGTGGCCTCGGGGTCTCTTCTGCTGGTGTGTTGAGGGAGATCTGACTGCGTGAGCTATGTTGTAGTCAATTCGTCAGTCAGTTCGTCGATGATAGGGGCAGCCAGCGGAAGACCTCTTCCGGTGTCGTATGAAGCACTCGCACCACACGCTGGTGGAGGGAGTCTGCATGTTCCACGAGTATGATCCAGGATATACGAAAGTATACCGCTGGGGCGTGGGTGGTACCTTCATGTGTCTTCATGCGGTGGTATGTGGTCGTATGTCGAGCTGGATACTCTTGTGGCGTCGATATGGGTCGGGAAATGGGTGTCGGTCAAGTGAATTGGGGCATTGTGACTACAGGAAGAAAGGGAAACTGCGGAGCGCAATTTGCTGCCGACGGGGGTTCTATTCGAAGCTTCATCTGTGAATGTGAATCTCTGGAGGAGAAAGGGTACGGTAAGCCACCCGCCGCAGTTCTGCTTGCGCCAGAGGACTGTAGGGCGGTAATGGCGGTTGCGAAGCCTGGGTCATGGGATTGTCGAGGATGAGGTCTGTGTCGGTAAGTGCGAGTTCCACCCTGGGCCGATCTTTTGAATAGTGCGTCTTGCTCGCTCTTCCGTGCGACTGGCAATGTGAAGCATTTGACGCGTCGGCGGCAGAGTTGGTGGTGAGGCTGGCGGTGGGTGTGCTTTTCCCTTGAGCTCGCCTTCCGCCTCCATGGTTCAGGTAATCCATCCTGCTGCGGTGAGGGGCGGCAAGACGACGACGGGAATGAGAACTGCAGAGGGATTTTCGAGCGTGTGAGTAAGAGAAACCGACAGGAACCAGTTTTATACGGATGGAGATGAGGATGAAGATGAAGATGGAGACGAATGGTCGGAGTGGCAAGGAGGCTCGGGTAGGGTCTCTACCTACCTACATCCCCGGCTGTCCGGATATACACCGAACCCTCATAAGTCTCCGTACGCCACCCGTCCGTCTAGCAACAAACGGCGATAAGCATAATGGAATAACCATTGGAAATGGCGTTTCAAAGTAGAGCTGCTTATTCCTGTCTGCTTATGCCAGTGTTTCCAAACTTCTACGTATGATCTGGATTCTTACCAACATGTGTGTACGGAGACTTACGAGGGCTGAGTATACCGGCTGGCTGGCTGGATATACTCGCGTTTTAGGCAATAAAGAGGAGCACTGAGAAATTGCGTACCAGCACTGGCAGCAGTTACATTCGCCCTTCTTGTCTTCAAAGTAGCATCACGGCCTGCCATCACACCGGAGGAGGCAGCTCACGTCTTTGAGGAGAATCGAGGCATAATCGGGTGGAATGAACACCACAAGTACTTAGGTCACAGGTATAAGCACAAGTCCTGTGTTGGATTCATGCGTTTTATTCAAGTCCCTGGGTATCATTGGCAGGTGTCTATCGACCTACAAAACCGCCGCAGCGGCATCGTCGTGGGTGAGAAGCACCCTTGCCTTTCCTTCGCCATACTCATCAACATCATAATCATCCTAATTTATATTGAGTATGCAATTGTTCTGTTTCCATTTCCGTTTCCGTTCTTCTTGCCCGGTCAGGACTGGGGCCGGCTGCCCATGACGTCCCGAAGCTTGTCGACATTGCAGCCGTGGCTGCGGGGGATGGGCGCGGGGACTTCCTTGGTGAAGTCGTTGCGCCACGGGTGCGCGAGGCCGTCCTTCTTGGAGCCGGCTCGCGGCGCGTGGGTGAATTTGGCTGTGGCCTCCACGGTGACGCGTGGGTATCGGAACTCGTAGCCGTAGTAGTCGTTAGGAGTCATAGGCTGGAAGTGCGCGTCATTCGCGTAGAGCATGAATATATGACGCGAGTTGTACGCGCCTCGAACGCAGACCTCGCCACATTCCTTCTTATTGCTGTCGTAGCTGAATGTGACGAGGAAGATGTTGTAGAGGTCGGCGGTTATCTGCTCCATGATGCCGGGTGTCCAGGCATGGGGCATGTGCAACAGCTGCCAGAGGTTGGCCTTGAAGGGGGTTAGGCCGGTAACTGACGCGGTGCTGAAGAACTTCGAGTTCAACTTTTCAGCGTACAGGGCGTGCCGAGGGTGTCCCTCGTGGCTCAGGACCTGGTACATGAAGGCGAGGTGTTCTGCCTTGACGAGATCCCAGTGACGATCAGTTCCGTAGATATTGTACGAGACAGCGCGCCAGTAGCAATCTCCATCGGGCTTCTTGTGGTTGCCGAGGACCAGGAACTGGATGTCTTCGACCAGGGGGAAGCCTTCGATGATGCTGGAATGACTGTCTTGCAACCACTCCCGCTCGAAGCTCTCGTCCTCATCCATGATGAAACCGCCCCAGCTAGTTTCCTCAAGGATCCGTCCAATGCTGTTACGGATATCCCGTCGAGTGCGAGCGTCGATGTCGTGCAGGTAATCGTCGAGATGGAGGCGCAAGCCACCGTGAGGGGACGGAAGGCAACCAACGCGCTGAGATCGCGACTGGTAGCGCAACTCGTGGTCAGTCTGGTGGCCGGAACCAGAAGACGCCGCGTAACCATAGAAAGAAGGCCGCTCTCTTGAGTACTGAGGATAAGCCTGCTGCTGCTGCCGCGGTCTGTCCTCGATACGTGCCAGCACCTGGCCGTGAGTGCCCTCGGGAGGTCCCATCTCCCCGTAGTCGTAGGAGTTATCCTGCGTCATGGACAAGTATTCATCATCATCTTCTTCTTCAACGCTCTCGACTATGTAAGCACCATCGGGGCCGTATGCCATAGTCGCTCCTCCGACACGGTGAGAAGTAGTCTGATAGTTAAACCCATCTTCCATGTCGGAGTAGTCGGGAAGATCGAGGCCAGACGGGTCAACGGCGGCCGCGGAAGACGACGGCATGATGACCTGTGAAGTAGACTGAGCAGTAGACTGAGCAGTCAAGTGAGAGCCATGAGTAGCAAGAAGCTCGGTCTCCTCGTCGGAGTCATCAGGGATGATGATGGGGGAGTCCTTGATTGGGGTGAATGCGGACGAACCAGACCACTGCGTAGTAGATAGAGTCGCCATGCCAGAACCGCCGCCGACACGATAAGAATCACCATAGTCGCCGTCGAACTGAGGGACGAACAAGCTCTCATCCTCTTCATAATCATCGTAGCCCTCGTCGCCCTCGTAGCCCTCATTGTCTTCGTTGCCCTCATCGCTGTCATCACTGATACTGATGATCGTCGGAAGGCCGGCAGCATTGGGAGGAGTAGATTTGGGGGACTCCCGAATAGGGCGTGTCATGAAGCTGGAACGGTATCTGTTGCTCGTGCTTGCGCTGCTGGTAAACGAAGAAGGCTTCATGATTGCACTGACGGGTTTCTCCTTGGTGGGAGCTGGAGGCTGTCTAAGCCGGGTGCTGACCTTCTTGACACCACCCAGAGCCTGGGGTTTGATCAGGGAACGGGGTCGGCGGATGGTTCTCAGCTCGCGTCTCCAGAGCTCATAGTTGCTGACGGAAGGAGTAGGGAGCTTGGCCGTCTGAGTGCTCACATCGTAGCACCTGGTAGCGGAAGTCTGAGTGCCGAAAGAATAGCACTTCGTGGCGGGAGTTTGGTTCCATGTAGACCAGCATTCGGTAGCGGAAGTCTTAGTGCCGAAAGAATAGGACTCAGTGGCGGGAGTCTGAGTGCCGAAAGAATAGGACTCAGTGGCGGGAGTCTGAGTGCCGAAAGAATAGCACTTGGTGATAGGAGTCTGCGTGGGTACGTTGAAGTAGTCCACCTTTGGGTCTGCAGCAGTGTTGGTGTTGGCATCAGCATAGCGAGCACCGGTAGAAGTAGCATCGCGAGTTGAGCTGCTGGGAGGCGTGACGGGCATGACGTTGATGGGTCCGGTCTGAGAGCTAGCATTAGGCACGAACATCGTGTGTCCACCAGGCATAGCGAAGGCGACTCCAGTGACCTCGGTCATAGTAGACGCGTCGATGAAGGTCTTCACGACACCAGCAAGGGGGTCAGGGCTGAGGAAGACCGATCTGATCATGGACAGCTGCTCGGGGGTGCCGCGGTTGGTCGCCTTCGCGAACTCAACAAGGGATTCGACAAAGATCTCAATGGTCTCGGCGTCGATCCGTCCGTCCTCAGTGTAGTCCTTGATCTCCTTGGTGAACTTATGGATCTCGCCATGACAGTGAACTCTGTACGCGGCTCGTTTGGCCTCCTCCTCACGAACTTCCCGTTCGAGCTGTGCCATTTCTTCTTGCTGCTCGCGGATCACTCGATCGAGACGTTCCTGTTCCTTGATTCGCGCATGTTCGCGGTCCTTCGCATCGAGCTGCTTGAGCAACTCCTCGGTGAGAGTCATACCAGAAAGGTTGCCAGAAAGCGGCGAGCTACTGTCGGCGCGATGGATGAGATCCTTCTGCTGGCTCAAGTCGGCAGGAGCAGAGCGGCTGCGCTTGAGAGATCGGTCAGACGATGCGTCGAGGGAAGCTGCTTCCGCATCGCGCTTGCTGCCCAGAATGGGAGACGAGGCCGCGCTGGGGAAAGAGAAAGTGGGGAGCTCCATGTTGACTGGTTTCGGTTGGGACGAAAGGGTCAGTAAGATGGATGGGATGATTGATGAGTGCTGGTATGGACTGATGTTGGTCCAAAGCGATGCTGTACTAGGCGATGCGTGAGGCAGACAGTGCATGCACATCGACCAAAGGATGGACGAATTGGGCGTGCTGAGTGCAAAGACCAATGCTGAATATTGGAGATGCGTATGTATGCGAATTGCGGAAGCCGATATCAACCAGTGAGTATCGGGCAGAAAGGTGTCTGGAGGATTGTTCCAGGAAGGTTGTATGTGCTGGCGTGGACTAAAGTTGGTCCAAGTGAAGAAGGTGCGCGAGGTCAAAACTGGAAGTCGACAATCGATGTAAAAGATCGATGATAACAGTGTCGTGCAGAGAGAAGGAGCAGATACCAATTCCAATCAAAAAGTAATGACGAGAAAATGGTCGGAGGATTGATGGGTGCTGGCGTGGACTAGATTGGTCCGAATGCGAGTGGTGCGAAAGGGTCGTGGTAGATGCCTGAGGTTGAGACTCAATCTCAACGGTCGACGCGAAAAGGCGAAGAAAAAATTAGTGCCGAGGGCAGAGTGCAGCGTGCAGAGACCAATGTCTACCTGAAAATAATGAGTAGAAACGGTCGAAGAATTGATGTATGCTGGTGTGGACGAGGTTGGTCCAAATGCGAGTGGTGAGGAGAGGTCGCAGTAGATGCGCGACGGTAGAAGACTGAAAGTCAACGGTCGACGCGAGAAGGTCAATAAGGGTTGAGTGCTAAGGATAGAGTGCAGATTGTAGAGACCAATGTCGACCACAGAGCAGTGAGTAGAAATGGTCTAAGAATCGATGTGTGCTGGTTGGTCTAAATGCGAGTGATGCGCGACGGTAGGGACTGAAAGTTAACGGTTGACGCGTAAAGTGAAGAAAGATTGAGTGCAGAGGAGAGTGCAGATTGTAGAGATCAATGCCGACCAAGTAGTAGTGCGTAGAAGTGGTCGAGGAATTGATGTGTGCTGGTGCAGGACGAAAAACTGGTCCAGACGCGGGTGGTGGAAAGTAGCTCAGACCTTGTGAAAGATACGCGAGGCGGAAGATAAAGTTCCAACCGAGACAATTGAGGTGGGTTGTATGTGTGCAGAAACCAGAATGAACCAAAAGGTGTCAAATGAGACGTCAGTCGATTCGATTGCAGACGAAATGGTTGATCGAAGTGTCTGCGGAAGTTAGGTGAGGAAAGGAACTGTGGGAGGTCTGGGGCAGGGCGAGTAATCAATTTGTAGTTGAAAAGCCCGGCAAACAGTTGATGCCCGAAGGGACAATAAGGATGGAGAATTCTGCAGGTTCGGTTGTGCAGTGCATCCAATTGTGGAAAACCTCGAGGCATCAGTGCCGAGTCACCTTCAAGTCACCCAGGGAAATAGATTGAGAACTCAGGCACTAGAATCACAAAGCTCCCACTGGTACATGTCGGTGAGATCCGTTGTCAACATCAACTATCTATTGTCTACGCCGCTCGGGAACAAAGCTATAACTGATAATTGATCATTCCTCGAGCATGCCGGATACCTGCTTACATGATACACATGCGCTGATTGTACTAATTATACTTTAATAATTACGCCTTGCATGATGGCAATAGGATCAATACACAAGCTGCTGCACTTCACAATTGAACCCAAAGTCACCCCAGCTCCACTCAATTCAAACTCTAAATTCTGCAGATAGATGTTAATGCTGTCATCTCCCACTTATTGTCTTGTATCGGAATCGGAACCGTGTCATCTAGGTGGTGCACACCTGAATGGGGCCACTCAGGGCAAGCTCTGAACATGTCACCACCAAGTCAGACAACATTCCCTAGGCGACTAATTGATATTCAGTCCATAAGCTGCACATAAGGTCGAGACGCGGCATCTACTGGGAGAGGTGTGAGTTTCGCCTGAGGATATGAGCGGTTGGCAATGAGTAGCGGTCCGTGATTTTTTCGTGCTATAGGCAAAAACGAGGCTTTTGCTATCAGCCACCTTCAAACTAACGGATTGGGGTGGACACCGATATTGCAACCCTAATGATAACACTGCAAGTTTCCTCGCAATGCCGGAGGCGGGGTTGGGGTACGCGGGTAGGGGGTTAGGGGGGCCGGGGAGGATATAAGGCATACTATGAGCAAATTTTCCAACGCACCAGAAAGATTCACTGCAAGCCTGCAAAGGAAATCCCTGTAAAATCCTATCTGGCGGACTGGTTTACCAGTCTTGCTTGAGGAAAACTACCACATTTTCCGGAGGTTGCTGTAGTACTAGACTACACCTTTACAGCCCACGTCCATTAGGAGCCTTTCTTTTTGGTAAATCTCATTCTCAGGACGAGGTGGGTTCAAGCCTGAGCGGAGGCTATTCAAGTATTCCTTTGTCTTTGGACATATTTTTTTTATATTTTCCCAAATATGTAGACACGCCTCGCGGCCCAGTATCTTGAATTACGTCACAGCCCGTCAGTATCTTCTTGACCTCTGCATGCTGCGGCTGTCGGGCAAAGTTCTCCTCGAAAGCCGACGATACACGACGTGTTCCAAGCTGTCAGGGAACATCCAGACCTTCTGTCCATTGGGTCGCGAAAGCTATCCGCTTCCTACCAGTCTGTCATACTGCCCTGCACCAACTGTGTAGGGCCTCGAAGTCTTGACGAGTAAGGCGTGCGACAATTGCGCCGGAAAGCATGGTGTTTCCCCAACCAAGGCAACAATTCAACGCCCAGCGGGGCTCCCATGCGTGCCCTGTTGGCCGGACTCGAAGTTTCGCACTGCCAGTTACCTACTTCCTTTCGGCTGTGAGGTTGAACAAGCGGGAGTCAAATAGTTGGAAACAACCATGGTTCTGCACGCAACAGTCAACAGGTAGGTAGATCGGTAAAAAGGAACAAAGGAACAAAGGAACATCATCGTGACGAACTCAAGAGACGCAGTCTCGCTGCCCGGTAGGACTGGTAAACTGATCAAACTCATCACAATCAATTTGAACTCGTCACGAGCAGCCCACCCAGCGATCGAGATCACCAGCCACGACCGTCTACGGAAGCACGAAGAGGGCCAGCCTGGCATCGAATGCAGTATCCGAGCGATACGAAGCCACGCCCGCGAGCATGTACCGAGCTACACTCCACTAGCATCAGGCCAAAACCAGCGACCTGATGACAGCTCTCTACTCTGCAGTCGCTATGCATCTAGTGGCAGACGCTCCATGAACCTCTCTCCTATAAGACTGCCACCCGCTCATCGCTCGACCCTGAACCCCACGGCCCGGAAGACCTTCCAGTGCCAGCTCCTTCTCGACCTGAGTCTCCGATTCAACGCGTAGCACCGTACCACCAGCGGATCATGTAGAGCAGGACGTTATTGACCTCAGGTCAGAGAATGCCAGCGTGCTGATGTCTGCCCCAAGGTTCGCGATCTGACACCTTTTCGCTGGGTCAGGGGAGGTCGGGAACCGTAGCTGTCTCACAGATTGAGAACGTTCTGCATGGCCATCTATACTTCAGTTAAAAATGCACATGTACAATGACAGTCACTGGAAAGAGATTCAAGAAAAGACACGCTGTATGAACTTGATCAGTAAGTAACCATTGAGGTCGCCTGTATTGGCGACCTCATCACACTCTACCATAGGTATGCGACCACGCGGTTAGCATGTCACCAACGGTCACCACCATGCTTCTAGCGCGCCGATACTTGCATCAACTGTTGACAGAGCTGAATGGAGCCATCCTCATGTCTACCACAAAATTTCGAAACATCGGCGAGACCATTAGAGCCAGCGCTGTGAGCCCACATGATCCATCTATGGTACAGAGCAAGGATATTACAAACCACCGGTATTTTTCATCCGTCCGTCACCAACAATCTATCGGGTATCACGTAGTCTTTGTCTCGCGTTGATCGTCCAAACCCAAACGCGCAGCACGCACGGCCAGCTCGTTGTCGACATCATCATCGGAAAACAGGTGAGTTCCATGAATCTCCAGTAGCAGGTCGGCAAATTGCTTCTTCTCAATCTGCTCGTTGTGGATCTTCATGTCCTCCAGCAGGTCCTCCTGGCCTGTCTGGCCTGTCTGGCCGGCAGCTCGGATGGTCCTCCAGGCGCGGCGAAATTCATCGCGGATCGATACGATGCCATTGTGGGTGACAGTTCGGGCAACATTATGTTCAAGCTCGAACGGATCCTCAATAGCAAAGAGGTATCGATGTCGGACTTCTTTGAACTCTAGGGGCTTCGCCGGTTGTTCGGTGGGTGTCGGGACTTGCCCTGGCGGAGACAATGGTTGGTCAGGGTGTAAAGGGGTCGTCGCCTGCTGGGAAGCTATGCCGTCTGCTGGTGAGGCTTGCGGCACGGCGGCAGCTTGAAGTTCAGCTGGATTCGGCGGTGGTCCTGTCTGCAACTGCATGACGGTCTTCGCGCCCGTCCAGCCCTTTTCGGACTTGGAAAGCAGCCCCCCATAAGTCCTAAGACTCAGTACATCTCTGCCCCAGTCAAAGCCACGCTTCTGGATCGTGCTCATCATGTTGTTCTGAGCATAGTATTCGAAGAAACCTCGCAGCAGTGTGCCCATAGATTCTCTATTTTGATTCAGCTGGTTGCCCTGGGCGAGGTTTTTGATCGCTTGCTCGTCTCTCCAAAAGCGAACATTGCGTCCATTACATGTCGTGATGCCCTCAAGATCCTTAGATGGGAGGGCCGGATCAGGTGGTGCGAGTTGTTGCAGATTAGGACAGACGAACGGCTCCGTAATGTTCACAAGGTAATGCAGTACCATCAATACATATCCGTAGCTACTCAGCGTGCCGCGATATGGTGTATTGATGCCTCTTGCTTTCGCCCAATGCTTGACAAAAAGTACCAACGGTCTGACTCGCGGGTCAGTGTAAGAATAGCACCGTAGAAGCATGGTATTCTGAAGAGCGAGATGAGCCGAGAAGTTGATATCACACTGCACCCCGATACCGTTCTTGGGGAATTCTAGGCTATCGTGGTAACGGTCTTTCGGCTGGTTGGGTCCGAGTCTCGACGGGTCAGGCAAGTTTTGGACTTGCGCAACCGTAGCAGACGCACTATGCGTGACCGGGACGACCAAATCGAGGGGCGTAATGTCGGACCGCGATGGCATCACAAGGTCACGTCGCAGAACGGTTATATACTCTCGTATGGCCGGGATGTTCTCTTCACGGTACAGTGAGCTGTCAATGGCTCTCTCGTAGTCGGCAGCGAGATGAGCACTCTTGTGTTTTCTGGCTACTGTTCTCAGGCGCCGAGCATTCGCAGAAATCGTGAAATTGCGCACGTCTTCTCGCACTTGATCATCTCGGATACCCGATATATAGGATTCGATGATTTGAGGGCTGATATCGGTTTCAGCCGATGAGGGGTCATTGCCGCGCAGATCAGCCGCGATCCTGACTACTCGTGCGTGATACTGTGCTGCTGACTCATAGGGATCTTGTCGGAGACGCACGAGTTGAACGGACGGGATCTGGCGAAGACTTTCGACTGCGAGTTGGAGATCTCTGTTGAATACCAAAGGGGCAGCGCCGAATCGTTTCTTGTATTGCAGATCGTTCCACCATTGGACTGCCCTCTCAGACAACATACCTTGCCCAGACTTTGGAGTTGTTTCGCCTAGCGTTTTCGTTTGCCATAAGTGCACAAGTTCCTCGCCCTCTATCAAGGTGTAGGCGCCGAAGAGTGTCCGATAGTTTGGAAGCTGCAAAACGTCGCTGGGGAGAAAGGACGGATAAGCTGATATCCGATTTCTCATACGCTCGTCACGGAGTCCACGGATGAATGCCGCGGCAACGTCGTCGAGTAGCTTGAAGTCTGCCTCTGTGAAGCCACGCGAGTTGGACTGCGTGATATCGCGGCCACCCAAGCGACGGAGGAGTTTCTTCGCACTGCCGTAGTAACTACCCAAAGACTGATTTTCAGATTGTCTCAGCGAATTTAGGCTCTGAGGATGCGTGGGCTCCAACCCACTACCGGAAAGAGGTTGAGAGCTTGATAGCTGATCTCCCAATGTAGGTTGCGCTGTATCAACAGTACCAGGAAGAGTGGATGGTGTATCTCTGGAGGCATCTTGATCCTCTGGATCGTCCTCCTCTACATCCTTGTCATCGTCTTGCAACCCCCTTTCCCATTTAACACGCTCCTCTAGGAGGTCTTGTTGCAACTTGGGGCTGGGCTTCTCGCAGAGTTTGATAATGGGCACGCGAGTTTTGGTAAGAAGACGAGCTCCAAATCCAGCCCGGAGCAGAGCGCCCTCGATGAGGCGAGGAATTGGAGATTCCGAAGAGTCGGGCTGCAGTCGAGACATGGGTGTTAGGAGGCCGAGGTCCATATCAGCTGCCTTGGTGGCGAAACCAGACGCGAGGCTCCCAAAGCACTTCAGCTGTACGGTATGAGGTTGAAAGTCGTGTGCACCGTTCGTCTCGAACTCGTAGCGAGTTATGACATCTTGGCAGATGGCCTCGACATAACCACGAAAGTTTTCTTTTTCGGCGATCTCGCTGGGTGCGATCTCGGCTCCTGCGATCACCACGTGACAAAGCCTCTCAAGCAGCCCAGATTGGCTCCCGAGCTGCTCGGCGCTGAAGGTGAATTGACGGTGACCACCGGGTTGGTAAAGATTAGGTCGAGTATTGCGCCCGCGGGAGGGAAAGGCATCTGCCGAGACAACGTTGACACCTCTCGAGAATTTATCGGAATTAGTGGGTTGCTGACGTCTCCAGTCTTTACCTTGCTCCGTATGGGAGGGTACAAGCCCTTGAAAGCCTCCTCCCTGATGGTGCCGCTGAGTCGGGAAGGGAGGAGCATTCATCGTCTGAGCGCGATCTTGGAATCCGCCTCGGTGTCCTACTGATTGCGAGTGAAAAGCATTCTGTGGTGGGTTGCCCTGTCGAGGTTGGGGATTGGTGAACTGCTGGGGATTCATGTATGTCCGCGCATGGCTAGGCGCCGGCACTCTCGTGGCAATAGGTATCGATAGCTGCGCATTCATCTGCCGCCGTTGAGCTTGATTTGGGCGCTTCTTAGCAGCAACCTTATGAGGAGCGTGCGACTGCGCCGGCGATGTATGATGGCCTGCGAGGTCAGGTTGGGCGGGGAGGGTATTTGCTGAAGACAAGCCCCCAGTCGATGTAGACATATCAGGGGTGGTGGCGTCTGGGGCAGCTCCTGGATGGCCGTTGGTGAGGATGATATTGCGCATGTGGTCCTCCAAAGGGCCGTTGCCGGCTTGGAAGGTCTGCATGGTCGCTGGTTATGAGGATAACACCAAGAGACAGGTAGAACAGTTGTGGATGGGGGCAAGCCCGAACAGGGTTGCGTGGCTTGTGTCTCGAACCTGGGGACTGAGTGAAGCCTCAATTGCCCGTCAGAGATTCATCAAGCAAACCTTCGCTTGTAGTCGCATGAGCCACGGGTAATGCCCTGGGCTGTTGATATGATCAGAACAGAAACGGTGCAGATGTCGTGTGTGACGAGACGTAAGATCTGTGAGACGACTGGCCCAACTTTGGTTAACCCCAGGCTTGACCAGCAAACACAGGACTGGTCCGAGGTGAATATTGTATACCTAACCGAACAGAAGGTTCTCCAACTCTGCATGGCGCTCCCGTCAATGGTCATGCGATCGTAGCGTGAAGGCCCACCCCAACTGAGCGAACGAGGGTGAGTGTGTGGATCGCAGGATACAGACGGGATGTCAGAGGTGCGGGCAGTGGAAGAAGTATCGTGAGAAGTGAGAATCGCGTCAATGGAATGGAAGGAAGACACCGGATCAACCATCCAAGTCTGACTGACGAAGTTCCTGTGCAAGGTAAGGGACGTACCTATGAGAAAGTTGAAGAGTGCACAAGATGTGCGAGGCTCTTCTTGCGATCAATCACGGGGCGTTGATTGGTGAAAATCCCAAGCTGCCAGCCTGCCAGCCAGCCGCAGGAGCTGCTGGAGGAGCTACCACTAGGAAGGGGAGCTCCTGCTGTGGTCCACTGGCATGACTGGAGTTTTCAAGGCTGAGCTTGGGGTACATGCAGTACTTGCCTCTAGCTCAAGCTGAAGTACTGGCATCTGTATTTGCCTGAGAGTCACTGCAAGTATTCCTCGACGGTACCCATCAGAGGGATGTTCATGACGTAATAGGTACTGCCGAATCCCGCGCGAGTTCAAGCTGCCAGGGAGAAGATTCCATTGGATTGATAGCAGCACACCCCTACAGTACCACAACTTGAGCCGCCCCAATGCGCCACTAGGCCGCTGCGGGTCTTTGTGCCTGCCCTGTGCCCGTTCATAGGTCGTCGCCTTTGTCACCAATCCGTCACGTCCATTCTTCTCCATCCTCCATTCTCAGTCGTCACCACGACCTCGTCGTCTGCAGCCGTCGCTGCATTCGTCTATCCAGATCAACCGTTCAACACCCATCTTCAAGCATTTCCAATCTTCATTGTCTACTTGCATGCGCTAATCGTGCCGGGAGTCATCCCACCCATTCTTGCAACTGCCTGCATTCTCAAGCTCCTGCGTCTGACAGCGCGCGCGAACCCGTGCGCCGACCCTCGCAACACCATCTTCCCCGTACCGTCGGTGACTTGCCTAAACACGCCGCTGCCCACGACTATATGCAGCCCGAAGATTAGTAGAGCGGTGGCTTGGGCCTTTCGTCGATACTGAAGACTTTGCGTTATCTCGCGATGAGTGCGTCACCCTCCGGTGGCCCTGGCCCGAATGGTCAGAGACCAACTCCTCCTCCTGGCGCGCCGTCTCTGCGCAGGCTGCGCAAGCCAGTCAACCCTCTCGTTGCGCCCAGAAGACCCGTGAAGCGGCCTGTTGCCCCGAAACCTGCCCCTCTCGACAAGGGTTCTTTGACCGACAAGAGAGGTGGAAAGTCTAAGCAACCCGAACCTCCTTCGAAACCAGGCCCAACCTTTGATCACCTGCGCAGACAGAACGATGGATGGTCGAGGCCCAAACCGCCCGGGGCTGTCGAGTATCCTCTGTTCATCACCAAGAAGGATCTGAAGGGAGGCCTTCGTTTCCACATCATGAGATTTGCACCTTCCAAGGGTTCAACTGACGATATCGATCCGACAAACCAGCAAAAGTTCACTCGCCCCGTTACGCTGCATCGACGCGACCCGAGGCAACCGCCGCCGGGTCGTGAGGTCAAGGAAGAAGCCCCCGAGCAGCCCCCGGCCAATGCGGAGGATGAGGAAAAGCTCGCAAAGCAGAAGGCCGAGAGAGATGCCCAGCGGGCCTTGGACGATGCGCAAAAGGCCCCTGTCACCAAGGAGCTTGCGCTCAAGCGACAGCAGGGCAAGCAGAAGGAGCAGAAGCCTTTTGTGCAAGTTAACTATCAGGCGCGCACCGAGAAGCAGAAGAAGGAGCAAGAGATCAGATATGTAGAAGCTCTACCTTGGCACTTGGAGGATGCCGACGGCAAGAACGTGTGGGTTGGACAATACGAGGCACCGCTGTCCGAGTCAAAGGTGGCCTTGATGATCCACAATGGAGGCTTCCGCATGGTACCTCTGGAGAAGTGGTACAAGTTCACGCCAAAGCGAGGAGCATTCAATCACATGAGTATCGAGGAGGCAGAGAAGGCCATGAGCAGAAAGACCGCTCCCGCGCGCTGGGCCATAAGAGAAACAGACCGGAAGAATGCGGAACTTGCTATGGAAGAATCACGAAAGATTGTCAACGGGCGAGCGGCTATCAAACAAGAGAGCAACACGTTCCAGCAGTCTTCTCGTGGAGACAAAATGGACCACGACACCCTCGACCTGTCTGGGGATGAATTCCAGGATGATGACGAGACCGCAGGCTTCGAACCTGACCGGGATGAAGAGGTCAAGGATAGTAAGGAAAGAGTCCGTCGTGAACAGCTTGGAGCGAACTTGTTCGGTGATGCCGATGAAAACAAGGTCGAGAAGGAAGAGGCTTCTGTGAAAAAAGAAGAGGAAGAGCGAAAGGTTCTCGGCAAATCACTCAAGAAGGCTCTCAAGAAGCGCGATAAGCAATTCCAATACGACAGCGATTCGGATTCGAACCATGACCCTTTTGCTTCGTCGTCGGTAGGTGACCTTGCATTCGTAAATGGTCTATCATTGACTAACAGGGACACAGAGCGAGTCTGACTCCGACTCCGAGAGGGAAAGAGAGAAGGAGAAAGAAAAAGAAGAGGATAAGAAAGGCGATAAGGGGGCATCTTCTAAGGGAAACAACACCCCTCAAGGCAAGAAGGCAGCTGCCGAAGCAGCAAAGAAAACCAAGTCTCTCAAGCGGGCCGGATCTCCAATGGTCTCGGATTCTAGTGGCGCCGAGTCTACCCGCAAGAAGAAGAAGCTGGAGACTGGTGCATCCATGGCCGGAAGCCGTGGCAATACTCCTTTGCCCGCAAACCAACGCATCCGCTCTGGCGCTGGCTCAACTAGCGATGGCGAGGCTACGGCTGGTGAGATGTCCGATGGTGCAGGCGGCAAGAAGAAGAAGAAGCGGCCGGTGCTGGGAGCGAGCGCACGCGGCACTCCTTCGGGATCACGAGCTGGTAGTCCCGTTGCGCCTCATGGCAGCAATGTGGTCGGGAGCAAGCCCACGACATCGTCTGCCCGGGCGGCCTCTCCTGGCTCGCCGGCTCAGGGTCAGAGTAAGGAAGTGATTCACCCGATCTCTTCACAGGAGATTATCGATGCGATGCCGCCTCATCCTCAAGGGATCTCTGTCGGTCAGCTGCTCAAGAAATTTGAGCACCGTTTAGAGAAACCTGGATTTCCGACCAGGAAGTCGTGGCTGGATCAGGTTAAGATGTGTACAGCTTGGGACAAGACCCAGAAGCTGTTGCGCCGCAAAGCTTAGAACGCGGCCTCTACTGGCTCGCCGGCTCATGGTCAGCATAAGGGACTGGTTCGCCGGATCTCTTCACAGGAGATTATTGATGCGATGCCGCCTTATCCTCAAGCGATCTCCGTCGGTCTGCTGCTCAACAAATTTGAGCATCGTTTAAACAAACCTGGATTTCCGACCAGGAAGTCGTTGCTGCATCAGATTGACATGTGCCCGGGCATAGGTTTGGACAAGACCCGGAAGCTGTTGTGCCGCAAAGTTTGAAATGGAACCGGCCCAGCACACTATTATCTTGCGATTAGACTTTAGTTCGGCAAGATCGACCTCTAGCTAAACACGGCATCCGTTAGTTCCACTGGGCAATCGATTCACTCCCCGTATTCCTTGTTCGGTTCAACCTAACACTGCTCTATTAGACCAGAGCCGTCTTCTGGCTCAGCGTGCGACTGACCTGGTGAAACGCCGTCGTCTTCTGGCTCAGTCCAAGACCAGAAGGACGGAACAGGATTGTCTTCCGATCCAACATATCAATCTACGCCAGAGCAGATTCATCGTCTGCAGCAAGCTTATGATGTCCTGAAGGAACAGGTTCGTTAGGTGACTCAACGTTCGAGGTTCTGGGTGAATAGTCTTTCTGCGGACCCGGGCACCCAGTTTCACATCGCAACAAGTCAGGCGACCCATCTCTCCACGGTCGTTTTCTTGAGAATATCCGACCGTCTCGACACTGGAGATCCCATGGTTATACGTCTCAAGGATTTTCAACTTCCTCGTTGGGACACCTCCCGAGTTGGGAAAGAAAGTGGCGGCGTACTCAGCAACAAGTGAGAACATACATAGTTAATACACTTGCGTTTGCATAAAAATTCTGGTCAGATAATGTATCTGATGCTTCATTGTGACCGGTGAAGATGATATGCTCGTGTTCAGTGTCTATGGGTATATTGACAGATCGTCACTCGTCTATCTGCCACGAGTACTCTAGACCCTTGTTCCTCTCACGACGGTTGATGGCCTTGAACCGCTCAGCCTCAAACCCATTACTCCTATCGACACCATCCCACCGGTACCCCGGCCGTATCTGATACCGATTCGGCGCCCACGCACCCTGATATATCGGCCGTCCCTTGATCTTCTTCCCTCCAGACCCCTTCCCTCCTCCTCCTCCCCCAGCAGCACCGACAGTCCGGCCATCGTTCTGCCCCACGAACGCCACCATCGTGTCTCCCCAGCGCACCTTGCCCTTCATCTCGGCGTTCATCTCCTCGTCGTCCGCGCCGCGCGCCACGGCCATCGTCTTGGCGTCCAGCAGGTCCTCGCGCCTCCGGCGAGACGCCTCGATCTGCACCTCGCCCTTGAGCGCCTCCTGCGCGTCCCGCTCCTTCTTGGCCGCCTCCTCGGCCTCGCGCCGCAGCTCCGCCCGCTTCATGCTCACGTCTACCCGCCGGCCCGTCGCGTCGCGATAGATCGTCTCGGCCTCCTTGTGGCCCTTGCCGCCCGTCTCGGTCTCGAACTCGGCGCGCTCGCGCCGCCGGCGTGCCTCCAGCTGTGCATTCACGGTAGCGCCCGTTTGCAGACCTGCGAACGTGCCGTCGGACATCATGACCGCGGCGGCGGCGTCGTCCGCGTCGTCCGCGGCTTTGGTCTCGGCCGCGGCTGAGGCGAGGATCGCGTTGGCGTCCTTGGCGGACTGATCTTGTTCTGGGTTTGTTGCGTTCTGGGATCGTATGTCGCCGGGCTTGATCGAGCCCCCGCCCAACACCTTCCAACTCGACTTCTTCGCCTTGCGGAACTCGGCGCTGGTGCCGGTGACCATGGCGGGGCCGCCCTCCTCGTCGTCGTCGCGGCCCGAGGCGCGCGTCCAGCCCGCGTCGTCGTCGTCGGCTATTATTAGGCCGGTTGAGACGTCGCCTTGCTTGCGCTTGCGCTTCTTGGTCGGCTTCGGGTCCGCGGTCAGGTAGTGTGTTGCGAGGTAGCTGGAGAGGTCGGAAGGCATGATGGCGGGTTCGAAGGGTCTGGGGATGGGGGGTGTTTCGTGGTGCGCGTTCGCTGCTCTTGCAGAGGTTATGGTTTGACCATGGAGACCAGGTATTCTTGCAGTGCAGATAAGCGTCGCTAGTGAGGTGTGACGATTATTTGGTGTTAACGCGTTTGGTGTAATCGTAAGTTCACTGATGATGCAGTCGGACTTTGGAACATTTTGGAGTTCATTGTTGGATAAGGCTCGATAAGCAGGGATCAATATCTCGCCTAGTGCATAATACGCTTAACAGCATACACTATCCACATCGTCCCGCCCCCCTTAATCAGGGGCAACTAGAAAACCCATCGGTTGACTAATCCACCTCTTATTGCACTCTATCTTTCTAGGCCTCTAACTCACTTCACAAATGGTAGTACGGTCACAGCTACCAGTATCATCACATGTAGATTGGGAAGCGTTTGCTGGGCGAAGGCTCATGTTGGCGTTCTCAAGTTTTAGACCGCAACAAGCATCTCACTCAGTCTGATGTAGTTTGGGAGTTCTAACAATACAGTCGCAGAATATACCCTTGAGTTGGGCACTGAGACTAGATTCTATTGCTGGATTCCATCAGGATAACTAGGGTGTTTGGTAAAACCTCGGCATATATCGTCCCTAACTCTGCATTTGTTCCGTACAGAACCATGCTGCATTGACAGCTACTTCCCCAGGTTTGCTGAACCTGATGCCTTGCGAAGCGGTTTGTGCACGTGCCCTGCAAGGCCAGCCACCTTTTAGCAAGTACTGCAATCTTGTTGTACGTTTGGCTTGACTGCGGCACAAATACCTTGGGCCATCATCAAGTTGATTGGGGTCAAGTCCATCCATGGCAATCCACCTGAGCCCTACACACCTGACTCTTTGCACAAACCAAAGTGATCTCTTGGGTATTATAAATGGACATTGTCACATATTCAAGCCTCCATCATTGATCATTACTTTGAGCTCCAAGCAGCAACCTCCTTCTGGGCACGATCGATCCATTCCATATATGATATATCATTCACAATCATGCCTTATAATTCAATCCAAAGTATGAGGTGACGGGAGCTGTCACAACTGCGAACAGTTGTCCAGACACTTTCCACCTTATGTCGTTCCACTCAATCTTGCGCATTAGCTTTGCATCGCTCACCACCGTGACAGCTGAGAACCACGGGAGAATAGGAACATACATATCCTACTCTTCATAGTATATCGGTCTTGTCCAGAAGATGACGCAGGCGCTTCAATGGCGATGAAAAATAGGCCACTTTCCTTGCTTTATTTTCTATAATATTATTGTAATCAAAGCATGTCTCAGCACGTTCCCATCAGCGACACAGCATACAGCAACACAAAGCATACAGCAACACAACACCTAGCAGACACACAGGCATTGTGAACGTACCACTTCTCTAGCCTTCTTTGACCTTCTTCATCAAGCTGCCATCATCTAGCAAAACCCTGCTGGTGTTCACGACCCTAAGTCCCTCTCAATATCGTGGGAAGAGAACCTGATTCGTCTACAGTCCCTGGAAGAGCTTGCCACCCCTCTCCAAGTAGAGGTGCTTCATCTCGGCGCGGGCTATGCTCGCAGTAACCCTCACAACTGATTCGTGTAGTGGTAAACTGTCTACAAGTGCGAGGAATCAACACGGCGGTCCTCTACCAGCGGCAAAGCAAAGACGAACGTGGGACAGTAGCAAAGGCCTTCTCCGACCCCCAATCGGGTGTGGGAGCGCTTGCTACACGACTAGAGGACACGCAACGAGAGCCGATGACTGTCGCGACCAAGCATTACCGAGTAAGTTGATACAAGGTGCCCAACGTAGTTCTAGCATACATACTAATAAGCCTTGCACCAGCCGTCATAGCAGCCTGGGCCGCTTCAATAAGGAGCAGCAGCAGGCCATCATCGAAGAAATGATAGCCAGCAGCTAAACCTGTCATGTAGACTGCCAAGCCTACCCGTCACGTTGAAAAGTGCTTCGTCTGACTTCCTCAGGCCGCCGCCAGCAGTCCTTGGCTCGTTGTAGGTGACTCCCATTCTCCGACAATGCCCTCGACAACGCCCTCGACAACGCCCTCGACAACGCCCTCGACATCGTCTTTCTGATCATCTACTCACACCCTCTTGTTACAGATCCTGGCCTCTCCCGTCGCCCACAGCCAACTTTTGTTTGTTTGTTTGTTTGTTTGTTTAACGTGGGGGATTGCTCCTCAGTAGTGCAAACCACGCCTCCCAGAGCCTCTGCATCGCAGGGTTGTGGAGGTATCAAGATAATAAGTACAGTCAGTCCCGCTCACGAGCCCATCCCCGTTGTTGCGGCGGTATGACCTTGGGTCATCCATCTGGTCCTTCAAGAACAGCTATCTATCGAGGGCAGATTGATGAAAAGAATTTGCTCTTCTCCACGAATTTTGTCCATTCTGTGCTCCTTTCCCCTAAGTATTATAAACAAGCTGTCTTAGGCGAGTACCTAGGCAGCAGCCAATTTTTCCCCAGCCTTTTATAAAAGAAAATGTGTTGTGGTATTTTCTTCTTACCACAGCTGCAGTGATCATTCGAGTCTGTATGCCCAAAGCGTTCGTGGTATCTGGCAAAGTCGCCATGTCCAGATCTAGCCGCTAGAAGTCTGTATAAAGTACTTCTCTTAAAAGATATAAGGTCTTTTTTAATTACTGTATATGAGTATACTTCTTGATACTTAGGTTCTTCTGATTGGTATTTCTATTATTGATTGAACTCTTTCTTGTCCTTTCTTTTGAGATCTTTCTTGACCCACGAGATTGTGGGAAGGTTTGTCGTGTCTGATTCTAGCATGGCACCCTCTTTTGTTAGTGTGTTGGCAGCTTCGTTGCCATCAATATCTCTGTGTCCAGGAATCCACTTGACGGTCACTCCAGGAGTGTGTGCCGTGGCAAGTTCTTGGAATCGTAGAAAAATGTTCTGTGATGTCTCGGGTGGAGTCTTATTGAGCCCATCTACCACTGCTGTGTTGTCCAGACAGACATATAGCTGTTTTTCTGTGTCCAATTGCCCTGGCTGCTGCAAGCCCTTGGAGAGCGCTATGGACTTCAGCATCTATTATTTCTACTTGGAGAAGTCTGTCCTTTTCCCGGTATACTTCTTGTGTAGTGTTGCCTTTCTTGATGGTGTAGCCCCATCCAGTGCGGGTTGTGCCTTTGTCGTCTAATTGTGATCCATCTGAGTAGATGACAAGGTCAGTGTTCACATTTCTCTCTTGTAACCATTCCTTGAAGAGCTCTGTCTCTTTGTCTTTGTCCTTTCGGATTGGGGGCGCCCATAGCCAACTATAGCGCGACTAACCTGAGTGTTGCATATCAAGCCTTCGCCGAGGGAACACTTGAGAACCTCATCGAGACGGCCGTAAGCGTCTGCACAGAAACCAAAGCCAACCTCGAGCAGCGGGCGAAGACAATGGACTTGCGGATAAGTTAAGAACCCGCGATATGCTGGATGACAAGGGGGAGTGGATCGTGGAGAAGAAGGGCCTGGAAAAGGAAGAACTCTTAGCCGGAACGCTACTCGCCTGGGTGTGATAGAAGGAATCTTCCATCATGCATAGTTAGATGGAGGATACTCTCCTAGATAATACCCTTCCCTCATAACCTTGATACTCCGATAGCACCTCTCCCCCATCACAACATCCTTCGTCCCTTGAGAAAACACGTGTGACATTGTAGCGTGAACATGTTCCCGTGATTGATGTGCCCTTGGCAGGCTGTCGTGAATGACGGGTTCTTGTACCAGATATGGTGATGCGTGTGAGCGTGTGAGCGTGTGAGCGTGTGAGCGTGTGAGCGCTGGACCTGCAACAGCTTGTTGGGCAGTCTACGGTGAGAGCCTGAAGATGAAGGCAGGTAAGCCGGCTGTAAGGCGGGTAGATACCAGCTATCTACCGTCTTGGGTTCTGAAATGTCCGCTTCATATAAATCATGTATGAATAGCCTCAGTGAGATCTGGGCTGTCACTTGAGAAAGTATTTGGCTTTCCTAAACTAGCATCTCTTGTCATCCAGTTTGACGCGTATCGTCTGCAACCATCAGCTTTCTGGAGTTCTGATTGACTGATATTCTTTGACGCCTAGTGGAGCACGATGCGTAGCATCAGGTCCTGGCCATCCCTGGTGCGCATTGGGACGCGACAAGCTCAAATGTATCTTCAGGCGTACTTAGATTACATAAATTTCGATGTCAAGTTCATGCCTCAAGGGATGGCAATGCCGGCGACCATGTCCACTCCCCTTAGGACTTCAAGTCATTCTCTTCGGCTCTCACTTTCGCCGTATCCTCTTTGTAGCCCAATGCGCAACTGTCGTCGTGTTGTCCTCCTCCCAGCTCATCCGTACTGAATCCTTGCCAAGATACCGTATGGTTACCCGTTGTAGCGTCAATCACTATCACTCAGCGCGGCGTCGCTGTTCGCCGCCAACTTTGAAGGGTCATTGAACGGGTCACACGACGACGCGCTGCCGCTTCCGCCGCCGCCTCAAGTTGAGCTTTGATGTATTCCCGCAGGCTGACTCGACTCTTGCGTAACTCTTCGGCTATGGAGCTTGGGAGAACATGAACAATCTCCACTGATGGAATGTTCCAGGGTATGAATGGCGCATTTGGCTTCTGGTGACGAAGTGCCTTGTCTCTCATGATCTCCAAGACCTCCACAGTATTCTGTGCCGGTTCTTTAATGTACTGAGCGTTCTCGGGAGGTGGCGTATTTGGCTTCCATCTGCTAGTATGGACGCAGGTATCAGCAAGATCGAGACGCTCCTGGCGCCAAGAGCGGTATAAACTGTCAATTCCCTCAAACGGAACGCACTCCCAAAGCTCACGCGCGGATGTTCCATCTGTGCGGTCTCCGTCGGCTTTACCACCTGCCCTTTGAACCACATATAAGCTCTTGATATGAGGCAATAGTCGAAGGGCATCGTGTATCCTCAATGCAGACGATACGTTGAAAGAGTCCGGGGTATAGGCTAAGAGATAAGCCCCAGCCAGTGACAGTTGTCGGACTTGGACCAGGTCGTTCGGATCAAATTGCACGAGAAGTCCCCAATGGCTGCCAACAAGAATACTACAGCCAAGAGTCAGTACGATGCACTGGGTATATATCACTAGTCAAGCAGTGCCCCAGATTTGAGCAGTGTCCAACGACGTGGACATCTTAATCTTAACCGCACAGACAAGCTTTGATGGAGGATGAGACTTGGAGATACGCACTCGTCATCGTTCCATAACATCTTACGATCCTTAGCATCGAGATGTAGCACGTCTTTCTCGAAATTGAACCAGATCCGTGGTTCGCTGTCTGGTGTTCCAAATGCGAGGCGGTACCCCTTTTCCATCAACACCGCACGCGATTCTACGCAAGTGTGGAGTAATACCGGAATTGGCGCCTTGCTAACGAGATGGTATTTCCGCATCAACTGCCACGCTATTGTAGGGTGACTCCGTAGCCAGAAGGATGGCACTTTCATCTGGCTGGTGGAATCGTCTCCTTAAAGTTGAGAAGGATCAGTGTCTGGTCTCTGTGAGGCTGATATGCTTGGGGCCGATGTGCTCACCTTCGTCTGACTGAAAAGGAATCATGTGGCGCCAGTGAGGAGCAAAGTAGCTCACTGATGGGTGCAGTGTGACGACTTCCGGTCCCTTCTCAAGCCGCTTGACGAGATCCGACTCGGACTCGCGACGATCTCGAACATGAACGAAGCGAGTGGGGGTGGCAAAGTCGTATACCATCCGCCGAATCTCAGCGGGGAGGCGCTGAAATGGCTCAAAGGTGTCGCAGGTCATGATGTGTCGTCTCCACTGCATTCTCTCGATAGGGCTGGGAGGGACTGCGCCTGGTACGTCTGGCTCTAGACCACCATTGGCTTTGGATATTTTCGATGCTTGGTTGGAAGGTTGGAAGTTGTGCACGTGATTGCCTAAGGTAGGTGAGTAGGTACATAATGGGGCAGGTTTGTGGCGCGGTTGCTGTGTGGCTGACCAACCCCAACTTCACGGCTCTCATGGTGAACATAACTCCGGACACAACTCTTTTAAGACGAACTCGATAAGGCTAAACATTCTGAGAAGACATGAAGGTTTATGCATGAAGAAAGCAGAAGGGTACTTAGATTTCATGACCGTTCAGGTATCTCAAGTGTCGCTCGAAGTCTATGGCGCAAAGAATTCCATAGAGTAATGTGGCGAGTATTGCTTGACAAGGAATCGCCAGCAGACGGCAAGGTGTTGGCTGCAATCAGGATGTGAAGCCGCACCCAACGAGCAAAACCTAGCGGATAGTCTCGCCCATGAAAAGTTGAGCTGATGTAAAAATGCCTCGTCGCAGACGGGAACAAAGACAAAGACCACGCCCACTGCAAGAGAGACTTGCAATGGCGGAATCAATGAGTTGATGACGTCACCCCCCAACAGTTGCGGAATTCCTACAACGATTCCGTGAAATCAAAACCCGGAGGAAGGCATACCGGCCTGGAAGACTGTCTCTGCGACATTGGCACGTGGCTCGATCTGTTGGCCGCTTTGGTACAAAATGATGACGCGCAAGGAGTGTATTCGTATCTGCGGATTCCAGCGCTGGCTGTCCGGCTGTAGGTATTACTCGAAACTTGGATGCCGTGCTCTAGCTCCTGCATGGCAGCATGGCAGCATGGCAGCATGGCCACCCGTGGACAGTAGGCTTCCATGTCACCCACCCGGGAAGCTGGGAATCGTAGGATTGAAGTGTCGTCTCAGCCCTGTTTCCTCCCATTCATGTTTCCATTCCCGAAGCGCTGCTGCACTCTAGCTTGGCCCTCTTGTCTGGATGACAACTGGCCAGGCAAATGTGTGTACAGCAGGTTCTTGATGGGTATGGTGGTTTCTGAGAGGCCCTATGGCAGAGATGTGAATTGGAAAGGGGAATGAGCAAAGGTCTCCTGTCTGATGTTCCATGGCGTTGATGGAGGGAGGTCAAGGTCAGCTGGACCTGCAGGGCGGAAGACCTGGGAGCGTTCAGCTGCAAGGGGATCTGCAACTTATGCACTGCATTGGGCTTATCGCCTGCTGGTGGGTATTATGCTATCAAGAAGTACCTAGATACCTCATTGTTACTATCAATAGTCCCCCCACATGCACCTTATGCAATTCCCCGAAGATCCCCTCTCCTGCTCTAACCTCAATGCTCATCCTCCAGATTCCAGGTTTGCCCGATCATGCCCTTGGAGTCGGCATGAATCCCAAGACTGGGCACTTGATGCCTGCGAAGAAGACGTGGCGACACAAATGCCCATTCTTCCATTCACGAAACAGATGTCCGAAAGCGAGTCTAGCAGCCTACCCAGTGATTCTTGGCAATCATACTGCTACGATAAGAGCTGCGGCCGTCTCGATGAGGACATGCCGGATGGCCGAGAGATGGGGAAGTGGCTTGTAGAAATCCCATGTAACGCTCCGGCTGTAGAACATAGCTTTCATCGGAGAGTTGGCACATCAGAATTGTTGGCTCATGTAGGCTTCCGATTTGCCGATGCGTCCTTATCGTAGCCGCTGATGTGATAAGAGAAAGCAAGGCGGGGGCATATCAGACGAGGACTGTATCGTCGACAACGCGATGGTTTCGCCCGATGCCTCCACATGCAACCGGCAGATCCGAACGTCCGGGGCGGCAGCTATATCTTGAAACCAGTCACCCGATAATGCACGATCGACCCAGAGTAAGAGCATAGCATGAGCGTGCTAATGTCAACAACGTGTATCACGAAGAGGTCCGTTAGATCACAACCTTGATGATAGAGACAGTCGACGAATGACAGCGTCGAGGTGACCGCACAAGCTTCGACCAAAGCAAGCCCGAGGTTTGAGGGTAACCCGAGAAGCTGGCCAGCTGGAACAGGAATAGCTAGCACCAACAGATAGGCCAGAGTGACGGGAAGGGGCACAAGCCAGCGTGCCAGAGTCCTGGATCCTGAGAGGTCATCAGCCCATCCAGTCATCCAGTCATCCATTCCAGCTTATTAGCCGCTCATTCGGAATGCCTCGGCGTAGGCGTCACACGCACCAGGCGGCAGACATCGTCATCATCATAGCCACGACCAAACGTGATTGTGACTACAGGGAGAACCGGGAGACTGGGAATCCACACACACCAACAACAAGCCCGGGGCTTTATCGTCTGGCCTTTCATCAAACCCACATGCACCAACAAGACGGAGGTGCGGTAGCGCAATTGCCCATATGCCATCCTCCACTTGCCCAGAATCAGATAATAGCCTGACGCGATACCGTGATGAGGGGATCTCGGCATCCCCGGTATCTAATGCCCGGGCACTGGAGAAATGGAAGTATCCCCCCTCTACCCCTTTCCGACAAGTGTCCAAACACCAGGGCATACAAATCAAACCAAGAGGAAAGAGACAACATCGAGAAACAAACTCGGTACCTGCTCCGATTGTTCCTGCGTTTCCATGATTAACGTTTGGCGGTGTTCCTGAAGGCAACGCCGTCTGCGTCATCCGGCAACTAGGATGAAGCAGTAGAGTTGGCTGTTATCGATAACACCGCAGCCCGCAATCGCAACCGCAACTGCAACCGCCGTCGCGCGCGTCCACGAGTACGGGCAGTCCAGTGTCTGACTCTGGTTGTCTGGGAGGTAGGTATGTCTGCAGGATAGGGCAGAATAACTTGCATAATCACCGGGCATACGCACTTGTTCCAAGGCCACTTGCTTACGGTATTATTCCACTGCAAGTTATCCTGTTCTCCGCCTGACCAGTGATCACATCATCGACAGCTGCGCCGTGCCTTGTCTTATCTGAGTCACCGGGCCGCAACTGATAGAACAAACGAAAGGCCCCCTTCCGGTTCCTTCGCCCTTCAAGTGTTATCGGACTCCCCCTTCTCGCGCCTTCCATCCTGATTGATTGTCTACTGGACAACACCAAGAACAAAGAACAAAGATCAACAACGACTGAACAAAGACTGCCTCTTCGTGCCACCACATCATCACTCGACGTTGCGTGTTGCACCTGCTTATCTCGCTCTATCGCCCTGAGCCTTCTTTGATCGCACGAACCGAGAGACAAAGCAATTTCCCCTACTCGCAAGCAGCGAGGCAGCAACACAAGACCTACCTCACCTTACCTAATCGTCATCATCCTGCCGTGTGACTCGACCACTTGCCCCGATCGCCTTTCTCTCCTTCTTGGTCTTTGGTCTCTGTCAACAGACAACTTACCTACCTCCACCTCCGAACCTAGATCCTACACACATCCAACAACATCCAACAAGTTGCGCATTATCTCCATCGACAAAGAGTTCCTCCCGGATATAAGTCTGCCTACCCGAGACGGAAGCTTGCATCTCCCATCTCCCAAAATTGACAACTCATCCCGACAAACCGTAGTTCTGTTGTAACTTCAAACCCACTCCATCAATAACCCTCATCATGTCCTTTGAGCACTCCCGCGACTTCCGAAGCTCCGCCCAGGACTCGAAGCGAAACAAGGAGCACAAGGAGAAGTGGTCGCGCGGCAGCCGACCGTCGGTTGGTGTCAAGCTCAACTATTACGAGCCTGACTTCCTGGTGGGTGGCAGCGAGACCCAGCGGGAGAAGATCCGACCGGAGCGCTCGCACGAGTAAGTTGATTCGACTTCTTCTTTCGGCCTTCTGTGGCGGCTCAAAGCAGGTCTAACAGTGACAGTGTCTCTCGCTTACCGACACCCAACATAGTCAAGCCGAGATTGAGCGGACACATGCGCCATGACATCCACCCCAGCCACTCGCGCGCCAAGGTGGACGCCTTGGTCGAGCTGCAGGACCCGTCCAACATCTCGCGATCCCTCCACGAACTTATGCCCTCTCCTCACAACCGGCGGAAGCTGAACGTATCGGATAACTTCCTATACAGCTTTGATAGGACCGAGAGCCCAGGCAAGCCGCTGTCGCTGGATATATTTGTCAAGACGAACCCGAAGGAGACAGAGAAGTTTATCGAGAAGGAGTACGAGATTCTTGATGTCAATGGAGATGCCCTGAAGGGTCGGAAGGCTCGACAGAATCTCCGACGCAAGAACAACATGCCCATGGCTCTAGAACCCGAGATCATTGAGGACGACGGCTTCGAACTCGTATAGGCGGGACGCTTCGGCTTCGGCTCGATATGGTGCGGTCGGCTTCATTGCGTCTTGACTGCACCCGTCCCAGTGGGCTTCCTCTCGCCCACACTACTTCATTTGTATACTGTTTCTTTGTGATACTTTCGGATGCCGCGAACCAGCGAGATGGACCCCGTTGCGATGGGCGCGTTTTCGACATGGCACGTGTAGACTGCTTTCCCCGTTTGCATTATTGTCGGCGAGCAGCGTTGGAACAAGCATGGTGTCGGATCAGCCCTCATTGCCTGTGTTACATCACACTTCTCGAGCGCGGGCCACGCTTCATCACGACGGGTATACGCTTCTTTCTTGTCTTTTCCAGCATGATCTACCGGAACGACCTCTCCGGCAGGTGGTGTTCAGCCCAACTCTGGCCACTGGGTTCGGGTGGTCGGAGGAGGACGACTCGGCGCACTTGGTGTTTTTGTGTGTAGAGTGACATTCGGGAGGGACGGGATTTATTTTCGACGATCGGGCATGACGAGACAGACTTATGACGGAGGGCTTGGTGGTCGGAGCGTATTCGCTACTAGTTCTGATAGAATGACATAAGAGGTAGTGTTGGATTACTATTCGTAATACATCATGTTGACCTCCCTTTCTCGCAGCTTCTGTCGCTTGACGTGAATGTGGTCCGGGTTTGAAGGGAGGGAGGCGGAATTGCGGTGGCAGTATTTGGGAAATCTCTTCCTGTGGAATTGTGATTGTGCGTTCTCGAAGGTGGTCTGTGCGTGGATAGTGTGTGATGATGTAACCATACCATTATTGAGAACCTTCTCTCCGTTCGACGAGCTGTCAGCTTCAACTACACCTTTTGACGGCACTCACCAGGCCTCGCTGCAGACAACATGAGAAACTCGTCATGTCTCGGCCGTTATTTGATTCAACATCGTCAAACTGCCCTGTCGTCGAGGCCTTGGCCTGTTAAGGGTGAAGTTGAGACTGTGCGGCCACATTCAACATCAAGACGAGCCAGCTTATTGCTCATGGCTCATTGCTCATTGCTTGACACATCCGAAAGGAGACTACATACATATGTAGTAGGTATTTAATTGGTGTGTCGTGTACTGAAGCATCGCCGCGTTTTCTTCGATACCCTGGCTCGACCCCGTCAACAGTTGGAACGAATGCAACAATACGGGTGGTTTGCGCGCAAGGTGGGCGAAATCACGACCCTGATATGTAATCTCGATCTCGGCAGGCCATCTTGTCTATTCGCGTACCTGTGAATATTCGAGTTCGTCATTGGAAGGTCGGGACCTGGTATGAGACCTATAAATATGGCTCGCCTCGTAGTTCCATCATCCCACGAGATCCTTCGCTCGGTCTGTCCCGTTCCAATTGTATCAGCGACGTATGTATATCCAGGAAGCTCGCCCCTTCACTGGCCAACTGGCAATGAGCGAGGACTTTACATGAATGTTTTCCATTGCTCAACTACCTGATCGTACAGAAGTGGTATTCGAAATCGACATGGACACCCATCCGCTGATGAGTTGCGTTGAGCAACTGACACCCGACCTCGGTAGCGATGTTGTGGGCAAGGGCGTGAGTTTTCTCGGTCTATCTCTCTGTCTTGCCGAACGTGTGCTGATGACGAGATATTATAGCTCTTCATAGGGTTCCTCGGAGCGGCATACCTAGCATTCCTACTCCTGTTGGGGCACTACCTTCTCGGGTTCGAGCCGGAACGATATCCCTTTGCGTCTGCAAACCGGAGTGAAGGCAGAGGCGACGACGCGTTGCCTCTTGGGCGTAAGGTCGAAAGTCATGAGGGTTCAAAAGATGGCGAAGCCGAAGGCTGGAACCCCAACCCCGTCGACGCCGTCTTCCTCTCCTGGATACGCGGGTGCGCCAAGAGCGTCCTCGCCGTCCTCGGTGTACACCGTTTCCTCGCCGCAAGGTGCAAGCCCATCGTGCGGTTCTGCGAACTGGTGAGTTCCCTGCTCATTCCGACTACAGCCTCACCCCTTAGCAGCTTCATACTGTATGCCTTAGAACTGCGTAGCTGATGAGTTATAAGGCTCTCCTCACCCTCTCCGACACGCAGGCTCTCACTGGCCTGGCTCTACTGACGAGCGCCGCCCTCTACGCCCTTCCGCAAGGCCTTAATGCCACCAACTGGCAGTACATCCTCCATCTCTGCTGGTTCCCGCTGCTCACGTATCTGGCGGCGCACACGGCGCTGCGCGGGCATATGCGTTCGCGGCCCTGGCAGAGAGTCGTGCGGTTGTCGGTTCTGGTGGTATTCACGACCTGTTTCATCGCGGCATCGTTGCCCACCACCTTCTTCAACTGGGAGTACGACGACGGGTACGCCGAGGTCAGCGCGGCGATGCCGCAGGACCCTGCCCTCTGCCTGTTCGACATGGGCAGTGCCAAGCGCAGGTTCTATGAGCTGGTGAGCGAGCGCTGCGAGGAGGGCAACGACTACTTCCGCGCTTGCACCGACCGGGAATACCTGGCCCAGACGGAGGCGTTCCAGTTTGTGCTTTTCGGCGCTGTGGTTCTTGGGCTCGGTGTCGTGGTGAGGACTGTTAAGCTGTTTGCGGGATCGTCTGAGACGCTGAATGCGCGGGTAAGACAACCTGCCGGAAATCTGATGGAGAAGGTACTGAAGAGAGTATGTGCGGCCTGTGGCGAGTCATCAGCCTTTGGCGTCAGGCAGGGCGCTCGGCTTGCATCCCTCGAAAATGTCGATGCGGAGAACTGGGTCGAGAGGCGAGTTGGCCCAGTCGAGGTGGTATGCACCGCGCTGGCGTTCACGCTGAGGTTGCAGGTCGATCTGCTGTGCTCTACACTTGCAGAGGTATGTCCCGGGCGTCGATTTTCCCTTTTCCGAGTCACTGTTTATTTAGGGGTTTCGCTAACCTGACACTTGAAAGATCTATTACAGTCTCGTCCTTCTGGTGTGGGACACACTTCGTATCATGGGTTCTAAGCCAACAACGGGCTCCGATCCGGCAACCCAGTGGAGCTGCGCGCAGTTCCTGCCTGTCCTACTCTTCGTCGCGCCGCTCCTCGCAGCTTTGAGCATCGCACTCTCGAATTCTGCGTCCAGAACCGCCTCCACTACCCCGACGCCCCAGGACGTACTTCGGGTAGCCCACAAGCCAGCGAAGGCGCGGTCTCCGTCGCCATCCACGCGGCGCAAGAGGGACCTGATCCCATACCACCCATCCCCCTATCTCGGGCCCGCGCTCTTCAACGCCTGCGGCGCGCTGGTCGCCGTGACCGTCGTCTTCTTCGGCGCCTCCTTCAACTTTTCCCTCGGCTACCGGCCGCAGTACTCGATCTACGAGGTCCTTTTCAAAGAATTCAGCTTGTTCCCGTTCGTGCTTTTTTCGCTCCCGGTTGCGTGTTTCATCGTTCTGCTCGCCGGTATCGGGTATGGTCTGTGGAAAACTGGGAGAGATGAGGGAGCTGGGGATGGGATTGGGACTTGGAGTCGCAAGGAGAGGATTGTGTATTTGCTCCTGGGTGCTGCGGTGTATGCGGTAATTTGATGCTGTGTACGTGGTGTAGCTGATGTGCCGTCGAATTGAGTCGGTGGAGTGGCAGACTGGGCTGGGCAAATGGTTGAATAGGAAGCTGTCATGTGGTAGATATTGCTTCATCGATATGATTTAAGTGATGTAGACGGGCAGAACAAAGCAGCTGTCTCTGATACCAATGAAACACGGCACGCTATGTGCTCACCGTGTCCCTTCATTGACGATGCCTCGTCAGACTTGTGTCGGTGCACGTGGTCTCGAGGGATGACGTACTTCCTGTCGCCAAAAGGAGGTATCTGTGTGGCACGTAACATCAACCCCCAAGGTACGAATTTCAATATCTAGAATTCAAGGTCTAGAAGCTTTCTACCTTCACTCGCGATGCTTGTTAAGAACACAGCGCTATTCGTCCCGTTTCGCCTGGCGGCCGTACCGGCAGCAAGCTGAAAGAGCAGTTTACAGTACCGTCACCAGTTCTTTTCGTGACACCCCACCTCACCTCACCATCTTCAGTATTGCTAATGCCATCAGGGGGATGGCAAGCTGCCCCGATGGCAAGCGAGTCTCCGCCCGTATTGGGAAACCTCCAGTCGATTTTGAGCAGACCTATGATGACACCCGTAACCACCAAAGCCGTTGACAAAGAGGCAAACGCAAGACTCGCCAAGGGCGAATATTCAATCATTGGGACAAGCTTCTTACCAATGTCATTGGGATTGTCAAAGGATTGCGGGTAGACGGCGTAGACTCTGCGTAGGAATAGAGTCTGGGATAGAAGGGTGTGTAGGAGGACAAATACCGCGATGTTGAGTAGACTGTGCCTCAGAGGGATCTGCAGGAAATGTACTTTACGTTGCTTGGTATCTTTAGAATGCTTGCTGACTAGAAGGCCCCGACGGCGTGTCGAAAAGCTTCGGAACTCGAGCGCGACAAACAGCCGGGTGATGTAGTTGTTGAAAATGAGGTACCAAAAGCTGAGAGCGATCAGGGGCAAGTTGGCTAGAACTGCACCACTCGTGTATGAGGTCGACGGGTTTTCAGCGTCGGGGTATCTTATGATGTGGTCACTTTGGCTTGTCGTCCACGTAGCAGGCATGTTGCCGAGGCCTAGCTTGAACATGGCGTCAAGGTTGAATTTGGTGACCGAGGATTCGTTTCTCTGAACGTGTACACAAAAAAACCCCATGAGAGCGAGACGCAGCCAAGGCCCCTGAGATGTGATGTTAGCTTGGCCAGGAACCGTCATTCGGCTACATACAGTATGGTTGACCAAAAAAAGGCCGCGCTCATCTTTTGTCGAACCGTTCGGCAACGACTGGCACCAGAAGGCGACGTACGACGTTGTGTGTCTGCTTCCGACAGACTTTCGGGCTGCCGCAGGAACGAGGCCACTGCGTCTCCGATGGTGATGAGCAGCTGATCGCCAATGAGAATGACGGCCATGATCATAGCAGCGAGCTTGCCCGAGATGCAGATCAACTGCGTATATGTTAATGTCTTGTCTTCATTGCCACAAGAAGAACAGATACCATCCGAGAAAACAGGGCCTAGCATCTTGAAAAAAGATGGCGTGATATGTACGACGACTATAATGATAGCCAAGCTAACATTCAAGTTCGCAACGCTCTGGCAACTTCCGTGCAAGACTCGTGTGACCACACGCTCTGCTATCTTCCATGGGTCTGAGGACTGGAGGATAGCCTGAGCGTCACAGGGATTGTATGATAAATATGAATAAATTGGCTCGCACGTCCAGCCCCATGGGTTAATAGTAGTGGATGGCAGACAAGAGTCGCGAAGGTGCCAAGGCTGCTTGAGAAGGTATGGAACATTTGTGTCTGCTGCTCCTAGTCTATGAAGTAACACGACATCGCCCCAGGTAGCGCTAGACCCGGTGCCGAATGTTTCAATACAATCTTTGAGCGAGAGTTCGACGAGTGGAGGCTGTTGGTGGATAATATGCTGGGCTCGCGCCATGTTTCCGTCGAGTCCGACCAGACCTGCGTAATTTCTAGATGCTGCTGACGCAAGACATGAAGGGCCGATCGTAGTGCCAGATCAGGCCGAGAGGCGTTAATTCGCTATAGAACAAGCAGTGATTCGGTGTTTTATGTACTAGTCTCTCACTGAATTCTCTTCATAGCGAGGCATGCAAGGTGGTATGACCAATCCACCGTACTCGCTGCTTTACAGTATGATTGGTCTCGATGAGCCTTTGTGGCTTTGTGTAGCCTCACGCATGAAGGGAAGAGGACCAAAGAAAGAGACACATAATTTTTTTAAGTGGCAGCGACTGGAATCGAACCAGCCCCTTCCGCATCATCTCTACGGCGGTGTGCACCATTACACCACACTGCCATATAATTGTTAGAAAGAACTTCTCTTGAAGCTGACTATAGAGGTGGGTTGGGTACTTGGTGGCTAAACTATATTGGAATCTAACAACCTGGCTTGTAGTTCCAGCACCTTGATGGCAAGCCATGCCTCCTAGCAGCAAAACTTTAAAGAACTGTGTCAAGAGAAAACTCCCAATTAAAGCCCCTGAGAGTTAGCAATAGCTAATAAGCCGAGAATGGGGTTGATGTTGTGTATCTGCAGAAGAGAGAGCAAACGGATGAACGAACGGGAGCTGTATGCAAAAGCAAGCGCTGACAGATCTTGGACCTGTCCCCGTATATGTACATTGTCATGGTGTATGTCTTGTCGCTCTCCTAGCTTCCGCTAGGTGATCTAACTAGGGGCAAGTTGATTTTTATTCAGTGTGTTGGAAGGCTTCGCTCAAGGAAGACGATCGAGGAAGAGACTCGGATGAACTCAACGCACTAGGGGCTGTGGCAACTAAACCATATCAGATGTGGTTATATGCGAGGTAATATAACCCGTGTGAAATGAATCGTGTCTCTGATTGGTTAAAAGCTCCGCCAGAACTGTGTCATCCAGAAAGCACCCGCCAGCATCGGCTTCGGCGTGGGCGGGTGCGGACCTTCAAAGATTGTCGGCACTTTTCCAGTCAAGAGCAAGACGGACTGGGCTTCGGCCCAGGCGTGCCTTCACCAGCTCAAGGTCGACAATGACGCCCGGACGCCCATGGGCTACTACATTGAGGTCAGTACCTAGGCCTATACCCCATCTTCAAGCTTGTCTCAGAAGCACCTTGGTCTCGAAAGAACAGCCTAGAACCCTCATTTTCTTTGTCTGCCTTCGCATCGCCTCGAAGCCCCTTCGAGATGGTTGTAGAAGCTTCGGTTACGGTAGTTACTGACATCTGACGGGAAACAGTCCTACAACGACGCGGTCTACAACTCCTTCATCGCTTCGTCAGTCACCGTCAGCGAGGCCGACGCCATGAAAACGACCGAATGCACATTCCAGTTCAAGATCACCAGCCTCGCCGCGTACGACCCTGCGTTTATGGACGCCGACGACATGTGGGGCATCATCTACGACACCGTCGACTATCTGAACATCACGACCCGGGCCAGTCCCGATCCTGGCTGCCTAGGTACTCGCCTAGGGCAGCTTGTTTACAATACTTAGGGGAGAGGAGCACAGAATGGGCAAAATTCGTGGAGAAGAGCAAGTTCTTTTCAACAATCTGCCCCCGATAGATAGCTTTTCTTGAAGGACCAGATGGATGACCCCAAGGCCATACCGCCGCAACAACGGGGATGGGCCCGTGAGCGGGACTGACTGTACTTATTATCTTGAGACCTCCACAACCCTGCGATGCAGAGGCTCTGGGAGGCGTGGTTTGAACTACTGAGGAGCAATCCCCCACGTTAAATACAAAACAAACAAACAAACTGTCGGCGTAGAAGGGCACTCATGGTGCGCGGCACCGCCGCAGTCGCAGCAAGAGACGGGAATCGAGTGGCGGCTGCAGTGGTGGAGACAGGGCGACCCGGGACCTATGTAGTGACCTCGCTTCTCTTGACGTTGCACTTTAAGGGGCAGCATCGCGGTGAATGGTGACGTATTGGGAATGAACCCTGAAGATTGGTCTAAATGTACAATATCAAAGCTTTCATGATAGTGTCAGACCTCCCAAAGCAGCGTTCCTGAATGTCCCATAGTAGCCGACAGTCAGGGTGACCCTGTCCTTGAGATACGACAGGTCCACAGCTGGCAGGGCAGAAGTGTCCTTGGCCAAGAACTGCTGCACGCGGTCCGCGACCCAGACGGGATTCTCGTCAGCTGTGTCGGGAGTCAGTAACCGTAGAAGGCTTCGCTGGAATCAACAACGAGACTTACCGATCCAATGTCCTGCCTTGGGAACAATAGCGATCTCCAAGTCTGTCGCGATCGGGTCAAAGACCTGATGCAAATTGGCCTCGATACCGAAACTTGCCTCTCCGCCCATCCCCAGCACCGGCATGCCCAGCGGAGCCGACCCCAGCGTCCCCTTGAAGAAGCTCGAGTCCGCCGTGATCGACGCAGTGACGAACGGTCCAAGCATCGCCCTCAAAAACCCGGGTTTCGATATACTCGACGCATAGCGATTGACCGTGTCCTCAGTGAATGCCGTCACCCCAGCGTAGCTGCCGTGATAGAAGTACCACTCCAGGAATCCCTTCTCCTTCCCGGCGATCAGGAACTCGGCAAGGTCCGGCACCTGGAAGATCGCGAGCTGCGGGTTCTGGTACAAGTCCCAGTACGGCGCGGGAGTCGACACCGCCTCGTACCCGAACCCGGGGAGCACGTACTCGGCCAGTCCCAGCATCTTGACGAGGCCCGGATTCTGGACCGCCAGCGCAGCCGCAACTCCGACGCCCTTGTCGTGCGCAAAGACGTACGTCGAGGAAATGTTCAAAAAATCCAAGACGCCCTTGAGGTCGCCGGCCGATGCCGTGGCGCTGTAGTTACCGTCGGGCGGGATGCTGGAGTCGCCGGCGCCCCTATTGTCTGCGGCGATGACGGTGTAGTTCTGCGCGAGGATCGGACCAATGAACTGCCATGTCAGGCTGAATTGGGGGTTGCCGTGGACGAGCAGTAGGGGAGGGCCGGAGCCGGCGTAGCGGAAGTGGATGCTGACATCTTCTAAGGCGACACGGCCGTGCTCCCACTGGTCGAAGTTCGTGAGGGCCGCTGCTTGTGCGATGAAAGCAGTTAGGATAATGCTGAGTAGCGGCATCATGCTGGCAACTTTGTCGATACCTGTGGATGTACCTTAGGTCAGTGGTCGCGTGGGACGAATATGTCAGATGCACCGATAGCTCGGATGACTTCCGTCGATATCTATGGCTCGCAGAGAGTTGCGGATGGACAAGAAGCGTAGTGAAAAACGGGAGCATCAGCTTCTGCTTTATAGACTTCCCAAGGGTGTGCCATTGAAGACGAAGGCTCTTTGGAGGCAGATATCGAGCAACAACATGAAGCCTCGTTCGCCAAGGCCCCTTATTCAGCAACGGGGATTAGTAATCCCTAGGGGTATCAGTAATCCCCACGGGTCCCACCGTACTGACTATTCATCGGTATACGCTGATAGTCATTTCTCACATCATTGCTTCATAAGCACTGCTGAGCCGCGCTCTTGAATCTATGGCAGCGTCTTTGACGATGGGTCCCCATGGGGACCCGCCAAGACACCACAGGAGAAATTTAGACCCCATGACCCACCCACCTTGTTGAATTCCACCACGGGGACTTATGGGTACGACAAATCAAGACAAACCCATGGGGATGGGGATCTCCAATTGTATCAAGGGTAGCATAGTGGGCAAGTATTCGTGGCTCATGAGCGTGAACAGTGAGGCATAAGCCCCAAGCTTGAAGCGGCTTCTTCATGCAAGATATTGTCTTGGTATCTTTGCCGAAGGGATAGTAATTATTAATCATGTGTGGGAAATTGGCAACGTTGGGGGCACATATGCATATATTGACCGACTGAGTTACTCAAGAAGTCTGCTCGTCTATGTACGTGTCTCCCCCATAAACCCTGATCCCTTTCTGCGTTCTCCAGCAGCGCCGTCCATGATTGCCTGTAGCAGGTCCGTTCTTGTGGTATCGTCCCACACCGTGCGGGCACCTGCGGCCTTGGGAGCCATCGTTGAGGGCTTCTTGGGACGGTGGATGAGCTGTGAAGATGCCCATCTGTTGGCTAGACAGCAACGCCCTGACCGCCGCCAAAGCCGGGCGGACCCTGGTCCTGGTCGTCACGATCTCGCTTGGTGTTGTCGACGCGGTCAGGGGGCGGTAGAGACTCGTCCTCCAGCTCGCGCAAAAAATTCTTGATCGCCAGCTCGCCGGCGGCGTCCTCCTTCTCCTGCATCTGCAGCAGGGCGTCCTGCTCCCACTGCTCGAAAGATCCCCTCATCTCGTGGGCCTGGCGCATGTGCGCGACGAGGTTGTGGAAGTTCGTCGATCGCTCGCCGCAGAAGGGAGTGCCCTTGTACTGGCACGGCCAGATCTTGTCGACCTCGCCGTTGGGGAGGATCTTCTTGGCCTCGTTCTTCAGGTACTTGCCGCCGATCTTGTGCAACGAGGAGAGGTGAGAGGTGATGTTGTGGGCCTTGTTGTTCATGACCGAGTAGCAGTTGTTTCCGCTAGGGCGCTTCTCGTGGCACTCGAACTTGCCGTCACGGAGAACGAAGCCGTTGACACCATCTTTCGCGGGCTGGTCGGTCGGGTGATGCTCGTCGGGGTGGGCGGGTTTCTTCTTGCTGGGAGCCATCTTGCCTGGTCGAAGGGAAGAACTCATCAGCATACACAGGAAAGGCGCAAGAAAAGCACCAGTAGAGGCGTCAGGAAGGAGAGTCTGACCTTGATACGCGGTGTAGTATGACTTGATGAGCAGTGAGGTTGCTGGTATGGAGGGAGGATCAGAGTTGTCCTCGCTGATAGTTATGGTATTGAGCGAGAAGTGTGTGTGGAGGATGGGGTTGGGACGGGGATCTGGAACCCTAGAAATTCACCCGGGTGACTATTGGGCTCTGAGCCTTAGGGTTTGGCCCTACCAGGGCCCAGTCGCCGAGTGAGGGGAGGAAGCCATCGCCGACGAGGTTCGAGATACTATCGCCGAGAGAGCTAAGAGGGGCTACACTGCCGACGGTTACCCGGAGAACTCCCATAACGCATCGCCAACTACGATTCTACGATGAGTTCGAGGATTCCTGTAGTTGAGACAAAAGCCCCTTCCTCACCCCGACGTTGCTGGAGATACTCACGGTCGTTGTGCTGACACGGCAGCTGTCATATACTGAAGCGGTCACATCACGTCCATCTTGTACTAAAGCGTGGTCTCGAAAACGGACCTGGTCAGGTTATCAGCCGATCTCGGTGTCACACTCTGGCTTCTTTCAAAGTAACATTCGGCTTAGATGGGCCTTGTGGAGGATGTCAGCGACTGAGCGGATCGATGAACATTTGTGAACATATGCAGAGCTTAACAGGTAGCCGGCCGGCGCGCTTGACCACCAGTTCTTTTTGAGGTCTGTTTCTAAGCGTAACGTAGCAGTATTCCGTTTCAGCTACAAGCAATCGGCATGTTGTTCGTTTTCACGACGATATTCACAGTTGGTGTAAAATACGGGTTTAAGACAAAGAAATTCGGACACCAAGCATTGATGCGTGGCCCAATATCAACGGAGAAGAACACAGGTCAGGTTTTCAGTGCGTGTCAGCGGGTGAGTTGAGTTGGAGTATGGCGCATACGAATATGAAAGTTGAATACTACTAGGATGGCTGTCAGGGAGGTGAAGGCACCTGAATCAAGTGTGGTGGCTGGGTGTTGGAGTGAAGCACTTGTAGGCCAGTGGGTGTGCGGCGAGGTCACTTGTCTATGGCCTTGATCCATTGAAGCTTTTTTTCTTTGATCTTTTTTCCCATCTGTGAGTTGCAACTGTCTATGGTCTATCAGAAAAAACCGATGAAATCTCCTGGCAATGCTTCGTAGTTGTTGGCAGGTAGAGCACATGACAATGAATTCAACCTCAGAGGTGCCTTGCAATGAGGCATCTCTTCGCCATTCCTATCCTGCGTCAAGTAAGTGTCTGCATATGCTTCTCAATCATATGCACCACTTGTTTTGGTAATGGGAAGCTTGTGCTGAACCCCTTTCTGGAACTGCGACAGTGACTACTAGACCACGAGGTTGGCCCTTATGATGATCTCGCCCCATCTGTGACGAGTCTCGTAGCTGTAGCAGTTATAGTCCAGTGCAATCCCACGTGGCTGATCAACGTGTGTGTTAGTGTAGTTCCAACATGATCACCACTTTCAAGGAGCCTCGATGGGCAGCTGCAACCAATTGCCCGGGAGCTGTCTTGAATGCGCTCCGCAAATTCTCCCCAGCGCTGAATAGTATCCCGCAGCTTCCATCAGTCGCCTGGGTGCTCTCGACTACCGCTGGGGCTGAAACGGGGCGCATTGTTTCTCCCAAGTCTCGTTACACACCCTTCTCATCAGTATCCGAGGCGCTTTCCGACCAGTCATAAGCTCAAAGGCCTCCATGGCCATTTCACCCACGACCTCTAGGCCATCGACGATCACCCACGAGGAGTTGCCATTGTCGCGCAGGTTGCGCATCTGGACAACCAAGGGGGTTACGAGAGGTTCATACGCTAGCTATGGTTGCATTTGAGTAAGCATGTGTCTAGGGCACGTGGAGATGGGTCCGCATACCTCTATGACGACACCGCCCGTGGGACTCTTCAGCCATTGAGAGGGCATCCTGAAATCCACCGGCGGGTTGTTGTCCGTCCCAGAAGCTGGAATACACGACAGGATCAGTGTCGGCTGCTGATATCCTTCTGGCCAGGGGTCGCGAGCCGACGAGATGACATAGCATATATGCTCCTGGCCGCTCTTTCGCCCCACAAGCCTCAGTTCCTTGGCGTAGGCATTGAAATGCGTTGCTACCTCATCTGCCTTGGATATCGTCCTGTTGAAAATGAAGATCTTCCGGCAGCCCAACTTGATCAAAGCGTAGATGGCTGCGCGTGCCATACCACCAGCTCCAACGACAAGTGCAGTGGTTCGGGAAGGTTGGACAGAATTCCTAGGGCTGACAGCCCGGCGTAGACAAGTCACGATGGAGCTCCAGTCGGTGTTGTCCCCATAGAACTTGTTGGTCGAGCCAGCCTGGTTTCGAGCATTGGCATGATCGAGAATCGAAGCTGTCTTCCCGCGGAGTGGAAGAAGAGTGTTCACTGCACCAATGGCAGTGGCATGCGAGCTTAGGTGATCGAGGCGTTTCATAATGGCAACTTTGAAAGGCGCCGTCAGTGAAGCACCCCCAAACCCTGGTTCGCTCCGAATGCGGTCGAGTTCTTCCATTGAATCGCACCGCTTGGCATCGAATGTGTGCGGCATCATATAGTGCTCATACGCAGCTCGGTGCATGGACGGCGAGGCTGAATAGTAGACATTGGAGCCCAGTGTGTAGAAGTTGAGGGGCTGGAGCCAACCCCTGCGGAAAAAAACCCTAAGTGTTCCGCGGGCGGTGGTGACGCCGACCATCTGTTCTCGGGCCGACTTTTCCAAGGCATCATGACCCGAAGGGTTCATGCTGATACCTTGAAGAGGGCTGACGACGCCAAACACCGAAAAGTCGAATGCAATCAGATGTGGTTTGGGGTCTGGTAAGGTTTGAACCTTCCCCACGAACGCCGCATGAAGCTCGTCAGACCTCTCTGTTGCGGAGAATCTTGCAATTCGAACGATGTGACATCCAAGCGTCTTACCTCGAAGGTACCGTTGGACGTAGACATCGTCTGTCCATTGCGGCGCGCCAAATCCCCTGATCACGTAGTTGCCAATTATCTTGGTCCTGCCCCGCATGGTGAGGACCTGGGAAACCACTTGCTCGCTTCTTTCAAGGTCGAGACTGAGATAATCAACACCGAGTCGAAGGCCATGTATCATCAGCTTCAAGTCCATCGAGTCTCTCTCGTCTAGGGTTCTTCGGCGCTCCTCTCGTGGGTTCTCCTCCACGTGATATATTATCGGCACATCCAACTGTCTTCGAATTAAAGCTACCCGGGATGCGATAAAGTCGAGTATATTGCTAGGCCAGGTGTCGATTATCAGCTCAACGGCCTCTGCAGAGGCTTCGAGTTGGGTCAAATCCGTGCCCATGTTCATGAGAACTGACAACCGTAGATTCAGGACGAAGGTGTGGGTTCGATATTCAGGAGGTATGGCATTAATCGAGAATGGATTCTCTACCCAAGATCGCGTCAAGCCATGCCCGGAGATGTGGTCAAGAAAGTGTATGAAGTCTTGCTTCGCTTTGATCAGCCTGGCAGAGCCTGTGGATGCAGACCGAAACGAAGAATCATCCGTCACCGGCCCATCTCCACTGGCATCCAAGAGGTTGAAGTACTCCAAGTTGGAGAAGACACGATGCCCTTGGTCGGCGATTAGGAGGCGCTCAGCGTCCGCTACTGGCATATTGAGTAGCTTGTAAATGTCCTCTTTGTCACGGTGAACGTAGATGATTGGGTTCGTTTCGGTATATGCTGACAGGATGCCTTGGCTGTCTCCGGAGAGAGTGCTCATTCCGCACTCTATGACACAGCTGTGGCGATTCGACTCCAAGGTCTCCGCTAGCACAACCATCACCTGCTTGTTGAATGCGTCTCGTCCATACTTCTGCAGAAAGGTAGGCCTATTACACCCGGTAGACTGTTCAAAGGAACGATCCTCGGTGAGAAGTCGACGACCCAAGTATTTGGCCGCGATGAAGCCCAACGTCCGTTTGCCTGCACCGTGACATCCAACTAGGATGATGGATGCGTCAGGGGGGAATATCCTGCGATTCGTCCTGGCAGGAGCCACATCGTACCGTATATCTTCCATACCGACGTCGATATCTCAGGACCCGTTCAACCTAGAGCACCCAGAGGTATGTTATAAGGCTCGGATTCGTCGTTTGATTCGTTGTTTGATCTCGGAACGTGGAGTGGCCCCCTTTTGCCAACAGTCGATGATCAGTCACTGCCCGCAATGCCAAGACAACCAGAATGATCTCGAGTCGCCCAAGAGTGACAGGCCAGTATTGAGATGTAGTGATCGCAGATCAACTAGGTCCGAAGGTAGAAGGGTGAGCCTACATGCGGCTCAACGTTGAGGTGGCCACGACATTCGGAGTTGCTGCTCGGGGATAGAATAAGGACAAGGCCCTTGCCTTTCACACCTTCTTATCGCGGCCGGCTCCTCCGTCACTTTGTGAAGATCTCATGAGATGCACTCATGTTGTGCAACGCAAGGGAATGACTTCGGGAACAAGTGAAATGAAACCTCCTGTGGCCACAACACAGAAGTCCGAAGGTGGACCGTTTGTGGTACAGTCGACGGCAGTGAGCCGGCAAGATCATCGGCAAAACCCAGGTGGAAATTTACTCCGGCGGCGGGGAGGGTGCCTACACATACACCAGCCACAGATTGATAAGTACCGGAGTGATGTGGAGTGGCGTGCTTGCTGCGCCACAGGGAGCATATCCCCGACGTTAGGCCGACAAGCTGCAAGTGTTCTCGCAAGTGCTCTCACAAATTGACCCGTCACCGGGCCTCGCTCGGTACATGTATCACAGCTCCAAGACACTCCCGTTGCGAGTCGAGACTCATGAGCATACTGGCGCATTGACGCATGTCGCAGTCTCAATGCAGCCCTCTTTTCGGACTCCGAGTCACTGAACTTCCCCATGTCCCCCCGCCTCAGACCGAGCGAATGACGTTACAACAGCCCTCATCTCTCTCCTCTCTCATCTCTGCCACCACCCTGAGAGCTGGCCTCTGAGACGCTATTGTGAAACAGCGAAACCCCCTAAACTCGCGTGGAGCCGACGGCGCTGACGAATCGTGTTGCGGAGGCTATGAGTGATGGGGAGAGCGATGACGGCAAGCGATCGTCCAAGAAGCGGAAGGCTAGCCGCGCTTGTGACCGCTGTAACTCGCAGCACCAGCCGTGTGACAATGCCACCCCCAAGTGCAGCGTTTGTGTGCGCGCGGGGACCGACTGTACCTACAACCGCCCGGTACGCAAGAGAGGGCCGAGGAGTGGATATACCGGCCAGAACGGAGAACGGCTCTGGGCTGTAGTCCTTCAAGCGAAGCCGGAACTCGAAGACCTCGTGCTGCAAGTACTGCGTGGCGGCACATACCGTGACACGGGCGTCTCCAACTTGGACTTCTACAGAAACAACGACAACCAGACCGAGCTTGTCAACAGCTTCAACGAGAGTCGGCTAGGTCGCTTTCTGCAGAATGGAGAATCACCTGACTTGCTCCTGCCGCCTGTGGACAACGAGGTCCCGGCGGTCCCCTGCCATGGGCATGGGGGCAGTGAAGCAGCGTTCGGCCAGCCCACGAATGCTGTTCATCAACCACAGTCAACTAGCTACGCGCTTAATGGCCAGAACAAATCCATGTCACCGGTATCTGCGCCGCATTCTGGTATCGTCAATCCTCACGGTGCCCCCCAACATCCTGGTGATATATACCTTCAAAGCGAAGACATACGGAGAGGTGTCTTCAGCCAGCCACAGGGACAGGGCTATGGTTACGAATCATCTGCTTCTCAACGAATGCCCCACGATAGGGCCGTAGATCGTTCTTCCGTCCTGACCGTACCCCAAAGTGCTGCATTTGGTTCGAATGGTTCCATAGAGGAGTACGGGGAGCAAGGGCATCGGATCGTTGACTACAGGATACCTGAGAGAAGGAGTAGCTTCAATTACTCTGCGGACGCACCGCAGCAATCGTATGAACCTATCTTAGCCACTTCGATACCCATTGAACAACAGGCTTTCGACTTTGGCTTAGCCGACACCTCGCGATGGTCAGAACCCTTGTCCTTACTTGAGTCACCACTGGGAACTAACCTCGTGTATAGGCTTGATTCGATACCAACCGACACGTTACTCAACCTTGGTTTCATTCCCGGTGAAGGAATGGCCGAGGATTTCTTGGAGCTCTGTGAGAATCCCGATCCCATCGACTCGACTCCCGGCGCCTCAGCCGACCAACATGAGGACGAGGAAGCGGTCTGGCGACGCTTAGTGATGCGGGGAAGATTTATCTAGACGGATCGTTGGCCTCAGTTCACGGTCGTTCGCTTGGGCAAGATTGCTTTCCACTTTTCAGGGGCGATACACCAGCAACGCCGGCACGTTAACCCCGACGATCCTACTGCTCTATCCGCCTTGGACCGCACACAATCATCGGACCTGATAGTGTATTTGCACCCCCCTCGTCATCATGCGTTGATGGCCGCTGTACTAAGCACATTGACAGATTTGCGGGCACCGGACGACCTATGTTCAAAGAGCATGGTACATGATTGCAAGTTTTTTGTGGCTCATGTCCTTGGCTGTCTATGCCGTTTTTTCAAGCGCAGCGGCTCAAGTTGGAGCAGCACTCGAAGCTGCAGCACACGATTTAATGGGCTCGGTACTTAACGATGGGGCATCGTAAACATCACACTCTGAAGATAATTGCGGCGGCGATGATTTACCAGGAACTAGCTACATTTCCATTAGCTCAATGATACCCATCACTTTCAGGAACTCACTACCTGGACGACTCATAGAGGCTGAGCTGATCATCGGCTCTGTCTTTGACGTGATGACATGCCCTGAGGCTTTGCTTGACAGCAACATAAGGTCTCGCTCCTCTCAGCTGAATCGCGGACATCAATCCCCAGCTCACAAGCCGGAAAATACAGTATGACTATGATGGATATTGCTGGCATGAGGTTCCTCAGTGGGAAGTGCGTGTTCTGGAAAGGGCAGTTCCATGGAACAGAACAGGTCTTTCACCTAATCAACGAACAGAAAACGGTACGTGACGGTCACAGGCGGCCGGTCGGCATTACCTCCAGCAAAGCCACAACGCACGTATGCCGATATCGTCTGGAATGGTCCAAAGCCTTGCTGAGGTTGTGGAGACGCGGTAAGCTGTCTGCCCCTTCAACACCGCCTGTCTGGATTCGTGGTTGGCCTGCACTGTCAAGCTCGGGGTCGGCACGCAGCCATACCATCGGAGACAGGTTACTGTATAACGCTGAGGCGAGTGTAACCATACTGCTGAAGTACGGCTTTTCAGCGAAGAGAACCGGGGAAAGAAATGGTTGATTGGGAGCGCCACTCACTGAGGTTCCTGATGATTGTGGGCATGAGCTTGCGTCTACCATGTGCTCTTCAGGATATCCAATTTCTCTCGTCCTTCCTTTAAGTTTTTTCATTGAGTACCCGCCAAGGAGAGACGTGCCGGCAGGCACTTGAAGTGCAAGTCTGACATGGTCTTTTCTCATCAAGCGTATGGCAGACTTTGAACTGGCCTTGTTACGGGGTTTCGTCGGGGAGGCCACAAAAACACTCCAGGGAAAGAAAGGCCAGTTGCCCAAAAAAAAAAACTGCAGAACGGTTGCCTGAAAGGCAGTAGAGGGGGTAAGGTGTTTACAGGCACAGAAGCATGCACATTATCATTGAAGCAACCTGAGACTCATCAAATAGAATGTATAAGTACATGTACTCCTCAATTCGCTCTTTTACTACATCTTCAGTACTTCGCAGGTAAGAAGTCGCCCGGAACGTCAGGACCTTGAACACAGTCCGTCAGCACGCTAGTTCATCATGGTCTAACACATTTGACTTACCCCAGACGTGCAGACTGTCAGCGCTAGCTTCCGAGCGATGTGTTGGCTCAGTGGCATCGACCAGATCTCCGTCGACATAGTGCTCCATGATGAAGCCGCACGGATCGTACCTTTCTTCCAAATCAGTCATGATGCACGTCCAGACAGCTGTTCAGTGATGAGTATAGCTTACCAGTAATCGAAGATTTGGCTGCCGACAACGTGTCTACCAACACCCCAGCAGTTCTTGTACCCCTTCTCTCGAAGCCAGTCGTGGCCAAGGACTTGGGTATCGAAGTCGTGCGTCTCAAAGGAGGAGTGATGGATCATGTAAGAGGGTCCCTCGGCAAAGAAGAACACGTGGTGGTCGACTTCGTCCTCTCCTCGATCCAGTCGGTAGAATACCGTTCGGTCGACTCCCTCGGCATCGTGGATGAGCTGTACACAGTGAGATACTTGAATGGGAATGCAAGGAGAGTATTCTTACATCACTTGCCAAGAAGTTGAAGTGGGAGGAGTAGAACTCATGCGCCTTCGCAAAGTTCGTCGTCCGCACGCCAAAGTGGCCCAGCTTGTGGACTGGAGCTGGCCGCTTCTTGAAGCGCTGGGTCTTGTTGACGGGCCGGTTCTTCTCGGTAGGCTTCAATGCTGGTCAGCACCACTATCCGACATGCCTCGCATAGGAGAAAGTCTCCCACATAGTTGACGGCCTCATGTGGTAGAGGAACGTCCAGCATGGCCACGGTCTCCTGGCCATAGACGAGATGCATTAGGTAGTCGTCGACGGGATCATGGAATGTCACGCATTTGCCGCCGCCCGGCACATCCTTCCCCAGCTCATAGATGCCGGACGCCCTTGGGAGGGTGTCTGCAGCGATCTGAAGATCCTCCTCCGACTCGATTACGAACCCAGCGCCGCAGAATCTGTTAACGCCCGCCTTGATGGCGCAGATGAGCCAAGGCTCGCTCCCGTATCCTCGGAAGTAGACCTTGTCGATGTTGTTGTCGGATGTCCTCTTCACCTCGGTAAAGCCGAAGTCGTTCAGAAAGGCCACCGCCTTCTCCAGGTTCTTGTACATGTAGTACACGTGTGCTAGACGTACGAGTTGGATCTTTCGTGGAGCTCCGGCCATGTTGAATAGTCGTTCGAACACAATACTCTCGGAACACACATTCACGAGTGATGGACGAAAAAGCCGTAGTCCGAATCAAAGGCTGAAGAAATTACAGAAGTCGGACTCGCGAAGACCGGCCGCGATATACAGCTCGATAATGATATAGGCTTATAAAATGGTCAAAGCCGGGGACGCAGGCGGAGGAGTCCGCAGGCCAGAGCCACGCGGCGGATCAATGATCCTATATGTATGTACTTGACCTCGGACAAGGAGGCACAGACGTGTTGTGCTTGCCATTGTTGGTCAGATGTCGCTCACCCGCACATCCACGGCCCCCGCATCCTCCTTGCTGGTGACACTTGCCCATTCGGCAGCTGGTATGTTGGTCAGGTCAGGTAGCTGATGAGCGGCCCCAGGTCCTCGAACGCGGTCCCGGCTGTGACTGCAGAGGCCCCTCTACAACAACCGCGGATAGCTCGCATAGCTCATGCCAAGGGTCAAGAGTCTCGGGAGCTGTGACTTGGTAGGCGGGCTTCTGAAAGGGCATACATAATGCTCATGTAATGTCGTCGGCTATAGGTCCAGCCCCCCCGCGGCTGGACGATGCTACCCCGGTGTTGGAGACCCGAGTCGGAGAAAGGGGGTTGGGGCGGGCGAGGTTTGGAGAAGGGTGCAGTCATCCGACAGCCAGCTGCTCACTCAGCTAGCGGGCCGCCATGAACATGCCCCTCCAAGATCGTTATCGGCTTATCGCAAACATAGGTGCGAATGCCATCATCGGTCTCCAGCTACATGATCTAAGCCCGGTAGGTACCTATGCCACGCCAACTCAGCTGCGACAACATTCGTGCCCAGCATAGGGCGACGACGACAATCCTGCTCCGAGTCATCCTACCGTTCGTCATATACACCATATACATCGCTCACACCGCCTACACGTCCCACCAGCCTCCCAGCGCCGCCGCCGCGACCGCGACCGCGACAATGCCCAAGAAACTCTCCAAGCAGCCCACGGGCCTCTCGACCACCAGCGCCGCCTCCACCACCTCGTCGTCCCTATCCCTCCTCCCGAGCATCCTCTCCGACGGGGGGCCGCTCCCGCGCGCCGTCGTCTTCGACCTCGACTACACGCTGTGGCCCTTCTGGGTCGACACGCACGTCAACCCCCCTCTGCGGCCCAACGCGGCGCACAGCGCCTGCGTCGACAAGGTCGGCGAGCAGTTCGCCTTCTACGGCGACGTGCCGGCGGTGCTGCACGGGCTATCCCTCGCAGGTGTCAAACTAGGAATTGCGAGCCGGACGCAGGCGCCTGAGTTGGGGCGGGAGATGCTGAAGCTGCTGCATGTGCCGCCCATGAGCAGCGTGCTGGCGCCGGACGGCGACAGCGGGGGTAGTGGGGGTGGGATTAGTAAGGGCAAGGACAAGGCGCGCAAGGCGATCGAGTTCTTCGATGCCGGCTTGGAGATCTATCCGTCGTCCAAGATACGGCATTTTGAGGCGCTGGGCAAGAGGACGGCCATACCGCATACCGAGATGCTGTTCTTTGACGACGAGAGCCGGAATCGGGATACCGAGTCTTTGGGCGTCACGATGTGGTTGGTAAGGGATGGCGTTACGTGGGATGAGGTCGTGAGTGGGATTCAGGAGTGGAGGAGGCGGAGAGGTGTTTGACGTTGCGTTGCTGGTATACAGGGAGGTCGAACATAGAGGCGTTTGCTACGTGGTGGTATAGATGGGAGCGTGTTCATGATAATAGATAGAGCATAGAGCGCATATAGATAGGGGCTCGTGGTCTCGCGTCAGAAGTTTACGCAGGCTCTATCCGGATCCCAATGATACATCTTGATTCGCAATGCCCATCCATGCTTGATCGAATGCGCCAGTGTGTCCCCCCTGGTAGGGGACTGCGACTCCTTGAAATAACTCTATACCCAACGTAACAGTATCGCCGGCGTATGCTTGTTTATGTCTCAATATCTTCAACATACTCATCTACATATGCATATCATGATCATGATGGTACCAGCGACTTTTTGTCGCATCTTAGGCCAATTTCAAATCCGCCACGGCTGAGGTAGGAGGCTCCGGTGCGGCAGCCTCTATCGTCGAGGCATCACCGCTCGCCATTGGCGTCTCAGAGGCTGCTGGTTCTGGTGCTGTTGTTGTTGTTGTCGTCGTCGCCGACGCGGCGCCAGACTTTGGCGGGAAGGCCTTCGGGATGGTGCAAACACGCTCCATCCTGTCGGCGCCATCTTTGGTACCAACCGCCAGGCATTCCATCCTCGTCCCATCGTCGATGGTCTTCCAATACATGGGGCCCCCGGGGAACGTGGTGTGGCCGTCCTCCCACGAGCACAGCCGCCGGATCTCGTCGTCCCAGGCCGGGTCGTCGAAGAAGTCCCAGTCCAGGTCGCCGCCGTAGGCCTTGGGGATGTCCTTCTTGTCGATGAAGGACGTCAGCACGGGCACGACGTCCTGCTCGGTGAGTATGAAGATCTTGGACACGGTCACGGGGTCGAACCACCGCTTGATCCAGCCCCAGACCGTCGAGAAGAACATGGGCGCGCCGATGATGAAGATGCCTAAGGCAAGCGCGCGCACGAGTCAGTGAGCGAGCTGTTTCTGCTGCCGTCCATCATCTCGGGAGGAAGGAAAACTCACGATCGAGCGTCTCGGGGTAGTGAGACGTCGCCAGCTGACTAGCGGCCTGCATGTGCGCCTTCAAATTCCAAAACATCTTCAGCGTCACGCCCGAGATGTCCACGATGTTCGTACTAAGAGTGATCGGGGTCTCGGGGTACTCGCGGTCGGTGCATTCGGTGGCGAGCGGCTGGACGAACCGCGTCAGGTCCTCGTACAGCGCGAACAGGCGCAGCAGCTTCGCGGGCGTCTTGCCGTCCGTCTTGGCCTTGCTGTATGTGGTCTTGGTCTCCTTCTCGTACGCGGCGACGGCCTTAGAGTCGAGATGGCGGATCTGGTATACGTATATGGGTATTCCCCTCTTGTCCCGCCGGCCCGTGAATCGCGGATACTACATCGAGGATATCGTGAGCTACCGTGCCAAAAGATCCATCTGTCTGCGGGGTCTTGTGGTCGACGTCACCGTACCAGCTTCTTTGATGTTTCGTACGAGTCGACGTCGATCGAGTCGTAGAGGAGCGTGATCTGGTTGGCGTCGCGGAACTTCTCCGTCTCGCTGAACTGGCCGTAGGCATCTTGACCGTAGGAATCTTGCACGACCCATTTGCGCGCGCGGAGGTATCGGCTGGAGGGGCAACTCACTCGTCAGCGACCAGACTGACCAGACGACTCTAGGGGGTTATACGCACAGCAATGTGGGATCGTCGTGGGACGGCGGCGGGCCGGGCTTGTACAGGCCCTTCTTCTCGAGGAGGACCTTGAAGTCTACGAGGGCCTGCGTCTCGGATTCGGTGAGGTGGCCGAGATGGCCCTTCGGGTAGCCGTTCTCGACAGCACCGGCCGAGGGCACCCGGTGGATCGAGCCAGACTTGGTCATGGCGGCAAGGGGACGCTGGTCGCGCAAGTGCAAGGTTCGGCTGTGGTACCGTACGATGTTCAAAACGTATGATGATTGACTGCTATTTGGTGGTGACTCGTGAGGGGAGTTGTCGGTGGTCACTGGCTAGGGGAGTTGAGATGGGTAACAAACCCCTGTCGTCCACTTTTCACTTTTCACTTTTCACTTTTCACCTGGAGGCTGGAGGTCAGCACGAATCGTACCTACCTTACTGTACATGCAACAGACACATGATGTAATCAATGATCCGCCTCGATGGGATTCAAGGGAGGCGGGATGAATGCTTGGCTCTCATTCGCACAGGTACAGTACAAGTACAGTAATGCAGTGAGTGAGGGCTGATAGCCCCCCGCCGGCATTCCGGGCTTCAAACTTCACCGGCCGCGCCTATGGCCCTATGCAGATCGACGATTCTAGCGTCCCTCTTTATACTGTACATTAGTGCTGACATCAGTGTCTTCGCAGTCTATCCATCCCCATTTCACCTTCTTGGAATCTCAGTCACAGATATATTGAACGATGGATATTCTATAAAGTCGTGTCCATGAAGCGATGCTTTCGAGCGACTTCGGCCCGTTCTGGTCCACGGCGCACGCTTCCGCCGGCCCGGAGCGCCCTTTTGAGCTGGCATTTCTTGAAAGCCGCGTGCTTGTTGAGGCGAACTGTAGGTGAAACGTTGCGAAGACTTAACACATACCAGCGAGGGTAACAACAAGGTAAGATAAACAAGTGGCGGTTACACATGATACGCAATGTGGGAGCAGCTTTGCCGGCCCCTTGGACATGACTCGACCGAATCGCCTCTGATACAATATGTTCCAGCATCCTCACCAGGAAGCAAATTTGCGATGTCATTAGGAGGGCGACACTTTAGAGATAGCAATGTATGTGCAGTCGGTCGTTGCTTTGGCAGCCGACGTGGGAACACATTCCGACTTTTAAAGGGGTTGACCGGGTCGAGATAGGGGTTGTAAGGGGTTGGTCCCTTTCTCTAAGCAGCCATACGTAAATCTCATCATTGCATTCGGCTATCACGTTGTAACGCTGGAGGGCGATGTTGTCACTCGACGACACTCGGGTCAGCAAAACAGAAAACAAAGAGGTGGCCACATTGATCACGAGTCGTAATAGATGTAAGCTTGATACTAGTGCTCAACTCGGAGGCGACCATTACTGAGGATGAGGACACAATGGGCTCTGTCTCGCTCTACAATGACCCGTAAGCCAGTACAGAGTACAGCGTAACGGTGAAAACGCAAATGCGAGTAACGAACTCCCGACTACCATCTGCTAGAACTCCAAGCTGGTTGTGGTGTGCACGTCAGTCGGAAGTCATGGGAACTCGACTTGGCGTCGTTCGGGTCAGCGGCGGTCATAGGACCCAACACCTCGGCACTCACGATCTCCAGCGGGATATTCCTTCGAAGATGGACACACCGTGAGGCGATCCTCGGGAAACCTCAGGACCGGGTTGCCTCATAAGGTATCCCATCCGGGGCTCTACTAGTTTACTCACTGCCCCAGATTTCTCCACAGACGTTGATCTGCATCCCGAGCGCGGGGTATCTGGGTATACACCCGCCTCCATGACGAGATGTTACGGTATATGCGTGATACGTCCGCTGGAGCGTCAAATCCGTCGCACAGCATGCGGGGTCTCCGCGCCCTCGGCGCGTTGGTGCTGGGTATGAATAGGGTAACATTGCCATGCTCTTCACGGCTTCGCTAAAGGTGGTGATATATTTCAAGCCTCAGTCTTGACTAGCACGCCGTAGTACTATTGCTTCTGATTCTGCGAAAGATGTCGACAGCAGCAGACCAAGTGCCATCAAGCCAGCGAGTCGTCCCCGGGTCGGTGAACATCCCCATCGCATCATGGCCAGCGAGCACGTGCGACACCAACGAGGAAACCGCCAATGCTATCACCGTATCTTCGGAGGTTGTTGACTCGCTAAACCAATCCTTGCAGGGCGGTGACTACAAGGCTGTGGCGGATCTCTTCCTCGAAGATGGCTACTGGCGGGATCACTTGGGCATGACATGGGATCTCCGCACTGCTAAAGGCAGGGAGAAGATCGTCGACCTTCTCAGCCAGGGCCATCACCTTGCCAAGGTCGATATCGACCATTCAGCTCCGAATCATGGCCCCCGGGTGGTGCCCCTGAGGCATGATGGGTCCGTCGAGGGGATCCAGTTCTTTACCATAGTCACGACCAAGGTCGGATCCGGCAGGGGTGTCGTACGTCTGGTGCAGAAGTCTGGCGAGTGGAAGATATGGACCTTCTTCACGTCGATGGATGAGCTCGCTAGGCATGAGGAGGCGCTGGGTCCTAATCGGGCGAACGGGGTCCAGCATGGGGCCCAGGCGGGGAGGAAGAACTGGTTAGAAAGGAGGGCTGCGGAGTCAAACTTCGAGGATTGGGAACCAACGGTACTCATCATTGGCAAGTCGCCAGAACTTCAGCCCCTCGGAGTGTAGCTGACAGGTTCAAGGTTGTGGCCAGGCCGGGCTCTCAGTTCATGCGCGTCTGAAGATGCTGGATGTTCCGGCTCTTACCATTGACCTGAGCGATGCCATTGGCGACAATTGGAGGAATCGATACCACCAACTCGTCCTCCATGACCCCATATGGTATGACCACATGCCATATATCAGATTTCCCGAGTTCTGGCCAATCTTCACGCCTAAAGACAAGCTGGCCAACTTCCTAAAGTCGTATGCCGAGATGCTGGAGCTCAATGTGTGGAACAGCACCTCACTCGAGTCTAGCATCTGGGACGACACGAAAAAGCAGTGGACTGTCACGCTCAAGAGGAAACACAAGGATGGATCCACCGAGATGAGGACGATGCACCCGAAACACATCATCCAAGCCACCGGCCACTCGGGGAAGAAGAACTATCCCGATTTCAAAGGCATGGAGAACTTCAAGGGGGATATCCTCTGCCACTCCTCCGAGTTCCGAGGCGCCACGAAGAACGGCAACGGCAAGAAGGCCGTTGTGATCGGCTCCTGCAACTCGGCACTCGACATCTCGCAGGACTTCTACGAGAACGGGTACGACGTGACGATAGTCCAGCGCTCGACCACTGCCATCATGAGCAGCAAAACTGTGTTAGAACTCCTGTTAGGACCCGTCTATTGCGAAGGCGGACCACCCGTCGAGGACGCGGACCTGTTGTCGTGGAGCATGCCGGGGGAGGTCTTCAAAGCCATCAACGCCGATGTCAACGTGCTGCAGGAAAAAGAGGATCGCGACATCATCGACGGCCTCAACAAGGCCGGCTTCAAGACCGACCGCGGGCCGATGGACTGCGGCCTGTGGTTCAAGTACCTGCAGCGGGGTGGGGGCTACTACATCGACGTCGGCACCTCGAAGCTGATCATCGACGGCAATGTCAAGGTCAAGCACGGACATGGCGTCAGCGAGATTCTGCCGCACGGCCTGAAGCTGGATGACGGCACGGAGCTGGAGGCCGATGAGATCGTCTGCGCGACGGGATATCAGAACATGAAAACAGCGACTGAGATGATTTTTGGCGAGGACGTGGCGAGCAGGGTGCAGGATGTGTGGGGTTTTGATGAGGAGGGGGAGACGAGGACGATGTGGAGGCGGAGTGGCCATCCCGGACTCTGGCTCCATGGCGGCAATCTGGCCATGTGTCGGTACTTCTCCAGGGTTGTTGCTCTTCAGATCAAGGCTCAGCTCGAGGGGTTGGCATCCTAGTCTATACTGTCTGGCGAGTGGTTCAAGGGGCTGGTCGACGTCTAGTCTGTATTGTGCTTAGTAGTGTACGTAAAAAAGCATGTGAGCAATACTTGGAGGTGTGAATGAGCTGAAGATTCCTTGACACATTTTTTCAATTACCTCAAAGTGACTTGCCTTGTTGACTAATGGTCAGAAATCATTAAGCTTATCTCGTGAGCTCCGAGGCTATCGTCATCATGATCTCTCATGCTTACTCACATCTCGCAACCTGAGCCCCTGACGACCGTCCCACTGGCCATCATGGCCAAGGGTCCGTCCATTTATCCCACTGTTGAAGAAGTCACCGTGTACGAGGACAAGAGCAAAACAATTGGGCTCAAGAACGTAGGTAGTGAAGGACATGGTCGAGGGCGGCGAGTGGGTCGGTGGCAATAACGTGATGTCTCTGCCTGTCTCGCCGTCTCAGGTCGCGTCTGGTACTGCTGGTGTGGCTGTAGTGCAGGCACCATTGGGCGGACCGATTGTCGCTGCGTGTAAGGTTCAATGTTGTGTGGTCTAGGGGCTACCCGAGGTCCCGTTTTCAGCCTTATATGGTCAAGGTGTGACGTAGTGCGGAAGCAGAATATCAAAACACAAGTCCCAACGGTGAAGATTTCTCACCGACTGATAGACTATAGTGGTAGAGACATCTCCTCTCGAGACGGATCAATGTACGTACCATTCCCATATCTTCATTCGTGCCATGTCGGCCAGACCAGTCCACGATATGCCTATGGCTTAATTCCTATCTTATACCGGCTAGGAACTTCTTCGAGGCGAAATCATTGGTCATATTCCAACATTGAAGTGTTTCGAGAGCACTGATGCCGGTTGTGGGTGTGTGCGCCACGAGAACTCAAACCGGTCCAAATTAGTCATCCCGCACGACGCCTCCAGAGATTGTTTTCTATTGCACGCACCGTTCCAGTAGTCTTCTCAACGTACGGGTCCGCGTTGGGATGTTGTTGCGGTCCATGCAGATGTATACGTAGGAACCTGGTCTCATTGACAACGTACTACGGCAAGGCAGTGTCCTGTAATAGGATCATGGTGCCCAAAGATTTAACAGGAACAACACAAATATGTACTTTGATAGTTACCAAGTCACCGTGTAAGGCTAATTGTTGTCAAACAGTACCAACAGTAATCTCAAGATTACCAATAACAGAGCAAAGCCATCTCGGAAGGATCCCGAGCAGATGTCTTCAACACTGGAACGATTTTGCAGCTTTGTTGGGAATTCGTTCCATCACGAACACAACATTCGCAGCCTGAAAGAAACTCACAGAAGCAGAAGCAACGCTGATTCTTCTGTCTTAGTGGACGAGGTAAATTTTATATCGGGGTAGATGGTAGCCAGCCTCGTAGGACCCCCGGTGGACTTTCACTGTGGCTTAAATCACGAGCTAAACGCGTCAATTTCACGAGCTTGCGGCAGAGCCTGAGTTGATTTCAAGATTGATACCATCTCTCAATCTGCCGGGTCGGGTCGGGACATGTTCTTGTCATAAACTATTTCTTTCCACGTTCTCCTGTAACTTCTTTTCCTCTTCCTTCTTCTTCTCTTCTTCACCTTCAGCCAACCTCACCGTTGAATCTCCTCGGCCTTGCTCGAGATCTCCAACCTCATCATCGCCCCTTATCATCCAATTCGCCATCCAGGCAATTCATTGCGCATCATGAAGTTCTCTACTGTCGCTACTTCCGTCCTCGCGGTCGCCGCCGAAGCCACCGCCAACCACCCCGAGGTCACTCCAGGCTCCAAAACGACGTTGACAGCTACCTTCCATAGGAGGTTCACCGCCATTAGCCCTCTTTATCCCATGGTCAACACCACGAAGACCTATGGCCCAACTGGCTCTACTGTTCCGACTGACTCCGTCCTCCCTACCACGTCAAGCAGTCAGACTGGCTGCGGTTCTTGCGGTCACTCTACGCACCCAGGTTACTCTAGCCACTCGACTGGCCCTATCTACACGAGTAGCACTACCAGCTTGACTGGCCCTACCCACTCGACTGACCCTACCTACACGACTGGCACTACCAGCTTGAATGGCACTGCCCATGAGACTGGCACTACCATCTTGACTGGCACTACCATCACTACCATCTTGGGTGGCACTACCATCACTACCATCTTGGGTGGTACTACCATCACTACCTGCTCGACTGGCCCTGCCCACGAGACCGGCTCTACCCATGAGACTGGCACTGCCCACGAGACTGGCACTATAATCTTGACTGAAACTACCATCGTGGGTGGCACCACGATCACTACCGTCTTGGGCGGCACTACCATCACTACCTACTCGACTGACCCTATCCACTCGACTGGCCCTACTCCCTCAACTGGCCCTACCCTATCGACTGGCCCTACCCGATCGACTGGCCCTGCCCATGAGACTGGTACTGCCCACGGGACTGGTACTTCTCACGAGACTGGCACTGCCCACGAGACTGGTACTGCTCACCAAACGACTGGCCCTGCCCATGAGACTGGTCCTGCCCATGAGACTGGCCCTGCCCATGAGACTGGTACTACTCACCAAACAACTGGTACTTCTCACGAGACTGGTACTGCTCACCAGACGACTGGTACTGCCCACGAGACTGGCACTTCCAGCTCCCACTTGCCATCTCCCACCAGCAAGGGCAGCGACGACCAACCCCCGGATCCCGCTCCCACCGGTGCCGCTGCCTCCGCCAGCATTCCGGCTGGAGCCCCGGGTCTCGCCGTCGCCGTCGCGTTCGCCGTCTGGATGCTCTAGACGTCCCCTACCACAAACAAACATGAAGAAGGCGGGAGGATGCCTAGTGTGCTAGAGTAGAGGATGGGCAACCTTCAGGGGATGTACGTTTTCTAGGAACCACGAGGTGTTCGAGGTATCTTTTTTTATTGGTAGGTTTTCTTGCTTCGTGACGGAGATGGGGGACCTTCGGCGGGGATACCTATTCTATGAGGTCACGCTTTGTTCGTGGTGTCTTTTCCTTTGTCGAATGCTTTTTCTTGTTTGGTCTTGGGTGGTGATACGACGGGCACTGTCGTGGGTATCTGATAGACAGAAGTGACCTGCGGTTTTGCCTCATCACTAACACAAGACACTGCGCTTAATTAGATATCGTATTAATAAAAGTCGTACCCCCCCAGACCTGGTGATTCCATGCGCGCTTGTGTCTCCCTTGCCGGTCCGTTGATCCCATACTCCCGAAATCTGAAGTGAGCCCGTCAAGGGCACACTCCCTCGGAGCGACACACTGGATTGCGAGACTTTTGGGCACAAAATGACTCATAGTTTGGCGCCAGATGGAAATAAACAACCTCACCCTCGAAGCTTATCGTGATTGGGTGTCGTGTTCGAAGACATGTGAGCCAAGGATGCTAGCCGAACGCCACGCACAACCTAATATCCTTTCTAAATATCGCTTCTTTAGAGGATCATAACAAACATTGCGTAGATGGTTCATATGGTTGATGTTCGTGTGTTCAGTGCTGATCTTGAATGAATCTGTTGTGAAGTCTCTGTTGGTGGCTAGGTGGCCCCAAAATGCCCCAATGGCCCATGCATGTGATCAGTACACTGCCACCTCCCTGACGCCACGGTGGCTTACGTGCCATTCAACAGATAACCCTGTGCGGACTCTGTGTGGTCTTGCTAGGGTTTGGGAACTTGCGACTGTGGTCGAACAATGCGGCGAATGTTCAGCGTTCCTTGATGCTTGTATCTCGTTTATTCGATGATTTGATGTAATTTTCTCCACGTTTCTCTTCATCAAAGGTGGCTTTTGGATCAGCGTACGAATCAGACCAGTTCTAGAACTTTGAATACAAGAGGAAGGCGAATACAGCGCGCGCTTGTGATAACGTAGCTGTAGCCTTGGGGAAGGCCTCTCAGGTCGTAGTTCAAGTGATATTATAGGAGTCAACAAATGGCCACCAGAGAGCACCCGAAGAAGGCCGTTCGATTTGCTGATGGGCATCATTGGTACCTGACTCCCAATGTTATGAGCGGCCACTGGATGCATATTTGCCGCAGTCCAATGAACGACACTTCACGGCGCATTCCGCGCATGCCCGCACGACTTGCACGTGGCCCAAAGCGCGTTGCGCCAAACTTCGCTGAATGGAATCAGATGGCATGTCATCTTTAACTTTTTACCGTCTTCCCGCCGACTCCGCATCCTGTTATTAGTCCGTCGTCACAAGCGGAAACGTCAGCATATTCTGTTCCAATAAGCCTTGAGGACCCGTTTCACAAGGAAACTTGACTTCAACGTTGCTGGCACGCCACTGTCTACATAAAAAATCGCATCTAGTCATAACAGACCCCTTTTCTTGCCTAGTGCCGAGCCCCACGAGGCCCTAACTGGATCAAGGCCAACCAAACCGCGGGGATCACCACTCAATAACTAAGCTGGGATGTAATGAGTAAGTGTGACAGGATAGGCGTCAGTGGTGGATGTCTGGGACTCTGCTCGAATGATGTGGTGGGCGGTTTGTATGCTGGCTCGGGTTCGTGGCAGTCAATCGGGAGGAAGTGAACTGAGATGTTGAGTATTTTCGGGACTGCCTTATAAGGAAATGATCCTAATACAAATCATGATACTTAACCACTTTGATGAGTCCTCCTGTGACATATGTCCTCTTTGACTGATTCCGCAGGGACTGGGCGGCACAACTTGGCGAGGGCAGTGACGGGGATGTGCGAGCACGTGTCAGACTTACGAATCACACATATATCAATTGTACAGCACACGAAAAGCCCGGTGCTCCGGAGGTTGTGATAATCATACCATTACGAGGATTCCAGCTGACTTGTATATCAGTTTCCTCGATTGCATATTAATATAAGTATGTGTTAGTTTGCGATGAAGTGACCACCGCCATGGTAAACCCCAGCGATACCAAGCACCTCATGCCCTGGGTGTCGAAACTAACGACGTGGAATCTTCCCGAGAGCGCTTCGCACAGCTGCTACACCGCAGATCTCTTCACAAGTCTACAAGCAGAGGTGCTAAAGCAATGTGACCACTTGGACGGCGTCAGTGACAACATAGTCAGCTCGCCTTCGGCTTGACGGGAAGCGGCACGCACGATTTGGAGCAACCAGGTGATCAAAGATGGAAAACTTGTCTACAAAGGAGCAGAGTACAGTTCTGAAGGGAAAGGGTCGACTTTACTCTTGCCCACTGACTCGAACAACGAAGCCAGCAGCGTTAGAAGGAACTTCGACGCACAACACGAGAGATATTTCATGCATTATGGTACGGACTGGCAAATCACCTCATTCAATGATACCACAGTGGACGACTCGGAGGCGCGTGATGAATCCTTCGTACAGGCTACGGCGGATCAGTACGATATTGGATCCTTCAGATATAGGGGCAAGATCATCATGTACCCGGCCCGGCGGATGCGGTAGTGCCTATTCAGCACACGACCCTGTCCGCACGGTCGAAACTATGGGGAACATTCGCGACTTCTTCCGTTACTTCCTGATACCAGGTATGGGCCACTGCTGGGGAACTCTCGACAACGTCAAGGCTCCGTGGATGATGGGAGGAGCTGGCCAGGCCGCACAGAGACCAGGGTACAATGCCGGCTTGTCCGTTCCTCTGGGATCCAATGACTGCCGGCACGATGCGCTGCTGGGGTTGATGGACTGGGTAGAAAGAGGCCACGTAATGCCCCAGATCATTGCGAACGAGTTCAACTTCACGGATAGACGGGCCAGAATATCGCGTTGCACAAGCAGCGGCCGCTCTGATGGTGAAGGAAACCAAGATGAAGCTTCATGCTGGAGCTGCAGCTGAGATGATGGGTTATGGGTCCCCATACGCAATGTTGATTCGTACCTGCAGAGTCACTAGTGAAGTAAAACGGCGCTTTCGTATGTCTGCATTCCGGATGGAGCGCGATATAATGCTAACTGCATTGCTTTATGGGGCGTCCCAGCGTTCCCACGAGTCCTTCCTAGGTTAATGAGTAATAATAGCAACGAAGCTGCCGACACACTAGCAAAAGAGGGTGCCATGCTAGAATCAGACACGACAAACCTTCCCACAATCTCGTGGGTCAAGAGATATCTCAAAAGAAAGGACAAGAAAGAGTTCAATCAATGGTGGAAAGACCAATCAGAACCTAGATATCAAGAAGTATACTCACATGCAGTAACTGAAAGAGACCTTATATCTTTTAAGAGGAATACTTTACACAGACTTCTAGCGGCCAGATCTGGACATGGCGACTTTGTCAGATACCACGAACGCTTTGGGCATACAGACTCGAATGATCACTGCAGCTGTGGTGAAAAGAAAACACCACAACATATTTTCTTTTGTAAGAGGCTAGGGAAAAATCGGCTGCTGCCCAGGTACTCGCTTAAGACAGCTTGTTTACAATACTTAGGGGAGAGGAGCACAGAATGGGCATAATTCGTGGAGAAGAGTAAATTCTTTTCATCAATCTGCCCTCGATAGATAGCTGTTCTTAAAGGACCAGATGGATGACCCAAGGTCATACCGCCGCAACAACGGGGATGGGCTCGTGAGCGGGACTGACTGTACTTATTATCTTGATACCTCCACAACCCTGCGATGCAGAGGCTCTGGGAGGCGTGGTTTGCACTACTGAGGAGCAATCCCCCACGTTAAATACAAAACAAACAAACAAAACAAACAAACATAATGAGTGGTAATAAGTATGTACATAGACTGTAGTCGCTATTCATCATTGCCCATAAATTGATATCGCCGAAACGCCATGCTCGTCCTATTCGTAAGTCGTCCGTACCCTGATAGGTACTTGGGTATCTCAACACCTTTCCAATTCCTGTTGCCTTGTTATACTCGCCATGCTCAGCTACATCACCGCACAAAAGTTTGAATCTGGATCTGCCTCGTATGTTCTGCAAAGACGTCAGCGTGAAGGACAGATTGTTGAAGTAACTTCGTGAAAATTGGGCCTGGGGTTTGGGCACCACGTTTCAATGTACGTACTGTTTCCCGCAAAACTCCTTGCGATCCCAGAGTTTGACGCCAAGTGACGCCGGGACTTTGACCTTCCACTCGTGTTGCTGAGGGAATGGTGACCTGTCGAAGGCCAACCCGAGAGAGAATGTCGGCGTGTAGGGGTCGATCTGGCCCCCCAGGGCGTCGAACGGCGTCAGAAACCTGCCTCGTTCCAGACTGACATTATACGCTTTGGCATAAAAAGCATCGTCCTCGAGCAGACACTCGTTGATTGCGCACCCAATCAAGTCTTGGCCCGCAAGAATTGGGATGCGACGATTCGTGAGCCTCATTACGATGTCGAATTGAGCCAGACGCATTGGCGCCTTGGGGTTTTTGATGGGCATGACGAGCTCCTGGTCCAATATATCTGTGTGTAGGGGCTGCCAATCGAACTCGGCGGCGATGAACACCTCTTGCCTGGCGCGGCAGATCATCTTCGAGCATATGTTAGCGCATTGCTCGATGCGTAGAGGTCGCATGTACTGACCTGCCCAGTCCCGTCTTGGTTGAACTTGATTCGATTACAGTCCCATGAGTCCCAGTTCCACCATTGGCCGCAAAGGACGGACAGCAGAGTGTCTCTCTCCGAGGTGTCCATATTAAGAAACTGAGACAAAGCGGCTCTCTCCGAGGCGTCCATAGTATAAAACTGAGAATGCATGTCGTGGAATGTATTGAAGAGAAGTGTCTCTCGAGGAGTATGTGAGAGTTGAGTCATCCTTAAGTGTTGTCCCTGAGCGTGATGGGGCACACTACCTCAGTATAATCCTAGATAGATTCGACGATGAACTTCATGATCGATCACATCAGTCGACTACAGGTCGAAACAAGGAATAAATACCTAATTATAATCGATCATCAACTAAGCAAGAACAAGCTTGAAGATCTCGGGTCGAGATGGGTCGGCAGCTGGTCGGTACCTGTGCACCCAATCCCCGTCAGTTGAGGACATGGGGGCCCTACAGTATAGGATTCGTAGACTAGGGTTTCATGGGATGACTAAATATTACTTAGCACAACACTGGGCTGACTGCTCTAGGCACATCGGCGCGATGGCCTGAATGGGTAGTCCCCTATTCATTGTCGCTAATCCAGAGATCTTACTGGCCAGTTTACTAGATTCTAAAATTACTTGGGTAGGATCTTCGAAATCCTTCAGCCTTCCAGGTATTGGTTTGGTTTCACAATGTCGTACTCGACGCGGCAGTCGCGGGGGCGATGGAACGTACCGTGCGTCTCAAGCGCCAAACTTCGGACGGTCATTCAATCAGCTCGGGCTCCAGAGTGAAGCCAGATGCGGCATGCCCGTCAGAAAGTCAAAAGGGGACGGCAGCTGGCGTGTAGCTACGCCACCATTTCACAAAAGATATGTCAGTTCAGGCTTTCCGGGACGATACTGCATGTGTGTCACTCGCTCTAAGCAGGGGGTTCGCACAATGGAAGTATTCCGTGTATCTCATGGGGGTTATGCAAGTGCTTGCAAAGCACTGACCAGAAATACTTGCCAAGGTTATAAACTTTGGTCTGCAGCCACAGTACTACTCACAACTGCTATAATGCGGCCGGGGGACAGTGAGATCAGCCTGTCCAGATATGGTTCTTGAGAATGATCAGCCTTTGCTTAGATTTCCCAGACTTCGAGGTAGTTATCCCAGCCCTCAAGCCACCCGCTCCTGGATCTCGATACGGCCGAGTCGCCAAGTATCGGGGAATGACATTGTATGGGGTATCGGCGACTATAATATGGAGCCCGGGCGGCCCGATCAGCCCAGCCCCAGCAAGTGGATAGAATGGTACTTTTGCCCCTGCATACCTACCTGATTTGCCGGGTCTAATTGTCGGCGCTTGTTCTACATCCAGAGCCTCGGAGAGGGGTACCCGGTCGAATAACCGGGTGGTCCCCGAATAATCCTTGAAGGCAGCTCATCAACGTTACTACGGTAGTCTTCCACTGCTAGGTCCGAGCATCCTCCAGCAGTTATTTTTATCACCCGCATGGCTGCGCAGTAACACCGACATCTCCACATCTAATCATCAAATGCAACCCCTTGTCGTCTGCCGTCCACGCAGGCGGCCGGCCGCGCTGCCGCAGATTACACCAGGGTATTCCTGATACAGTGTGCACCCCTGGTGACTGTCGACCACTTTTGGATGATCTGATCGAAGCTGTCGATGATGCGTCGATATTCACGTTCAGGTTCCCCTGCTTCACTACCTCTGACGATACTGGATGCCGTGGACAGGAGCTAGGATTCTTCCACCTCCTCCGCATATGATCTCTCAGATGAACTGATCTACGTTTCAAGCATCCCCCAGCGCTGATGGAAGACGTATAATCCGTCTGACCTCATTTCGGTGAGACATTGCTGCGCGAGTCTCGCTTTAAAGCAACGAGCACAAACGACTAGGTTGGACACGTCGTACCTCGAATTCAGATGCTAGAGAAAAGTGCGCTATTGGCTGCATAGAAGATGCGGGCCAGTCGGTCGGATTTTGACTACGTCGTTCCCTAAAGCGATACTTTAAGAAGTCCGTCCTGCATCGTTTGAGCATACATAAGCGACTGCGCTTCTCACTTCGCCGTCCCCTTGAGCGGCAGTGCGCACCACTTTGTGGAGCACGGATATAGATGCTCCTTAGCCACACCATATGAGCCTTCTCCAGTAAGCTAAACCACTCACGATACGTATGACGCTACAATAAGGGGCTTGGATTGGTCAATAAACAAATCTCATGAGGCGTAGCAAAACCTGATAGTGCACTGCCACTCAAGGGGATATATCATTATCGTGAACTCCCAGTGGGACAGATCGGGAACCCCCCGACTGGCACCTTGTCGACATCTCGGAACAGCTGACCTCAAGTCTTAAAACAAGACTCCCTGACGAGACTCTTGTCAAGACGTGTGGCCCGGGGTGTCCCGTCTGATGGGTGTGAGTAGAACCCATCGCAGAATTATCAAGCCGTCGGTGGCTGATAGTCCGACGAGCCGAGGGCGCACTTACTATGGATTACCTAAGGTAGTAACTGTGAGGGTCTCCCGCAAAATCCACCAAGCCACGTGATCTCGCACGTCTCTTTTGGGTGATTATCCATGCATCCCAGTGCGCTCGCGAGTCGCCGTGCGGGTCGATAGTCTCCTCGGGGGCGGTAACGTTGGCGAGGTCCCCTCCTGATAACATCTACAACAGCTACAACAGCTACGAGGCTAGCCAACATCACCGATCAACATCCAACCACCAAAAGCTCGTCGTGACCTTCTTCTAAAATGTGAATGCTTTGACCACCTTTTGCCGGTTTGCGAGAAGACGATCTCCATGGACAATAGTCCACCCACAATCTTGTCAAGATGACATTGCGCCCCGATGGCCGCCTCACCTTCCAAGAGGCGATGAGCCTGGCACCGCTCCCGAGTAGGGCCGAGAATGGGCAGATCACTAGACGATACATGAGTCGGCGAAGCGCCTGGGTGACAGGGGCCGACCTGAAGATCCCGCAGCTGGCGGGCGCAAATGCTTTCGGGGGCCACGTGTATAGCCAGGCCGGAATGGCGGCAGCGGCAGCGTTCGCTGAGATGCAAGCGGCAAATAAGGGGGTCCGTGGGGACAAGAAGTTCGGGCTTCATGTGAGTGCCGAAATGGTCTTCAGCCCTTGCCGATCCTTCAGCAATTAACCGGCTGCGAAGGGTGGCAGCCCCGAGATCACACATACTGACGGCCTCAGACGATGCATGGCTTCTTCTCGGAACCCGGTCGCACGGACAGACCGTTCATATACGAGGTCGAAACAGTCGCAGCTAACGCCTCGTTCCCAAATCTCCTCGTGACGGCACGGCAGCCACTGCAGCCCAGCACCAACCCAGCCAGGGACAACTACCCCCCAGCAGACGCAGACCTGCCCCTAGGTCCAGTCTGCTTCAACGCACTCATATCCTTCAGACCATCAGGGATCTCGCAATACAGCGCATCAGAGCCACCACCACAAACGCGGTTCGCGTCGATCCTGAACTCACGGCCCGCGTCGTCGTGGGAGCCGACACCGCTCACCGACATCGCAGGCATAGTCGCCACGGTACCAACGCGCACATTCGGGACATTCCCGGGGCTCGACCTGCGGAAGGTAGACCTGGAATTCTGGAATGAGGGCAAGCCGCTGCACGAGCGGCGCGAGCTGATCCTGTACCGGGCCATCGCGCCGCTGCCCGCCGCCGACGCCAACGCGCACATCCTCGCGCACGCCTACGAGGCGGACCGGAACGGGCTGCTTATGGTGGGAAACCACGCCGGGTTCGGGTTCGACTTCGCGCGCGCGGCGAGTCTGAGCTACTCCTTCGTCGTGCATGTCAACGCGGCGGACGCGACGATGCAGCAGGGCGACGGCGAGGATGACGAGTGGTGGATCCAGGAGGCGAGCTTCCCCCGCGTCGAGGCCGGGAGGGGCATAGTCATGTCGAAGATTTGGAGTCCGAGGGGCGTCCATGTGGCGACGGAGTACCAGGATGGTATCATCCAGCGGGCGTGGAAGCCGGGCGAGAGAGAGGGGAAGCTGTGATAGGAGCCAGCGTGTTTCGACTCGGTACTTCAACTATAGACGTAAAATTCCCATAAACGTAGAAGCTGGTTAAGTAAAATTGGAGGTATAGGTCCAATCGACCTTGTTCGACCCTTGGGATGATGCCATATTTCGTACAGAAGAAGTAGTCCCTTCTCCCCCTTTTCTGGATTCATTTGAATCTTCCTGGACGTCAATGTCTCAGACATAAGAGGTGCAAGCGGCCGTGATACCGGGCATTGTTCGGATTATCAGTCTCCAAATGTGGCTTTATGCGCTTTTCGTTTTGTTACTCGTGGACGGGTCAGACGGGTCACTGGATCTCCCTGACGATATCATCTACATAATCTCGAAGTCAGTTGCAGACTCACCCGTGGACAGCTACCTATCGCATCCTCGACGAGCCCTGCAAAACTCTCGAAAACTTCCGAGTATAGAGGCAACAGACATGGGCGCATCGTCCCCTATCGTCCCATCGCCCACAGAAGACCGAGGATCGCTCTCATTGCAATCGGCAACGATGCCGCGCCATTGTGCTTCAGAACGCAGTAGGTGGCTTTGAGATTGAGCAGACGTTGTGAAATCGCACAGCGGCACGCCTGGGTTTGAGTACATTTTGCCGGGCCATGAGCGGTAGACTGATTATCATTATCTATTCAAGGTGGTTGTCTATGAAGTCTAATATGTTAAAGGGGACGGTAATAGAATTATCGCAAAATCACTCGTAAGGCTGACTTTCAGCCTGCTTTAATAGGCGGCGAAGCAACGACGCCGTCACCATTGCCTTCGGAGGCCACAGATGTCTTCTCCTTGGCCTTTGCCTTCTGCTCCTCGGCTAGTTCTCTCGCCTTCTGCAGACGTTGTCCTCTCCATTTCGGTCCATACTTAACGATGATCCAGAGCGAGGGCGAGGCGCATGTAAAGATTAGACCAATCAATGTAAACGCCCACCCCACTCCAATGCTGCTGATGATACGAGAGATAACAGCCGTGAACAAGGCTCCAGTAAGGCACCGACACAGGTTGTTCGCGGCCGTCGCTGTCGCGGGTGCCTCGGCATAGAGGTCGACGATTAAGAGGTTGTTGATCTGGAATGAACCTGTCACACATAAACCAATGAAGAAGGTCCAGACCAATGGCACGGCGACAGAGAGCCTCTGCGTATATGTTAGCACCCCATTAACGAACCATACAACCTATCTCTAGAGAAGACGGGAAGGAGCAACATCGCTAATGCGCCATATCAAGGCTGAGGGTCGTGAATGGGATGTTTCCATACGTACCAAGTGGAGTATCCATCCATAGCTGATGTAAAAGACGCTTCCGACAGCGATTAGAGGGACGATCAGTTGAATGCGAACTTTCTCGATGGGGAAATCCTTAAGATCGTTTCCACGCTTTCTGTCGACATTAACGCCCATCTGTTTCGCGATCCGTCGAAAGTTCCAGTCTGCGAGAAATCCATTACCGACACTAGCAATCATGGTCGCTCCACCTATTGGTAGATAGCAGAGTCCCAACTGCACATCGTTGTAGCCATATATTTCCTTGAATTGAGAGGAAAGAGTAGCTGTTACAATCTGGAAGCCTATGAAGACGGTAGCATTGAAGCCAAGTACCATCGCCATGTCCTTGTGGCCCAAGACCTTCAGTGTGTTGATCGGGTTGGGCCATTGAGCCTTTCGTCGAATGGTAGTTGGGTCTGGAGGCTGGTGGCGGAATCGAAGATAGTCCACAACAGTCGTGTTCAAGACAGGCGGACGAACCGATCCGTTCCCCACCACCTTGCGTCCTGTTTCAGGCACGGCCAGAATATATGGGATCATCCAGACAACGGTGACAATGGCCAAGAACCAGAAAATCGACGGCCATCCGAGATACTGGGAGAGGAGTCCGCCAATGACAGGGCCGAGGGCAGGACCGACCGTTATGCCAGCTCCTACAATTCCCATGTACTTCCCTCTCTCCGAGCTTGGCGCGATATCAGCAACCACGCCATATACCAGCGATAAGGTCCCACTACTACCTGCACTCTGCAGCATACGAAGCAGAAGCAAAGCGATGTAACTCCGCTGAAGAGCGAGACCGATGTTTGCCCCCAGGTAGATGGTGAAGGCGATGATGAAAGCTGGACGTCTTCCAGTAGCGTCGCCGAAATCGCCGAAGAACATGGGCGATATGGCTTGGAAAATCATGTATGTCGTCACTGTCAGAAGAACCTGTCCGTCGGTGACGTGAAGTTCCTTCGCCAGCGTTGGGATGACGGGAAAGTAGATGTTGGCGGTCATGGGAGATATAAATGCCGATACGGAGTTCATTGCCACAATCCAGGCCTTCATGCCAGGCGAGAAGGCGCTGTATGGTGGTCCGCTGGAGACGCGAGAGAGGGCTTCCAGGTCTTGCGACTGGGTACTGTCCTCGGCTTCATTTTGAACATGATGGTCGGATTCGCGATCGCTATCCGCTGACTGATGACTTTCAACGTCTGATCGAGGGGCATCTTCCGCCAGTCCCATAATTCCTGGTAGAGTACCGACTCCGTTGACGACCTCGTGCGATGAAGGATCACCTCACTGCCGCCAGAGCCAGAGATGAGTAGTAATCTGCTGCTGATCAAGGAAGTATCGATACGTAAAACAATGCTTCGAGAGAAGGATATTGACGTGAGGTGAAGGGTTTGTCAAATTGTCACCACCCGTGCACCTCGGGGGGCCTCGCAAAGCGGGTATAGAGTGGCCGGAGTCGCCCTCCAAGTGCCATTCCAAGGTTATTCCCGCGACTGCCGTCAACAGTATGAGACTTCCGGGACCCACCTACCACCCACCACGGTGCCACTTACCAGGTATGTTGGTCGGGCACGAGACCATCGTCGGAGGAGAGCGGATCTCATTCCCAGTTATCGGTAGCGACATCGGCACGGCGACCAGTTGAACAGGAACTTGCTTTCCTGGGGATATCTCTTGCGGTGGTCCGGAGACCTATGAACACATGGACGAATTCGAAGCCATGCAGTGGACAGCAACATGGGATAGCGAAGCAGACAGCTGAACGGTTCATGAGTTGCATTGTATGCCTACCTAGTGAGCAGTGTTGATCAAAAGACAGGCAGTCAAGCTTGGAATCAAGCATAATGGAGGACGGTCTTCGCTCGCAGCGACCTCGGGACCGCGCATCCCCTGCTGTACCGGTTAGGTCGGTCGGCATGTGCCGGCGATGGATGATGAGGCGGGATGATGCGGGTGTACGGTTTGGCAACGGATCACCTGCAGCTGTGCCTCCCGACCCGTTGGAGGCGGGTGGAAATTGAACTGGCTTACACCAGCCACAGTAGAGAGCGCCACAGCAGGCAAGCCACACGAATGACACGTCTCCCGACAAACGTCACGGACATCTGCAATTAATTCCAGTTCCATTGTTGCCAAGCTCGCGCGGCGGTTGAGGGTATGAAATGAACAGATTGCGCGCTGCCATCTAGATGCTTGCCGCCAAATGAGAAGCTTCGCTGCCCACACAGCGACGAACCACACCCCGACCATACCAGAGCTACCGACTACGCCATGACCGACATTACGCCCATGTTCAATGGCTTCCTCAAGCAACACGAAGCTCCCCCTACAAAAAGGAGCTTCAGCGTGGAAAGCCTGGACGACTTTTTGAAAGAGGCCCACCGTATAGTCAGTCGGTTCGCGCAGCTTGGCTGTGAACCTCTCTTCTGGCCAGGCACAGCTGACTGGGACCGTAGAACTCGCATATTACTTCGCTCCATGCTGATCTCAGGAATATCCGACAATCCTACCTATCGACCGCCCAGCCACGAAAGACCCTGATCCGGTCGGCTCAGAAAGATGGACAGTCAAGACCGCTTTCCGATAAGGAGCGAGAGGAGATCGACGCGAATGCGAAGAAGCTGTTGAGAGATCTCAACGCAAGCATACGCAGGCTTGCCGACGTCGAACAAGCACGAGCCGAGATCGAGACCAGAGTGATCCAGAAGAAGTTTGTACGCGGGCTCGGTGCTTTGGGAGCTTGGGCGGCCGGTGGTACTCCTACAAGCAAATCCCCTGAGCATGCAGCGGCAGAGGACAGCGCCAACATGATCAACGCTCATCGGGACAGCGTGTTGTGGCTCTTACGACACCGACTGCAGGAATGCGTCAAGACGCAACAGGACATGATGGAAATACGAATAATGCGCGAGATGGAGAAGAATAGGAGCGTGTTAGCCAACGCGCGGGGGCAATACGCTTCTTCTCTCAACACCGCGGGCACCGGGAACGTTTACGAATCTGGGAGCCCCGTGAAGTCGAAGAGACAATCAAGCCAGACCTTGCCGTATGAGGGGAATCAACCTTATAACCCGAATGAAGAGACACAGGCTACACAGTCCTACGACGCCAGTGGAGAACTGAGCCAGGAACTGCTTCTCATGTTCGAGCAGGACAACCAGGACATGCTGAAACACTACGAAAGTACAATGGATCAAGTCATGTGGGTGTACCTCAAAGCGTGCAATGCGCTGACCATTGATAAGGTATATTTGCTAACATTGGGGGCAGAACGGCGGAGAGGTCGCTTGTCGAGATATCGGAGCTCCAGACCCAACTGATCACTACACTACAGACGCAGTCGGAGGGCGTCGAAGAGCTCGTGTTCCAGTCGGCAGATACGACGGATAACGTTGGCGGAGGTAATGAACAGCTCAAAAAGGCAACGCAGAGGGCCAGTCCGGCAAGATACACATTTTTGGCAACATGCGGCTTATGCGCGTTTCTGGTCGCGTGGGATCTGATAATATGAGGACCAGCTACGCGCTTACAAGCGGGTAGTCGGCATTATTGCACTACGAAAATAAAAGGGGCGGGTTTGGCATGTGAATTGTTGGGACTTGTGAATAGATGCGACACCACATGCCGCACAGCCAACTAAACTTGCTGGTCGGCAATTGGCCGCGTAACACTATGCACTTGCAATATCATTGGTGTTTGAGAAGACAGCGGTACTCGACGCCAGAATGAATCAACATCCTTAATATCGTCAAGACGGGCCTGTGACCTGTTGAGGGGAGCATCAGGTACTAGAAACAACCTAAGGTCGGTCTGATGACGACAACGACAGTCTCGACGTACCTGACTTCCCGGCCGTCGATACTCATACTGATGCTATGTGGGGGACCTCGGCAAGCCCAGATAACCTACCTTACGATACTCTTTTACTCCAAGGTTCGCCCACATCAGGGTCCGGTCTATCACTAGGTATATAGACCGGACAGGCCCTCGCGTGTTGATCAAAGACCTTTGGTGTCTGCAACTGTCAATCGTTCTTGAAAGATTCCGACCCAACTTGCAATCATATCACCCCATCCATCGCGACTTGACCGGAGGGTTTCATGATTCATCTGTTTTGCTTGACACAGCTGACTGACCACCTGATACAAAGGCCACATCGTCTCAACTCCGAATTCGGGAGTCAATCCAGTGGAATCCTCCATTGATCCCCCAACCGTCCCCAGCTTCAGGAGGTTTGTCCCCCGCTGCTAAGGCTGAAAGCGTGTAAGTGCCCCTCCTTCGGGATGTCAGCCGCTCAGTCGGGATTGTTACCCCGCCACATCCCACATCCAACCTGCAGCTCCCACCTCCAGCTCCGATCCGCCCATACCGGTAGCCATAGGCCATCCAGCTGTCAGCATCCTGCAGGTGCTGTGGTGAGCCGGTGAGCCTGTGCCTGGCTGGCTGACAGGAGCTGATGGCATGGTCCACGGTGTCATTTGTCCATTTGTCACTCGACCATGCGCTGAAACGACCTGCCGAACAGGCAACACAGGCACTACCTTCCTCTGCGAAATCGCCGGCGGACCTATCACAGCCGCCCGTATTCCGATAAATCGGCCCACTGTCACCCGTTGGCCGAGCTTTTGCTTCACCTGCATGACCTGATGATCCCTGTACTAGAGGATCTACACGCAACTGATTCACATATAACCCTCTGCGCCCATCCTCCCACTGCCTTCACAACACCATGCCGCCGTTCGATCCATCCTACCACGGTCAATCTATTTCGCGAGTCAAGAGCATAGCCAGCCAAATGTCTCCTCCTTCAGCCACCAGCTTCTCCGCCGAGGTCGTCCCTCAGGCGCCTGAGGACCCTCTGTTTGGTCTGATGGCCGCCTACAGGGCAGACCAGGATCCCAAGAAAGTCGACCTCGTATGTTGCCTCATACCGCCCTGTGACACCGGACTGACTCGACATCAAGGGCATTGGTGCGTATCGCGACAACAACGCGAAGCCTTGGGTATTACCAGTGGTGAAAAAGGTAAGGTCGCATTCCATCAGTCCGCCCAATTGCGGCGTTTCCAACTTCCTCTCTTGTCTCCTTGACAAGCCACCCGAGCTTCCCAGTCACCGCTTCCTTTCACCCGTTTGAGACATTCTTGTTTGCTGACCGCCTTGCTCCGATATAGGCAGACGCCATCCTGCGCGATGACCCCAACCTCGACCACGAATACCTACCAATTGCCGGCCTTGTCCCCTTCAAGACCAAGGCCGCCGACCTGATCCTCGGTGCCGACTCTCCCGCGATCAAGGAGAAGCGCGCCACAACCGTCCAGACCATCTCCGGCACCGGTGCCGTACACTTGGGAGCCCTGTTCCTCGCCAGATTCTGGACAGGAACCAAGAAGGTCTACCTCTCCAATCCGACATGGGCGAATCACAACCAGATCTTCAGCAACGTGGGTATCCCCATTGCGCAATACCCCTACTTCTCGAAGGAGACGAAGGGGCTGGACTTTGAGGGCATGAAGTCAGCTATACTCGGAGCTGAGGACCGATCCGTCATCCTGCTCCATGCATGTGCGCACAACCCCACAGGTGTAGACCCGACAATGGATCAATGGAAGGAGCTGGCGGACATTATGCGTCAGAAGAACCATTTCCCCTTCTTTGACTGCGCGTACCAAGGCTTTGCATCCGGCAAGCTGGCACAGGACAACGCCGCCATTCGATACTTCGTCGAACAGGGCTTCGAACTGGTAATAGCCCAGAGCTTCGCCAAGAACTTCGGTCTATATGGTGAGCGAGCAGGCTGCTTCCATGCCGTTACTGGCCCGGGAGCTGAAGCCGAGTCGACCATTACCCGTATTGCCTCTCAACTTGCTATCTTGCAAAGATCTGAGATCAGCAACCCCCCGCTGTACGGTGCCCGCATTGCCAGCACCGTCCTGAACGACTCCAAGCTCTTCGCCGAATGGGAGGACAACCTACGCACCATGTCCGGTCGCATTATCACGATGCGTAAGGAATTGCGCGCGAAGCTGGAGGAGCTGGGCACACCCGGTACCTGGAACCACATCACGGACCAGATCGGCATGTTCAGCTTCACAGGCTTGAGTGAGAAGCAGGTGTTGAAGATACGGGAGGACGCGCACGTCTACATGACCAAGAACGGCCGTATCAGCATGGCCGGTTTGAATACGAACAACATCGACTACGTCGCCAAGGCAATCGACAAGGTTGTTCGTGAGGTGCAGTAGAGGGATTTGTGCTTGCTATGAAAGCGCACGCCTGCGTGCTGCCTGTATACTACTTGGGCTGGTCTGATAGGTCTGACAAAGGTTCCACTCAGCTGGGCGTAGGGCGTAGATACGTCAATGATGAGATATGATTTCTGGATGACTTGATTCCAAATCGCGACTCGTTTGTGAAGATGATGCCAAACGGATGCTATGGCTTTCACAGATGTACATGCAATGCTGCGTATCTCAATTTCTGGGATTACCCCTATATCTCGAAACCAGCCCCTTTGCCACAGCCCGGTACAAAGATCGAGTATCCTGATAAGAGCAAACTCTGGCTGACCGCAAACTGACTCTAAATCTAAACCATACCGTGAACAACTGCCAACAGCTACGCCCGTCGCCAGCAACACAGGCTACGTCGACGACGAAGTCTTAGCAGCCACCTCCCCAACGATCTCGACGATCCGCTCGGGCACCTTGAGGAACGCCGCGTGTCCCGACCGTACGCGGAACACCTCGTGGAACTCGCCCGCCTTGACCAGCCCCTCCTGCCACGCGGCCGGGATCGCCATGTCGTCCTCGCAGATCACGTAGGCCCGGTGCGCGCGGATATCCCGCTCGACGTAGTCTGGAAAAGCGGCGAAGGATTTCCAGGTCATGTACTTGTAGAGGCCCTCGTAGGCGCGCTGCGCCTCGGGACGGGGGAGGTCGCTCCACCAGATGGGGATTGCGGAGGGGAGGAGGGTGGTTAGGCCGTCCTGGGAGGGGGGTGGGGTGGTTAGTTTGGTGGGTTGGTGGTTTCTGGTATGGAATTTGGGATCAAGGCTGGGAGGGGATGGGATGGGATAGAATGAGACAGGTTACCTACCTTGACGTCGTGATACTCCTGCGGCTCGAACGGCGTATCGTCGCCCATGAGGCCCTTGCCGCGCGCCGGGTATGCGATGGCGGATACGGCGATGTAGGCTGTGATGCCGCCCTTGAGTCCGCGTTCCGACCGCTCGGCGACCTTCACATTTGGTTTTCAAGTCAGCTCCGAGCTCCTACTCGCTACCTACGGTAGGGTTCCTGGGAAATGGCGAATAACTAAGAAAAGACATGACCGGTTCCGGCACGCACCGTCTGTCCCTCGATAGCGGCCACGGCCGCCAACGCACCCCCGCTATGGGCCACGACGACGGCCTCGCGGCCCTCGTCCAGCCGCGGCAGGAGACGCGCGCGGATCGCCCGCGCCGTGTCCGCGTGCGCGAGCGCCGGGTCTAGCGTCGCGCTGTCGTCGCTGCATGAGGCGAGCGCGACGATCTGGACTTCCTCGAAGCCGGCCTCGTGCAGGAGGCGCTCGAAGGCTGGGAAGGCGGTGGCTTTGTGGAAGGCGCCGAGGACGAGGACGATGATGGGTTTGGGGTTGGGGGCCATGTTCGGCCGCGTGGTTGCTGTTTTCAGGGGGTTTGGGGGATGGTACTTAGGTATTCACGTGGAGGTCTTGTCTACGACGAGAGGACTGGGGGAAGTGCCCATTCGTACAACTCGGACAATTCGGACATGATATTTGTCCATGTGTATATACATTTGAAGCATTGCCCGTGCCCTTATGTGTTGGTTGGTGTTGTGGCACTGCTCCGCAATGAGGAATGGAAGCCAGGGATGCGATGGGCTGGTTTGTAAGCTGGTCTGATACTGGCACTGATGCTGGTACCCTGCCTTTCACACCATCTGCACACAGACGACGACAATCTATTTTGAACGAATGTACTCAACTACAGTAGCCACCACTGATGAGTCGACACCCAGCCGCATCCTCATAGTCTTTGGAAATGACTTAGCGGACTTCGTAGAGTTCGCCGTACTGGCGGGCCCATTGCTCAAAGAGGAGATGTTGGCTCAGGTGCCTTTTTTGACGTGGGAAAGGATGAGTGGGAGGTTGCCGATAGCCGGGAAACCTGCCGGTCCTGGCGGAAAAGGGAGCAGATGGGACGGGAGTCTTTGATACCTTAAGGTACGCAAGGTAATACTTTGAGTGAGGAAGTAGTACACTAGCGGCAAAGCCATGGCTACGAGATGCGAGACACTGTAAGGTAGTTGTAACTTGTAATTTTCATCAGCATGTGCTACAATACACCCGTCACACTATCTCCCCTGCACCCCAGATTGCAGGAACAGGCTGCTGCAGGTGGTTGATATGCACGACAAAGTTATGATGCATGGCCGCCTTTCTCACCAGCAGCCTTGGCAGCCTCGGAACCCTTCGTGAACGTACCGTCGGCGTTGCGGCCGGTATCCTGCAAAGCAGGGTTGTCAGCATCACCAAGATACCTATAAGGTGAGAAGGTTGATAGCATACCTCCTTGTCCATGCCGTCGTGGTCGTGGCTGTGAACACCGCCCTTGTGGCCAGCCTCCTTCGCGGCCTCAGAGCCTTTTGTAAACGTCCCGTCCTCGTTGCGACCTGCCGGCGGGTCGGTGGAGCCCTTGCGCTGCACAAGTCATCCATTAGCATCGTGGAGAGGATGATCTAGACGAAGATGATGGATTGTTCGATGGACCGGGACGCTTACCTCGCCGTCGTGCGCGTGACTAGCCTTGCCACCCATGGCAGCGATCTCCTTGACCTCCTTGGTGGGACGGTTGGCGAAGTTGCCCGGGTTGGTGTTGGTAGTGGAAGACATGTTGAGCGATGTGGTGGTGGTAATCTCTTGGATACCTAACCTTGTGCTGGGAGTTGATGTGTTGGTAGACGGTTCTGAGTGTTGTCGAAGTGGCTGTTGATGTCGAGCTCAAGAAGTACAACGTCACTGTGATGAAACATATATAAAACGTGACAGTTCCATTGGTCAAGGCTCCAGCCAGGCAGCAATAGTCCCTGTTGGGTGGCAAACACGGAGCTGGCGCCGATCTCAGGCATTGTATAGTTGTACGGATAAGGAAGGAGCGATGTCACATCAACGCAGCCCTATCCTCGACCCTGGCACCCTGGAGCCAGCCAGTTGTCCGTCCACCCAGCTATCCCGCAAGAGCCCACCAGGGGCGCCCTCAGATCCTGTAGGTAAAGACATCGTCATAACCACCGTCGAGCTTGCCCTCAACCTCGAGCTTCTTCAGCTCGCGCAGCGCAACGCCAGCCGCCTGATTGGCCTTCGCCGGCGAGGGCGCAACACCCCCAACAGCGGGCGCGTTGCTCAGGTCCGGCATCAGCAGCGGGACCTTGCGCAGCCCGCCGGTGATGGCCTGGCGCAGGCTCGCGACCCAGACGTCGTCGTAGGTGGCGCCGAGAACGATGGCTCGCGGCACCTGGGCGAAGTTGCCGGTGCCGAGCTTGCTGGCTGAGGCCGTGGGGGCGATGCCCTGGAGGAGGGCCGGGATGTCGGTTAGGCCTGCTTCGGGCGAGTCGACGAAGTGGACGACTGTGGGTGGGATGGGGTGTTAGTAGCTGATGATGATGGGGGGCACGGGAGGTGAGATTGGGAGTCTGGGGGTCTACCTTCGAAGTCCGGGGAGATGGCCTCCTTTAGGAGCTTGCCCATCTCCTCGTACTTTCCGCAGAGAATGATTGGGGTCGGCATTGTTGCTTGGTGGTTGAAGTTGAATGTTGATACTGAAGAGTGAGGTAATGCTTTGAAGTGTTCGTGCTGTCGTGTCTGGCTGTGCTTGCTATTGATGATGTTGCTGATGAGCCATTCCCTCTTCCTACAGCCAGTCCCGTCTCATCTTTATATATGCAGGAATCTCTCGCCATATGGCATCGATTCTGCGTCACTGACAGAGAACATTATTGTTGCACTTCGGATCCCGAAGGAGGGTCACGATTCATGCGCTGGTCGAGACGTGGTATACCGCCGGCACATTATTCCGTGGAGGAGTCCGTCTTCATGCCATATATTCTGTACAGGTCCGTCGAATCCAGTGTTTCAGCCTCTCTCTCCACGTCACTGGTACTCTCACCACCAAGTCAGTACAAACAGAAACGTCTCCATCACGGGCTGACAGCTCGTCCCTGTGCCACCTCAGCTGAAACTCGGGGTCCTTGTGGGGAAGGAAAGCCCGCACCTCCGTCCTGCGCGAATTTCAGCTCGGCGTGTGCGTCGCGTCTCGAAAACCGTATCTACACGGGATTGGAGGTTCGGCTCCTAGGAGTAGTGAGCTGAACTGGCGGAGTGGCCAATGGAGAAACACAGTACCACTGGCAAAGACGCCACTGATGACAGACGGGCAGATAATGCATGAACGTTGGCTTGGTTGGGCGACTAGTCGGTAGAGTGGTGCTGTGAGACTTAGGAGAGGGGGTTCCATTCTATCTAATACTATTTCGGGACCACGATTACCAGGGAGGATGCAGGTTAGGTTTTGTTCGGGAGCCCATTGCACGCAAGGAATCAAGTGACAAATGTGCTCCATTTGCCTACTCGTATCATAATGTCCATCCCTCCTTCATTTTAAGCCAGCATGAACTCCTTTCTCCCTACCGCTTTTTCGCCCCTCGCCACCATACCACCACTGGTCGAAGAAAAGGTCCAACACAAATTGTTCATCAATGTATCGTGATCTCGTTACAGGTAGGCAACACCCACCAAGAACATCACGCTCCAGCTGCCCCGATTGTATGGTATCGTCTTCGCAGTCCCAGTTTGCAGCGCGGCCTTTAATCCTCCATTATTCAAAGAGCCCTTGACCCCCTGACCCCCTGAGCCCCTATTCAAATGCATTACCGGGGATGACGGAACCGAACATCAGATCAATGCCACGTGAAAAATCACGAGCCGCGGTTGGTAGGACGGGTCTAACCTCATCAGATTGTGCGGACTCTGTTTGGGAACCCGCTTTATACATACATCGGTGAACAATGATTGGCCGGCGTGCTTCAATAGTACTCACTTCCAGGAGGTTGAGGTGGCTGTTGTCACTTGAAGGATTGACTTTTCCATCTGATCAGCGCTACCATATCGTGACACGGCTCTGTTCCTGTTAGGACGATCATGTCTTGCGGTCTCAATTGTCTGGGCTGCGACGGAGTACGTATAAATTATCTGGGGGAGGCGGCTTGGTGCTCTTGAAACCTTGAAAGACAGGGTCGTGAATGGCCATCAAGGGTATCATGAAAGGCCTGTTCTCTGTCATACAGCTCTTCGACCACTCTACATTGGATTGTTCAGACCTTCGAGATTAGGTAAATGCCGCTTACCTACAAGGACGAGAAACAATGGAGGGGGATCACAAAGCAGTTGAAGCCGTGACAAGTAAAATCATGAGCAAAAAAAAGAGGGAAAAAAAAAAAGGGAAAAACAAAAAGGCCCGGCTCATGTAATGACCCTTACCCCACTGGCAGCAAATAAGCGTTGCAAAGATAAAAAGGGTCGGGGCAAGTCTTTGTATTGGAGTTCCAGTGCCTGGGCATTATTTCTCCCAGCAACTATCGAAAGTGTCGTCGAATGCAGCGTCTTTAGAGCACATTCCGAAGCGGTCATCGTCGTAGCGGTCTTCGTCGTTGTAATCGTCATAGCTGTCATATCCGAGCAAATCCCGTTGCATATCATCCATCCGCTTGTCCTCCCACATCTCAAGAAATTGATCGACTGTCAACTCGTTTCCGGCTGACCCCGAACCCCAAGGCCTTAACTTCTTCTTCTCGGACTGCGGGTCGTAGGCGGCGCCGCAGGAGTCGACCACGCGCTGGGCGCTCTCATCCATAGCCTTCTTCATCCTTTGCTTGTCGATGCGCTTGACGTAGACATCCTGTAGTAGGGGCAGATATTTGACGTCGTTGACGCAGTACTGCATCGTCTGGTCGTCCAAAGGGCGGGGAGCTAAGATGTTGTTGGGCATCAAAGCCCGTACTTCTCTCTTGGTTTTCGCAAAGCGATGGCGGTCCATGAACGGCAGCTTCAAGTCCTTTTCGACGCAAAGGTCAAACCCGCGGAGGTAGGTCTTGTCGTCGGCGCGGGAGGCATTATCAAGAAGCTGCACGTCTGTGACGCCCCCGAGTCGGACATTGTAGTGGGCGTAGAGGATGTCGGCGTCATTGCGTACGTCCCAGAGACATTTGGAGATGTCAGGATCCTCGAGGATATCTTTGAGAGTCTTTCTGTTGGTCCACCCGCAGGTGTAGAAAGTTAACATCCCGAGTTCTTGTACGTCAATGATTTTTGTTACTTGTGCGGGATAGACGAGTACGATCAGGAGGAGAAGGGTTCCATTTCGGCTGAGATTCTGGCCCTCGAGGTCCAAATAGATCGTGCTAGACGGTTGGATCGAGGAGAGAAAGACTCTCAAGTCTGAAAAAGAGGATATCAAGGTCGGGGACGGCGAAGGAGCAGACATGGTTATGGTGCAACATTTGTTGATGTTTTGCCATGTCGAAGCAGGTCGTTTTGTCAACGTCAAGATATTAAAGACCAGTTCGCTCCTCTTCACATGCTAATCCGGACTACCCCTCTCGTACCCGACCAATGATTCAATCATTGTCTGTGCTACAGCTTCAAAAACGCCATCATGATGAATGGATGTTAGCGTTTCCACGCTTGAAACACACTCCTTGTCAACCATACGCCTGTTTGCCGGCAACGACTTCTTCCGGTCCGTGCTGGCGTTTGCGAGCATCTTGGCCGCGAAGCCGCTGTTTGAGGACTTGGGCCTGGCGCACATCACGACACGGCTGGCGGGCTTGAGCACTATTGGCGTTGCGGGCATTTGGGTGCTTTGTTTATTTGGGGCGCGGCTGCGGAGTATGAGTACCTAAACTTTGCGGTTTTGACTGAGTAGAGGCGGTGGTGGCGATAGTGGTGGTGGTAATGCATTTGAATAGGGGCTCAGGGGATCAGAGGTTCGGGGGCTCGTTGAATATAAAAGAGTGAGGCTATTTCAGGATGGTGGCAGTAAGCGTGATAATAACTAGGATGGAAATCATTGGTGTTCCCAACTCCTCTTCAAGTCTGAATCAACAGCGAGGTTCAGGTCACTAAGCCGAGGGTACATGTAGGTATAGGTATATATCAGATGGGAGTCGGATTTGCGTCTGATCGCCTACTATCGGCTCAGGCTGACATAGACTGAACGTCAACTGTTGGAGTTTGCGGCTCCAGCAACGTTCCAACCACGACCTGACCCGATGATATCTGCTCCCCAGCAGCTGTTCCAGTTTCCGACTGTTTGGCCTGCTTGGGCTGCTGGACTTTCTCGACCAATGCCTGCAGCTCTCCGTCAATAGCCATGCCTCGACTTCGACATTGCTTGATGATGTCCTCGACCCTAAAGTCCTCTGCTAAGATACACCTCCGAATGAGGGCCAGAGCCGAGTCTTTGCTCATCCACCAGCCCTCTGGCAGGCCAGGAATTACACGGGCCCTCATCGCCTCGAGGTACTGGAATGCCGTTTCATAGTCCTCTTGCAGGGTGGAAATCCGAATGAGATGATCGTAGGTAGTCTTATTGGGAACGATGGAGAAAGCTTCCATCTCTGCCACAAGGAAGTTCATGCTTTTTCGGTACGTGCAATGGCGCAGCAGGATGTCATTGTACGTCTCGATGTCTGGACCGTCCGCACATATTTGTCGCACACTCCGGTACATGTCCAACGCAACCTTGAAGCTCCGATGAATCTCAGTAGCCTCCAGTATGACGTTGAAAGCAGCGCTTGGAACCGTGTATCGCAACCTGAGCTCATGAAGAATCTCGAGCGCGCTGTCGGTTGCGGCTGATGAATCGCGGAGCATCCAGAATATCGATCGCGTGCTCGACAAGTCTGGAGAGAGGCCGGCTTTGTGCATAATACACATAATGATGAATGCCTTTCGAAGATCTCCATGCTGAATGTGGACGTGGATCAGAGCTTCGTAATGATGCAGGTCCAATTTCCTACCACGGGCCGACAACGCCTGGATCGTACCAATGGCTAAAGCCGTGTCACCGTGTCTCGACGCCGCATTGAGTATATTCGTAGTGACGGCGTCGGAAGGGTTAAGATACCCTGGCGTAACGAAACGGTCCCATATGTATTTGATGCCAGGGTAGAAGGCATCTCTGCTGAATGCGTCGAGTAAAAATTGCAAGGCACTCAATGATAAGGGGCTATCGAGTATATCGGCAATTCGCTGACGATGTTTCAGAATGGCAAAGGCTTCGTCGTGAAAACCTAGATCGCCGAAAACGTAGAGGAAGACATCATAAAGCCACAAGGGGATTGCGCTGGGATTCTTGTTCATCTCCTCCAACTGCGCGAGCGCAACCTCGTATTGTCCATCTCGCAACAGCCCGACGATGATGCTTATTTGGTCATTTGGAGTGACCGAGTACCATCGGTTCTTCATGTCGAAGAGTACCGTAGACCGAAGGACGTAATCAGGATGCACAGCTGTGACCTACAACTCCGTGTTAGCTAGCAAGTACTTCGGTTCGCTGAAGAACATCCCTGACTTCTAACAGAGCTTGGTAGATTTGCGGTGTCGCTGCGATCTTGTACAAGATCATCTCCTGCAGTAGTCGGCCAGCAACCTCGGCAGAGCCGTGGTTCTTGTCGATGTTGGCTCGGATGAGACATTCGTAGAGCCTGACGTTCGGCTTTTGATCTCTTTCTTGCACCAGGTATTCCACGAGCTTCACTATGGAGTGGTACGTGCCTTCCACTTGTGGAAGCTCCTGCAGGGCCGCATAGATAGTCGTGGTTGGTATCCTGTCCAATTTCTTGCTGAAAGAATCAACCCCTTCGAATAACGTGCGTGGTATCCAGGGACTTCGTTGAGCAGTTCTCTTCAGGTATGCGATACGCGATTGCTCGACCGCGTCATGATCATGGCGTGGGCGTGTGTGGACTGTGCCTGTCCCGTTCCCATACGGGACACGGCGAAACTCGCGTCGGCATTGTCTTTGCGGGCTTGGAGCAAGGCGGCGGGTTTGAAAAGTCGGTCGTTTGTGCGGAAGATGCGGGAGGCGGGTCGCTTTAGGGAGAGAGATCAGGTCGATTGAGGGGCATAAACAACGCCAGAGCCCATCGATGATGATGCGCTCTCCTGGCATTGAGAAGGGACAAGTCGACGGGCACAAGCCGCAAGCCGCAAGCCTTGAGACAATCTGGTGATGGATATGGCAAGGAAACCAGCGAATCGCTAGATCGGAGATCCATGGCTGGTGCGCTAAGATTCAATGTCGAGTTCCAGCTGGCCGCCAGCTGGTCACCCAGCTCAGAACATTGGCAACTGAACACTTACATTTACATTTATATGAGCTTACCCATCCGGCAGGCATGAGCTCCTGTCCTCACAGTCGCGAGAAGGCTTTCTATTCTGCACAAAAACTTTGTTCACTAGGTACCTAGCCAAGTTCTGGTGTCTTTACAGGCTATTACCATCTTACTCAACTCGAGCATGGCAACTCGATACGATAGCCTTCAACATCGTGGAGCCTGGGAGGGTCAAGTTGATGCTCTCAACTATTTTGAGAGCATGTGCAGGTCATCCACTCGAGACCGCTGGGTCCTCTGACACCTGCTCCATGAGGACACTACAAGAAGTGTTGGGTTTCTCGATGAAGCACTAGCTATGCCCTGACTCTCCCTGTCGAGCGGTGATTCCCCCAATAATAGGCCAATGTGCTCTTGTGTAGTTGGAGCCCTTCGTTGTGCTCTTGGCTTGTGCTCGACTGTCCCTTTGTATGGTGTGAACTCAGATGCCATCCACACTGCGGTCTCAAGCACCTCGGCCTCTACCACGCCCTCTTCCCTGGCCCCGGCCGCCGCGTCCACCTCTGTCGCCTCCTCTTCCGCCGTGGTCTCCACGCTGTCCACCGCGTCCTCTGTAGCCGCCGCCCTGCTGTCCGTGTTGTTGGTCTTTGACAAGGTCAACGATTTCGTCGGGTACTCTGAGGTATTTGATCTGCGTCGATCGTTAGCGTTGGTAGGTGTGTCGAGACATAGAGCCGCAACGTACGTTGTTTCCCTTCACGTAGACCTCGGGAAGGCGCACGAATTTGTCTGCTTCCTGCACCATCCGACATTAGCTACCGCTCCGGTCTAAGCAGTGGGAATAGCGTGAAGTATACCGGACTCGTCTGTATCACCTCCTTGAGCGTCAGGTTCATCCAGGTGTCGCATTGTATTAAGTGACCATTGAGGGTTTCTCCGCTCTTCAGCTCGACAAGCATGGGGTGGCCTTGCGCCGCGTTCAAGAGACCGAGAGGCAACTGATAGTATCTGTATTAGCGCATAAGCCACAGAGGGTGGCAGTGGACTCCCATACCATCTTGAATGCTGTAGAAAGTTGCGCACGACCAGATATCACAGTTGGTCGCGTTTAATTCGAGCGTCGAACAGTGCGACAAGGAAGCTGGAGTTGCTTGACAAGGCTGATGATGATGCTATGGTAGCTCCAGATTTTGGTGGGGGGATAGTGCAGCAGCAACCAGATCGGATTGATCAAGGGTGCTCGCTGCTCACATGAGCCACTCAGGCTAAGCCACATGGTGTAGCTGCACAAGCCACACAGCTGCACTGCGGCTGTGAGCTTGGGCCACTCACCAATAGCATGTGGGGGGCACTGTCAGAAAACTCTCGGCAGTCGGACGGAGCACATCCGGCTGCCATCCCATCACCTGCATGATCATGGACAATCCCAACTGTCACAACCTCAAAGCCGTTGCAGTATCTTGGCAATTGCTTGTCTCCTCGTGGAACCCCTTATTAGGGTGGGCAATTGATTTTCGGAGGTAGACTTCTATACTGTTGATTCTTATGACCTCCTCTTATCCGAAGAGACCTCGACTTGAAGAAGAGCATCACACGCAACAGATTACCGTGTTCCATGGATTGAACACAACCATTTCAACATCAAGTGGTTGTCTCGCTCTTTTCGATTACTTCATACTGCATACATACGCGCCTCTCATCGCGAACTGCAGACATGCCAACATGCGAGCTTCCGCTTGACACTTGTTTGGCGTCAGTCCAGTCCGGTTCCAAGGGTTCCAAGTGGGTTAGGGAAAGGAAGAGGCCTCGTCAGCTAGTTGACGATGATTGGCCAGCGACGTGATGGGCCCCGGCCCAAGTGGTGATGGGCTTGCGCAGCCTCAGGGGATATCCCGCATTAGGTCATTCCCAGGGCGGAGCGTCAGAGCGTCTGGCACCAACCAAGTGGGTTCACCGTTGACGATACGCGCAGTTCATCCGCTGTCTGCGGTGTCTGTTATCTGCTCTGGCGTGATCCCACTGATGTGCTCTGCCGCTGCGGCCGGACGAGTCAGAAAACCCAGAGGCCGTCCGCGTGGCACCCCCCACACGCAGACACAGCGTGGTAATGAGCGGCGTCGTACTGCAGCTTCCCAGCAACTCGGGCGTCTTACATTACATATCCCACACAGCCCGCATACTAGGCAGCCATTCTGTGCTTCTCTTCACCGGACACCCTCTCTCTCGTGGGTGGTTTCGTGTTCTTCCTACGCCAAGGTCACTTTATTCATTTTTGTTGTTGTTCCATTCCCATACTGTCTCTCACTGCCTAATTCTCCACGATGCGTGGCCTGCTCGAGGCCGCGTTGTTGCTGGCGCCGGCGCTGGCGATTGCGCTCCCAAGTTATGATGAAGGTAAGACTGCTGCCTAAGGCAAGGAGATAAAATGGTTCTGACATGAACGCTCAAAGTCAAGGTCCCACACGCGTTGATCCAGCTTGACCTCAACGGTAAAACAAATAGCGACGTCTTCCAGGAAACGGTGAGTTGTGGGCCTATGGTTACCGAAAGCCACTACTACGACACACTTACTAAGCGAGGTGATTAGACGCTTCAATTTAATATTCTTGAGTCTACGAGCCCCTGCGACTATGGAAATATTACCCTCGACGGACAGACGCTGGTACAGGATGACATCGGCGTTGGGTCAGGATCGGTCACGACGGCCAACGGCAATATCCTCGTCGCCAATTGGAAGTTCACTTGCGTCCACTTGGACAATGAGTTCAAAGGCCAGTTGATGACATTCGATGTTATCTACATTGATAACAAGAAGGTCGAAGACGTTGGTTTCTCGGTTCAATTTCAACAGACGGCGCCGATGTCCGTTTTCTTCGTTGAAGGGGCCGAGTATACCATACCAGACCCTGAGCTTGAAGTTGTCTCCAAGGATGGGACTGCCGCAGATCTGGACGCCGAATTAGCTGAGCTCGAGGCGATGAAGGAGCAGCTCAGGGAACTTGAGCGGTCAGTTGCGATCAAGTTTCAATATATACTTGAGACTTTCGACCTTGGCCGACCAGAGGAGCTACATTCGCTCGGCGAGTGTGACAGCCTGAAGTGTATCGTCAAGGCAGTGTACGGCCGTGTAAAGGGAGTGGCTAGCAAGTTCTATGGGGAGGATACCGGACTCTTTGGTGTTGGTCGACATGGACCACCACATTGGCCATTCCCACACCACGGCAAGGGGCCACATGGCAAATGGCCACCGCACCACGGCAACCACACTCATGGAAACCATACGTTTCCTCCACCCCCACCTTTCCACCCGCCGCACGGGAAGCCTCCTCATGGCAAACCGCCTCACTTCCACCACCCGCCACCACCTTTCTGCCATTGCCCGCCACCACCTCACCCCGGACACGAAAGGCGACCGCCGCCTCCGGATGGCCCTCCGCCCCCGCCGCATCACGGCCACGGAGAGCGACCACCACCCCCTCCACCTCCGCATCATGGCCACGGCAAGATGCCGCCACCCCCGGACGGACCGCCGCCTCCTCATCATGGTCCGGACGGGCGCCCACCACCGCCTCCCGAGGGCCCTCCCCCGCCTTATCACGGACATGATACGCGTCCTCCACCGCCCGATGGTCCTCATCACGATGGTCCTCCCCACGATGGCCCTCCTCACGATGGCTCGGACATGCGACCGCCTCCTCATGGACCACCGCCTCCAGACTTCGGGCACGGACGACGCCCACCTCCACCGCATGAATTTGATAGCCGACCACCTCCAGAGTTCGGCCATGAAAGACCGCCACCCCATGAGCGCCCTGGGCATTTGGTCACAGGTTCCGACGAAGGCACTGAACAAGAACGACCAATGCACTTCACCGGCGAGGATGTCCCGCCACCGCCACCGCCTCCTGGCAAAGTTCCTAGACCACACGAAGGTCATCGTGGCCCACCTCCACATGGTCGACGAGTGAGTAACCCTTGATCCCAAGACCTGTCCATTTTCTGACAGAAGACAGCCTTTCGACTTCCATCCCACCGCGCCAATTTTTCGTATCCTGGCTTCAGTTATAGTTCTAGCATTCCTCATCAGTGCCTTACACACTCGATGTTTCTCAAGCTCGCGTGAACGCCGTAGTCGGTGTGAAGGACAATCGGCCACTCGAACCAAGTACAACAAGAGTGTCCAATGGATGAGACGAATCCTCGGACGTCGGAATGTCGAAGACGAGGAGAAGGAAGCCATGCTACGACGGCTTCACGCTTCGGACAGCGAGGAGGAAGACAACACGTCCACGACGATGGAGCAAGAAATCTCGCAGCTCCGCACAGCCGCCGACATCGTCGGCGAGATGGTCGCGGCGGAAGAAGGCCGGTCGCACACATACCCATCTGGGATGCAAGAGCGCCATGCCCCTACGCCGCCCAGCCCTACATCAGCATTCGCGGACTACGCGGACGAGAGCCTTCCGGCATACGATGAGACCATGCTTGACTTGGAGATGGTTGCCGATGGGTTCGGATATACGCCGGGGAGTTCCACCTACACTCCCAGCGATTCGTCCTTCACGGGATCATCCCTCGACGAGCACCTCGGACGAAAGGACTAGGAGGGTTCGATGCGGTGTGACTGGATTGGGTTGAATTGAATTGGCAGTGACCATATCAGTTCCCACCTGATGGCTAATGTCTATGGTGGGATAAGAGCGAGATTAGTGCTTGGAGACATTGACATTTTTGAGTCTGAGATAATACCCCATACAATCATTTGATTCCTTGAATATACTAAAGTTTTTTACCTTGCTCTGATGCTGTAACATTTGATGATCGAGTGAGCGTAGTGTCATGCGTCCACTCGCAGCGAGTACGTATTACGTTCATGGCCTGCATTTTATTATCTAAAAAGGTCGGTACAATCAGCCACCCCTCATAAGTCTCCTTACGGCATGGCTCAATCAAACTCTAAGCATTGAGATCAGATTCTACTTACAACAAATGCATCCTTACCTGCTAGCTAAACCAGGGGTGTACGTTCCACTTCTATCTAAGCGAGAACGAGCACAGCCTCTCATGGAGGGGCGTAGCAGTGCCTAGCTGCCACGCGGCCGACTGACAAGGGTGACAGCGCGATGGAGGGGGATCCCTACGGACATATAGTCCTATAAGATCTCACTCAAATCCTCCACGTGAAGCCTTGTTAGTAGTTCCTTCTCGACTTACACATGCGGACAAGGAGTTCGTACATATTCACACGTAAGCACTACTGAGAGTAGCCACCACCAGCTCGATTCGGCCAATTGTACATTCAATAGCAATCTACTTCAGATATTTCGTTATTGCCGCTCATCATGGTCTTTAATAAGAGAGAAACGACGGGCGAAGGGCGGCCACAGGCCGATGAAGATGCACCGCCAGCATACGACGAGACCACTCTGCTAGGAACATCAAGCAGCCGTGCCAACGATGCGGAAGCACCGCCTCCGGCACCACCAGCCAAGAGACCCGGGCAGACAACAAAACCGACAACAGGAACGACAACAGGACCGACAGTAGAAGAGCCCTTCAACTTTCCCTCCGTCTCCGACGCCGCATTACCGCCCTACTCAACCCCATCCGGCTCAAACATTGCCAGCTCGAGTACCAGCACCCCACAGCAACAACAACAACAACACCACCGCCCCATCGCCATCCCCCAAACCCAACCCACGCCCACTGCCCCCTTCCTCCCCGCCTACGCGCCCTCTCTGCTCCGCCACGGCATCCCCGCCACCTCATTCCGCTCCTTCCTATCCACACTATCGGCATTTCTATCGTCGCGCGTGTCAGAGCGGTACGTATAAGAACATTCCATCCCAAGACCCTAGGCCTTGTATTTAAGAACAATATTTGTTGTTTCCTTCCCTTCTTCATCTTGGAAATGGCCGTACGGGTTTAAAGACAGGATGTTAACGTACAAGCAGCGCCCTGCAGCACACGGCGGACATGGCCCAAAACCTCGGCGCCGTCCCGCGCACCGTGGGCCGCGAGACCGCCGCGCACGCCCGGGACGTCGGCCGGAACATCGTCACAGAGGCGCGACGGGGCAACCTCGTCGGCGCGGGCGTGAGCGCCATCGTGCAGGGCGGTATCGCCCTGCCGCTCGGCTTTGCGCTGCGCACCGTCGGCGCCATATTCTCGCTGCCGGGGGCCGTGGCGCGGAGACCGCTGACGCCGCGGGAGCGCGCGGATGTGTATGTTGCGTGTGCGAACCGGGACTGGTTCCATCCGCGGGGGCTGCATGCGGCGCTGATGGATGGAAGGGGGCTGGCGCAGGTTGTGGGCGGCGGTGTTGGGGCGGAGGAGCTGGTGGGGAGGGCGTGGGTTGGGGGTCAGGGGACGGGTGCGGGCGATCAGATGGCGGTGCTGGAGAGGTATTTGGCGCCTTTGGAGATAGCGATGCCGGCGACGCCGATGGGATTGGAGGTCGGGACGTTGTGGTTGGTTATGCTGCCGAAGGATGTTGTTCAGTAGCGATACCCTGACGGAGGTTCAAATTGACATCGGGAGCCGTCAGGCATCATACCATGTACGTAGCCAGCATACGTAGATAGATAGTTAGATGTTGGACCGCTTGTCACGTCACATCGCCCCAGTGGCCTTGCAGCTGGTTTGCTGTTTCACAGCAACCAGAAGGTAAGGAAGACATGAGAAAGTGTGCTGAAAGTTTTTATGCACATCTCTGACCGGTCAAAGTAAAATCTGATGAGGTCTTCCTCCCGTTTGTCGAGGCAGGCCTTGCACCGTGCTTCAAAAGTGTCGGCCGGGAGACGGCCCCCAGGAATCAGAAGGCATTCGTTGAGGGGATGGGCACATAACTGATGCCTGAGACTCCGGCGGCAGAGCGGGCAGTCTGTTTTTCTGGAAGCTTGCATCCAGTTCAGTATACACTGGGGATGGAAAGAGTGGCCGCAGGGGAGTGTGGTATGCTCGGTCCCATCTTCGAGATCTAGACATATGCGGCACTCCTCGTATACCCGTCGCTCTCGAGGTTTTATTGTGCCAGCTATTGTTTGCTGGTGCTGAACCGTTTGGTCCTCTCCGATCCTCTTGATGTATCTCCGACCGGGGACCATGGCATCGCTCGCAACCTCGTTGCAGCTATATCTTCGACCTGTCATGTTGAAGGCGTTGTGTGATCCTCAACGTTGTGTTTTTTCTTTCTTTCTTGCTGCTTGAGGTGCAGCAAGTCCCACCAGTCGGTGTGTTGATCTGGGGCTTGATTTCTCCAGGAAAGGCGTAGGTGCGAATGTCGTATGACTCTGAGAAGATGGAAGCTTGAGTTTGAGAAGATTTGGCAGGATGCCGTTTAGGCCTACGCTTATATGCAAATGATTTTACCAGTCTCCGGCTGGTGAGTTGCTGCAACTCTAAATCCTGTCGAACCTTAAAAAGGGGAAGTATGATCATAACGTTTTAACGTGTTTCTCAAAGGGGTCTACACAACAACACAAAGCAAGAACTATGATATTTTCAAGCCTAATTCATCACCAGTGATACGTTGAGTATATATAGAAGAGCATGATCTTCCTGTCCGTTTGAACTTTGCACCTGTTTACCAGCACCACTGGTCTAGGCCTCGTGTGCAGCAACAGGTCAATGCGAAATAAGGATCTGGCTGTCACCTTTCTCCTATAACTAATGACTATTTGGGAGGCTTGTGGCTGGACCAAATCACGCGCGCTTGACCTATAGGGTTCTCTTCCGCCTTAGCCGTCTATCTTGTTAAGTTTACGGTTAACTTGAAGAAGCTGTCATGATTGGCCAGTATTTGCCCAGTAAGTGCCTCGACGTTCTCTTTAGCAGACTGTATTCCCGACAGGAACAAAGTTACAGTCACCCCACATAAGTCGCTGTCCGGGAACCTCGAGAAATTTTCTCCTAATAAGACGTAAACAGTGGAATAAGCATAATAAAATGAGCAACTATATCTTATTAAGTCATGCTTCATGCTTATTTTAGTGTTGTTATTTCATATATAAACAAATATTCCTGAACATTTAAAACCTTGGTCACGGAGTGTGCGGAGACTTTAAAGGGTTCAGTGTGTCTATGTTATTAACATAGTCGTTGGCGTAACTTTAAGAACAAACCACAGCAGGCATATAACGACATGAAATAGATAGTTCAAAGAGAAAGCATCAGGAAATATTACTCAGTTGCTAGACACTCATAGAAGATCGCAAACAGACCGTTGGAGAGTCATGGTTGTTGCCGTGTCATATTGTAGCCCTATAGTTACTAACCAGCGAAGGAATTCTAACTTGGCAGCCTTCATCTCTAATTTTCTTCTGTACATCGCGCTGCTATCCCACACCACAGCCATACGCCAGCCTTGCCCCGCCCCATATCAACCAATTTGTGAAATTATCAAGTGTTCCATATTAAAAGGAAGAAAAAGATCTCTTTTTTAAAAAGAGTAAAGCCCCTTTTATACATAACTAAATAATCCTACATAATCCTTTAAAGTGACTAGATAATTATAATAAACACTTGTTATTTAAATTAATTAAAAGCTAGTGTTTACAATGTTATACGTGTATTATAAATGCTTTAAAGTTAACGCTTTAATACATTCAGTTTTTAAAGCCGCTTAAAACCTTATTTAGGCCTGTTCAAATCTTATTATTATTATAACATTTTATACGTCTTTTTGAATTAAAAATATCACTATTAACTAATAACCTTATAATGTTATAACATGCCTTTTTAAAAACATTATCGCACGTTTAAAATCTTAAAACTGTCACAGCGAGCGTACTGAGGAGCTGGGACATGGCCGGCAGCAAGCAGCTATTACTCTATTGACGAGAATATCAAGACTAGAGAGGAAAGGAAGAGAGAGAGAGAGAGATAGGTACAGTGGGAGGTTGCCCCTTTAAGGGGATCCTCTGGTCAGATCCTTCCCATATTGGGAAGTATCCGCTTGTCATGTGGGAAGGTCTGTGCAGGCCGTCACAAAAACTGTCACAATTCCGTGAATGTATTACAAGGATACAGGAACCCTTATTAACTATTGACGTATAACAAACTCTGGTTAAAGGAAAAGAAAGATCTGGAGATGCACCCAAATTGGTGAGCAGCTAGATGTGGGCAGTCGTCCCCCACCAAACCCACCAGGGCATGAATCAACCTATCGTACGATCAGTCACGTGCTCAGTCACGTGACCCAGGGACCATGGGGACCATCGCTAGACCTGATGGATGATGGAACCATCACACTTAAGCTTTAATGAGGTTAAATAAGTCTTTTATTATAAAGTATTATTTATTACGATATATTTAATTGAGAAATAAAATGTTAGATTAAAAAAAGCATATTTTCTATCATTTTAATCTTTTATATGCTTTTACAAGTAATTAAATCAGACTTTATATCGTTAATATCAAAAAGTTCAATTAAACCTTTATTTATAATAAAATTATTAGAGTTAAGATTTATTTATAAATAAACGAGTTATTTCTTATAATTATAAATAAAGATAATAAATCTAAAGTCAAAAAGCTATTAATTAAAAGTAGTAAGAATCGAATAAGCCTGATTTTTAAACCTAAAAGGAAAATTAAAGTCGATATTAACTTAATTTAATTTATAAAAGATACCGTTATAAAACGCAAAGTTAACTACCATTTCCAAAAAAAATTGTTCAGGTTTTTATTAGTTAAGAACTGTGAGATTCTAGAAGGGTCGCAAGCCTTGGGGATGTGAGCGGTTGCTGCAAATGTTGTTGTCATTCTCAAGTATGCTCGGCAGGGCTAATCTACAGCTAAATACCATACTGCATCATGCCAGGGTGGATACACTGTTCCCTTGACAGCCCCCTAGTGGGTACTGCACCTAAGGGCACCATATCTGGGATCCAACATCTGACAAATGGTTTATATTAAAAAGAAAAGAAAATATCTCTTTTAAAAAGAGGTAGAGCCCCCTTTATATATAACTAAGTAATCCCATATAACCCCTTAAAGTACCCAGATAACCATAACAGACACCTGTCATTTGGACCAATTAGAAGCCAGTATTTACAGTGCTGTAAGTGTGTTGTGAATGCTCTGGAGCTAGCGCTCCAGTGCATTTAGCCCTTAAAGCCACCTAAAACCTTGTCTGAGCCTGTTATGATCCTACCACTGTTATGATATCCAACACAATGAGGCGCCATATAACTACTGCTAGGACAATGCCAGCAACCACCCATCGCGGCTCGGAGTTGTTCCCGATATGACCGTTGTTTGTACGTGCTACCACCTGCAGAGGCCCGCCGAGGTTGTAATGGTAATTGACCGTAGTGCTGCCTTGCCACTCGTTCTCATCTCTGTTTTCGCTGTGGGCGGAATCGGTGGAGTCTGCAGGCATTGTAGAAGTCGAGGCAGTGGTGTGTCCGGCCTCTGAAGCTCGATGGCTGTTTCGTTCAGTGCGCTGGCCATTGGCGGCACTGCTGCCTGGTCGGGATTGTCGCATGAGCTGGCTTGACTCCCTGCTTGTGGTATTGGACGGTGACGAGTTGCTGGAGATGGGTTTCGTGGAATCTGTGGGCGACATTGATGTCGATGTTGATGTGGATGGTGGTTGTTGTTGTGGTGGTGTGGATGCTGGTGGTAGCCCATGACGACAGAGAGGTGCCAAACAGGGTATGGTGCTGAGCTTCACGGTGATTGCATCGGCAACCTTGCGGTATGGTTTGTTGACCCGTTGCTGGAAATTTTTGGTAGAGGCGATCTGTGATTTGGCGATGGTGAGGCATTCGCTGATCGTGTTCTTGTACCTCGGGTACAGGCAGATGAGTACGAGGACGCAGAAGTATACCCAAGGAGGCACGGCGAGCTTCTCCAAGGTCCATTCAATGACCTCGCCCTTCTTCCTGTCTTCATATGATTTCCAATAACTTCCGAGGTGCTCCATGGTGTCAGTGGGTAAGCAAGGAATCTTGAAGAACTGGATGAGGCAAGCTCTGAGCCGAAGCAACGAACTTGAGGACCGACTTGAAATATGGAGGGTTATCGAAATGCTCGTCATCACTTCCAAACATATGATTCACTCTTCAGCGAATTGGGTCTTGTTTGCTAGCATCGTGCGCGGTACATGGGATGAGAGGCCTATGAAAGCCACCCCGCCAATTATGCAGCAGTGACTCCAGTCGTGATGATGAACGAGCGTTTCCACAATGAGGAAAAATCAGAAAGTAAAAATGAATATATACAAGAACTTGAAATCCAGTCCCTAAATGATATATTGAAGAACATAACGCCCCCACAGCCAGGCCCAACTCAAACCTGTCGATGCAGAAATTCTCCTGCTCGCCTCAAGCAAGATCGCAAGCCCAGACTCCATCAGCGATAGCGCACCCAATCCTGCTGTAAGCAGGACTCGTCAAGATCTGCGCATGGCCCGTCTGACCCGCATGATCCCAACCCACGCCCTCGGTGTCGCAGATGCCGTCAAGGCCAGGCAGGTTCGGCTCCTCACAGAGCCAGCCACCGACAAAGACGTACTCAAAGTCGGTGGGATCACCCGGGGCGAGAACCTGGGCCAGGGAGCCCGGGTTCAGCTCATGGACCACTGTGGTATCACGTTTTAGCACTGCGTATTATAAGGGGTGGTGAGCTTCAGGGAGTGTCGAATAAGTTAGACTCACGCTGTCCGTTACCATCCTGCGCCGTCTTCAGAGCATTGGCTTGAAGCGTATCGTCCTCTGTCAGTGCACTCAAGCCCAGCTTCGAGCGCCACTTGCTGACGATGGCCATGTATCCGCTGCCAGCGCCGGCCGTGGCGGTGGGCGTGGCGGTGGGAGAGGTGGCTGTGGGAGAGGTGGCTGTGGGAGAGGTGGCTGTGGGAGAGGTGGCTGTGGGAGAGGTGGCGGTGGGAGAGGTACTACTTGGGACCTCAGTGGTCGAGGCGTAGCCCGACTCCGTGGCTGTTGGATTTTCTGTAGTCGCGGGATCAGGGATAGTTTGGACCCTAGTCGTCGAGGAGTGGCCCGATTCAGTGGTTGCTGGGAATTTTGTAACCGTGAGATAAGTACTAGTTGGGACTCCAGTCGTCGAGTTATGCCAGTAGGCCGACTCCGTAGATGTCGGGTATTGCGTGGCCGTAGGGTTAGTAACAGTTAGGAATCTAGTAGTCGTCGGGTCGGGGCCCGCCTCCGTGCCTGTTGGGTATCCCGGGGCCGTGGGAGAAGTACTAGTTGGAACCTCAATCGTCGAGGCAGAGCCCGATTCCGTTGCTGTTGGGTATTCCGTGGGCGTGACATAAACAGTAGTTGGAACCTTAGTCGTCGTCGGGCCCGGGGCTGCCTCCGTGCCTGTTGGGTATCCCGGGACCGTGGGATAATCACCAGGTGGGACCTCAGTCGTCGAGGCGTGGCCCGACTCTGTGGCTGTTGGGTATTCCGTGGCCTGGGTTTGGGTCTCCGCAGGCTGAGAGATCATAGTCTGAGAGACCGTAGGTTGGGCGCCTGTCTGTGTATGGTGCCCATCGCCTCCCCAAGATCCCCCGTGAGTGTGTGTGTGGTGTCCCCAAGGCCACCCCCAGGTGTGTGTGTGGTGCTTGCCGCCTTCTCCAGGCCCCCCCTGACCGCCGCCTTTCCCAGGTCCCCTCGGGCCACCGCCGCCGCCGCCGCGACCATGCGGTACAGCGATGGCAGTACTGGCTAGAGCGGCGATGAAAAACGTTGAGATCTTGGTGTACATGGCGAATGATGCTTCGAAGAACTTCGCAGGAGCTGAAGGCAGGTAAAACTTGAGGGTGTGATGTTTCGGCTGACACGTAATAAGGAATGTAGGGAAGACTGGGAGTCCGCTAACGAATGTAGGGAATAAACGACTGTAGAACCAGCAGTCCTAGAGAATGGATGAAGACTCAGAGTGGAGACTGCATTGTATTGTTGGAAGCTACATGTGGCACGAAACGGCTCTTATATAAACCCATAGCGAGGTAGCGAGTGAACAGGAGTAGAGGGTGTGCTGAGTCCCATGACCGGGCCGGAATTACGCTAGCTCGAACTTACGGCCTTATGAAAGGAGTGAGAAAACAGCACGTTGGGTCATTCTTGCTGTTGCCATGCCAGCTGCGCGAGGCTTTTGCATAGAAACGTGACCGCCCTGGCGTCGTCTCGCGTTGAGACCTCTCTGATGCTAGGGAGCTGGCTAAATGCTCTTGTCTGAGTTCCACCATTCCTCCAGTATGCAGGATAGCTTCTAGTACGGGGCCTCTCCCACATGACAAGTCTATCAAGCTTCTGGGGAACTTTATGACTCAGGAGTAGGGCGGTGGCTGAAACCGCCCTCGATTATTGGTATGCTAGCTGGCCTCTGCAACGATGGAAATCTTTTTGGAACACAAAAGTAGGTATGCAACTATAGCAGCGAAAAAAGCCACGAAAGAGGAACTTCGCGATCCTTGCTCCCGTGGGACTACACGGAGCCGACGTCACCGTACCCGGGGCAGTGGGATCGCGCGTCCACCGAAGCCCGGGCTGCAGAACCTGGGCCGGATCGGATGCCGAGTTTCTCCAACTAAGGACGGCCCCGACCCGGAATAAACCTGCCACCTGATCCCACTGTCTCGCCCGTGACGTCAAGCTGAGACTTCAATATAGCAGCGGAACCGACGGGCGATCGTATCTATCTTCTTCTGGCCCGAGACCGGTCTCCCATTATGAGTCGTTCCATAACACGAAGCTAGACCAGCGAGGATATACCATACCTCATGCGATGACTTGACTGAACCGCAATGTAACTCGGCACTTGAAAGGATGAATTAGTAACCACATGAGAACAGCCAAAAAAGTGACGTTACGTCGAGCGGCCACCCGGAGCCGCCTCCGAGACAACCTCATTACCGTGGTCTTAGTCATTGATGCAGACTGAGTAAATGGAAATCTCCGCAAATTCCCTCGACCATGGCGTGGAATCTATATCGAACCACTTTTACTCATGCCTTGTTGGATTCGCAGGCGCTGAAGGCAGGTTATCTTGAACACATCTCTTCCACGTTCTCGATGAGCAACCTGTTCCCTGCTTTGATGCACTCGAGTCGAGACATCTCAAGCTAGCAACACGGAGCCGAGTCGTAGATCTACCGACGCGAGACCGCCGCAGCCCATGACGGCAACGATCCCGCATTCAGCACGCGCCCGCGGGCCCGCGGTCCCGCGGTTCCGGAGAGGTGGGTCCAGGAATGGCCGTGCCAGGCCGTGGGGCAGCCATGGTCGACTGCCGGGTCACCCCATGGCCCGATCGCGACATACGTGTCCGGCTTTGATAGAACAGACTCTTCAGAGCTGGGCGTCTTGGAGGTCTCGTGTAATGGCCATTTGATGTTCCTGAAGAATCCCAGCGACAATAGTTGGAGCCTGCTAGTGATACTGACTTAGACAGCGGGGCCTCTGCTCAAGAGGAGTGAAGAGTGAACGAAACCAATGCTAGTGGAAGACCACTGATACTTGTTAACTTACGTATACGATGCGTTGTGGTAGACAGCTAAGTATAAAGCTGTGAAGCGAAGTCTTCAAGAAGTCCGTTCCGACATGGGCGAACTGCATTTAGATGGCTCTTCCGAGTCTCTGACTACCTCTGTTATTATGAATGCGTTGTCCATCTCCAGTAGCGCGTTGCTATGTTCACAAATTGAATGGTTGCAACTGTTCGTGTAAGCTGATGACCACCTCAATATCAGTCTCATACTTGTACCATAATCATCGAATCCCTGGTCGGACTGCCCTATCACGAGCCTGTGAAACGCTAGAATCTCGCCTCTAGGTCTTCAACCTTCACAGCTGGCTCACCACTACCACTTCGTGACGCGCCACTGCCAAATGGGGGTCCAGGGGGAGGAGAGGGTGTAGTGATGAGCATCTTTTGGTTGGCGAGGTCAGAAGCCAACTTCCTGGGCGCGCCACCTACAGCAGAAGTCGCAGATCGCTGGAGACTTCCAAAGATGGGAGTTCCGAATCGTCTTGGACGTTGGTGTCTCAATTGGTATCGTGCCCACAAGTCCTCGTCCATGTCTTGCACATTTCGCTTTCGCAAGCTGGGGGAACTGTCGCTGGAAGGGGGGCCACTGTAAGCGGCGATTCTGGGAGATACAGGATCCATGGGGTGGGCTTCCAGGATGTGATTGGCCGCTTGGATGCCGTGTTCTTCCTTGTGAGCCAACGACGGTCCAGCCAATACTCGTAATCGCTGAGAGTGAAGGATGGTGAGTCGGTCGCGAGTCTTCTTGGCCGCCTTCCTAGCCTGTCTCGAGTCTTGCTTCTTAGCGGCGCCATTCGGAGCTTGTCGGTCTCTGGCATCCTTACGACTCTTCCGCTTGATCCAGTCTCTGTATCGAGCGTCCTTCAGGGACAATCGTTGCCGGGCTGCTTTCATTTGGGAGGCTCTGTTCTTCGACTGACTCGCCAACTTCTTCGCCTCTTGTTCATTGCCATTGAGTTGTGTATCGAGCAATCGACGGTTGAGGTCGCGGATATCCGTCTCGAGAGTCGGGATTAGAGTTCGTAGTTTGGGGATGGTACAGAAAGGAGCACCTGGGCGATCGGATGGTTGGCTGCTAAAGAAGCGAGAGACACCCTGCAGAAGGTGTGCGGTGACTTGAAGAGGGCCGGGCCAGCCCATGGTGATTAGGAGGTGTAGTGGGGTGCGTGGCTAGAAGCTTGACACGTATAGAGAAAGGGGGTACCAATTGAAGTTGGCAGATGGTACGTCTGTCTGCAGGTGGGTGTGGATGACTTGGGGGTGACTGGCTTGCGGAGTTGCTGAGTCTGGAGTTTTGCTGTGTCACCACCCAGCGTGGGTGGATGATCGAGGAGAGAGGTGAAAGAGAAACGGGGAAGAGACACCCCAATTGTAGAAACGACTTGAATTGGAGTGGTCAATTGCCAGTCCGCGATGTGTGGCAGATGCGACCGTCACTGCCACAGAAGTTGCTGCACTCAGGAAAAAGGGTACGTTCCTTCCACCCTGGCTCTTGCTCTTCCTTCCTCGTAATGCATGTCTGTCCTGTGCTCGAACAATGCATTCCTGCGACAGGACTACCTAACTTCGGGTAGAAGCAGGCAACTGGCTGCACGGGTGATCTCTCATGGCTACCCTCCTCCACACTCCCGAAGGCGACCCAGTACAATACATATATCACAAGCTGCAATTGATACAATGCCATCCCAGTCAGCCGCGGATGCGCACTGATAGAGCTCTCGCTCACGCCTCAAATTTCATGACCTCGTACCATACGGTCCCCAGTCCATCCAGCCTGTCGACGGATACGTTGTACATGCCCTCGAATGCTAGCGACCGATACAGAGGATACCCAGCCGGTGTCGCCAACAGCGTCGTCGGCATTCCCATCTTGTCCGCCAGCGCCATTCCCCAGCGAAGGTTCTCCGCCGCGAACCCGTTGCCGTCCCATTTGGGGTGGGTGGCCAGCAGATGGAGGTAGGCATGGCGCTCGTACACGCCGTCGAGGTATGTTTTCTGTCCGTAAAGCATCGCCTTCTTCAGATGATCCGCGCGTGTCGTGTTGGTCGCCAGATGCAATGAGCAGTTACCACTGTCAGTCGCTTCTGGCCCGAGGGACCATGAGGTGTAAGGACTCTCGGCTGTCCTGTTGAACTCCCAGAGCGAGGTTGACACGACGCGACTGCCCGAGTGTCTGGTCTGATCAGGAACCAAGAGTACACGGAACTTTATGCCCTTAGGCGCAAGCTTGTTGATGACTGCTTTGACTTGGCCCTCAAAACAATCCCTGTAATAGTCGGTGTAGTTCTCGTAGAATTGGTTGACGTACGTCCAGACAGGAGCTGGAGTGAAGGCGTCGAGGAAAGTGGTGGCGATGTCAGCGACATCGGCCAAGACGGCGTCCCGAACCTCAAACGGCACGCCAGCTGCCAGGGGCTGCTGCTGGCTCGACGAGGCCCCGGCGGACGGAGAGATACATGCGAGGAGTGTCGCGAACGCAAGGGCGACAGCCTTGATTGATGGCATTTGCATTTGGGCAGGTTGACTGAAGCATGTGCTGTGCTGTGCTCAGGTAATGAATGGCAAGATGCAGAATTTGAGATGTTTGGACGTGTAGTAAGCGAAGGATTTGTCACGGCAGGGGACGTGTGGCTTCTGACTGCATCTGCTCGGGTCGCTTCGGTGATCCGACTTCAAGCTCACAACGACATATACGTCCACCATTGATTGGGTGGGCAAGCCATTTGCTTGACTAAAGTCCTCGCAAATGATGCCCACAGCTCAGCCTCCTAGGGGTTACACGGCAGATTTATAAACGAAGGAAAGCGATTGGACATTGAAGAGAACGGAGCCTTCTAGGTTAGCCCTGGACACGTCGTGAGAGCGAACTCATCACGGAGACGGAAGCCCAGCCAGAATGCTGCGGTATGGATGACAAACCTACCTGGGGGTTGGCAGGCATAGCTGGCACGACACGGCTACGATTCCAGCTATGACAAGTATATAAGGACCGATGCAAGAAGTTTGGTTCCCACTCCCCGAGCCTCGGTGACCACTCCTTCAAACCAAGTCGAAAACTGAAGTCAACATGTCGGTAAAAGCTCTCTTCGTTATCACAACGGCACTCGCCAGCCTAGCCAGCGCTATTCCAGTCCAAAGACACAGGCAGACCAGGCAGACTGCAGCCCTGCCCATCGTCGTCATCGAGGGCTCCACGCCAGATGCCGACGGTCTCGCCCTCACGCAGGCGACCGAGTCCCTCTACCTCTATCACAGCCGTCTCGGCCAGGCGGGCACCAGCGCCATCGTTGTGACCGAAGTCGCCGCCGCCGACGCCTTCTGGCACGCGACGCTGTCGAACGCGACCGGCCGCTACGTCGCCGGCAAGGCGCGCATCCAGGTGCTCGTGGACCCAGCCGTCCTCAACGCGTCCTCGGTCGGGGCCTGGTTCGCGGGCGCCGGCACGGGCTGGCCTAATGACTTCCTCGAGTCCAGCCCGACGCACTTTCTCGGCTTCATCGGGGCGGGGACGAGCGACCCGGCTGCCCTGGATGAGAACACGGAAGGTTGGGGCAAGGGCCCGATCACGTACTTCAAGGGCAAGTTAGAGGAGCGGCCGGCCTTCATCCCCGCGCTCGAGGACTTCTCCGAGGACGGGCAGTTCAACCTCGGGCTGGCGCTTAAGGATGGCACCACGTTTGCGCATAGCCTGACGGGTTTCCGGGACCTGCCCGACGGAGAGGGTGTCGAGGTGTTCCAGGGTATCTGGATCCCAGATAACGTGCCCGACTACGTGGTGTCGGGGCTCCAGGAGCATCTCACGGTCGAGACGGCGAATTGGTTGCGGCTTGCTTATCGATGGGTCATGACGAAGGCTTGAGGGTGAGCTGGTGGGCCTCCGTGACGGGACGGTGGTTCGTTCAGTGTACCTACCTCGGTCTGATATCATTAGACGCGTCATTTGATCGCGGTCGCATGAACGCCATGCTTACAGTCATTGCCATCAGCTGAATGAGTGATCTGAGACTTTGCGATATGATCGTACGAGTCACTCCAACTTGTCGAAAGTAAGGTATGACAGCGAATACAGCATTGTAAAGGGGCCCTTTGTTCCGCTTTGCGCCACACGCGTTCCACGAGCTGATCGCCCATGATAGTCACGATAGTCTAGCAGATATTCTAGATTAATCCCACGATACGTCCAAGGTTACCCGTTGGTCCATACGCATTCTTCAAGGGACCTCCTTTCAAGTTTCATATAGTTTCAAGGGCATCGCACACGGGCCAACGGGTAGCGCAGGGTCCAGCCCGTTGTGGGCCCGTGCAGTGAACGATAGGGCATCTCCAAGCCCTTGACAGCGGCAGATGACCATCACCATTACAGCCACCTTCTAAGTTTCCACCACTTGCTTTGAACAGAACACCACAAACCAAACAAACTTCAAGTTTGACGTTCGTGTGGGCGCCACACCTGAACAGTGAACAGTGAACAGTCGACTGATGATTAATCGCGGCGCGACCCACATATCAAAACCCATGATCTGCTTGGCCCGGCGCAGATCACGCCCACTGATCACTGATCAGCAACCCTTCCGCAATGGATATCAACGTCACAGCTCTGCCGCGAAATAGCGCGGCAAGGCCCAATCGCCTATCGCAGTGCCCACTGCCTGGCAGGGCAGGGTGGTACGACATCGTCGATCCAACTGGACCTTGGCCGCTGGGCTAACGACAAGCCGCAGACTGGCGTTGGGACCACAGGTATCCGCGGGTATGGTCAACTTCCTTAGCTGGGATACTAGTGGTCTTTCTCTTCTGGCATCTTCTTCACTACTGGGCACTCGCTTATTTTTCCCTTATTTCTTCAGCAGCAGACAAAGCCATACATAGGGACAATCTCCACAGACATGCTCTCAGGTCTCACTCTCAGGCAGCCAACCGCGTCAAGTCATATGTAGCTAAGCGCTCACTATATGGCGTAGGGCCACAGGAGTCACCAGGACATTCGAACAATCCAGCTCTGTAACAGGCTTGTGGCACGGGCACAGCTGGGGTGACCTCCTCTGAACACCACTGCTGATATCGTCCTCGGATATGAACGCTCGGGCTTGTTGGTCGACGCTCCCGGCGGCTGAGAGGGCCGTCTCAGGTCTTATCAGTACCGTCCACGTTGGTGCCATATTTCAAGACAACGGAAGTTCCCTCATTGCCTGTCTTGGCACATCTGATAGCACCGTGTTCGTCGGAACGTGGTTGCGGCTGACGAGTGTGTCGAAACCATGCCCCTGACTAACCCGAGATGATGGCCCGGGATCCTCCCGGCACCCGACTAAAGACTAGGAAGAGTGACTAGTTGAAGATCACCCGCTGCCATGTGGGCGTGCAACATACCCTGTAGGTCGGGACCGAATCGATAAGTCTGAAGACTTTATATTCTAAAGCGCCCATTCAAATGGCTGCAAGCTGACCTGTGACTAGACAATCTCATTCCCTTGCCGTTTGGCTCGGACGAACCTGACGAGTCGAGTCTCATTAGTGAGCGGCCCCCTCGTGACCCGATACGATTCTGCGCCGGTGATCTCTGCGTAACCTTTATCTTTCAAGTTCCGAGACGTGATGCTGCGTGTTTTCCTTCGAATCCCTTATCTTGTCGCTTCAGGGGTGCTAGCTTTGGCCTCATGATAGAACGTCACGCTCAGGCCTTGCACTACGAGGTAGGGTGGGACCTAGCATGAATATGGCAGTGCCCACGTCGGACTATGCAGGAAGCCTGCTTGACGTCTTTATGCTTATTAAAAGGACGAGATTCATGACTCGGACGTTTGACCTTTGGCCCCAAACAGGGAAATGAAAGCCAGACCGAACACCGGCGCCGACATTAGGGCTGGAAACTTGCCTTCGGGGTAATTTCCTAGATATCGCCTAGGTAATCCATCTGCAGTAAGTCTGGCGTCTTAGGGCTGCAAGTGGCGGTCCGTATTGTGTCTTGACAGACGCTTGAGGCCGGTCTGGCTGTCTTGAGGACAAGACCGGCTTGTTAGTTTGTGCAACTAGCTGATCTGTCAAGCTGCTCGTATTGATAACGGTGGCAGCGGCAAGCCAGTGTGCTCCTGATGGCATATCATGATGACAGAAAGTGGTGGCGAGGTCAACCCTTATCGTCGCTGGAACAGGTTTGACAACGGCTCCCCGGGTTGCTAGCACCTACGCTCGCAAGCTAGTCTATATTCTGGGAGATGTCTCCCACGCGTGTCGTCCCCCTCCTGTTCTGTCGACCTTCCCTTTCGTTTCCGTAACTCAGGTGTCTATGCAACAATTTTCCTATACCTGAGCCGTCTCTGGCTATTGGACTTGTTGCCTACCAGATCGGTACATTCGTTTATTGCCTTTTGATAGACCTTTCTCCTCCAAGACGAACTCCCTTAAACGGGCAGCGGGTCGGGATGTCGTTCGTTACAATATCAGTGTTTGCGTTGATCAGTCTACCCTCGTTGATACATGGACTTCGCTTCGACTCGGCATATGAAGCACATAATCTGAACCAGAACCGCACGGCGGAGAACCCCTTGGACTACTGGGGAGAATGGACCGACCACTCTTACAACCCGTCGCCCTCGAACTGGCGCTTCCCGTTCTACACTCTCTTCCTGGACAGATTCGTGAACGGCGATCCCACAAATGACAACAGCAATGGCACGCTATTTGAGCAGGATATCACGAGCACTCAGTTCAGACATGGCGGAGATCTGCAAGGACTCGTCGACAGCCTGGACTACATTCAGGGCATGGGTGTCGAGGTATGTCCGGACCTGGCTCAGTATAGGTACACTCTCTTTATGCGTTGATGCTAACCTTCGATAGGGTATATACATAGCTGGATCTCCCTTCATCAATAAACCATGGCAGTCAGACTCATACTCGGTATGTCTCCTATAGCCGTGTTCCGTTCACGGAAGCTGACGCTAGACAGCCCCTCGATCACACATTGCTAGATGAACACTTCGGCAACATTAGCGAATGGCGCGAGGCAATCACGGAAATCCACAGTCGTGGGATGTATGTCCTTATGGACAACACAGTCGCTACGTGAGTCCTCCAAGGTCTCGGATTAGGAACAGTCAGCTAAATTTGCTTACAGAATGGGAGATCTTGTTGGATTTGATGGCTACCTCAACGAATCCACCCCATTTGTGACGGGAGAGCATCCGGTCTTATGGAAGAGTGATAGAAGGTATCTCGACTTCGATATTGGGTTTGACTATAACGAGACTTGCGAGTTTCCGCGCTTGTGGGCCGAGGACGGCTACCTGATCAGCGACGACGTCATGAATGAGTTTAAAGGCTGCTATGACGGAGACTTCGACCAAGTAAGCCATGTTTTCCCTCCGATCCTCATGCAATATTGACACGACACCTTTTAGTTCGGTGACACTGAGGCGTTTGGCGTGTACCCTGACTATCGACGTCAACTCACGAAGTTTGCCTCCGTGCAGGACCGTCTTCGTGAATGGGTCCCGTCTGTGAGAGAAAAGATCGAGCATTTCTCCTGTATCACCATTGCCATGCTTGATATCGATGGGTTCCGATATGACAAGGCCACGCAAGTCACCGTTGATGCCACCGGGCAATTCTCCACTCACCTCCGGGAGTGTGCTCGACGCTTAGGGAAAGACAACTTCTTCCTCCCCGGCGAAATCACCGGAGGAAACACGTTTGGATCCCTCTATATCGGACGTGGACGCCAGCCTGATCAGTACTTCACGAACCTGACGACTGCTGTGTCTGTGACGAACGGAACAGCCCAGGAAGATGCCAAATTCCTGCACGACGAAGGCCAAAATGGTCTCGACTCAGCCGCTTTTCACTATTCGATCTACCGACATCTAACTCGTTTCCTGGGAATGGACGGAAATTTGGAAGCTGGATTCGACCTTCCACGGAATTGGGTCGACTCCTGGAACGAGATGTTGCTCACCAACGACTTCCTGAACCCCAACACCGGGGTGGTGGATCCGCGACACATGTACGGAGTTACGAATCAGGATGTCTTCCGATGGCCAGCTATCCACCAAGGTATTGAGCGAATGCTGCTAGGCCAGTTCATCACGTCACTGCATATGCCGGGTGTCCCGTTGATGCTCTGGGGGGAAGAGCAGGCTTTTTACGTTCTTGACAGTACAGCAGACAACTACATCTACGGCCGACAAGCGATGAGCCCGTCTCCGGCCTGGCAGACTCATGGCTGCTACAGCGGAGGCAGCGACCAATATTTTAAGATGCCGCTCGTGGCTGCTCGAACCGGCTGCCTGGACGAAACTGTTTCCTGGGATCACCGAGATCCGAGCCACCCCATCAGAAACGTCATCAAGGCGATGTACAAACTACGAAACGAGTATCCAGTTTTGCACGATGGGCTATTTCTCCAACAGCTGTCTAACCAGACCGAGATGATCACGTACCCTGGTAGCAACGAAACCTCTACCGAGACCGGTCTGTGGAGCGTCATGCGTTCTGCTTTCGAAGGCGTGCAAGACTTTGGAAACTCAACGGCCGTTTGGCTGGTCTACCACAACCGAAACGAAACGACCGAGTACTCGTTCGACTGTACACTGAACACGTCAGCACTCATTGCTCCCTTCGATGCAGGGACCACGGTCAAGAACCTCTTCTTTCCCCATGACGAAATCACGTTGACCGAATCGACCAAAAAGCTAGGCATCAAAGGCTCTACTGAATATAATGGCTGCAGTTCAAAACTGAGCATGCTGCCGTATGAGTTCCGGGCTTACGTCCCGAAAAGCAAATTCGTTCCTCCACCAGCCATGATTACCATGTTCAGCCCAGGTCATGATTCTCGCGTTATTTCCGCCGAAGCCGACAAGTCGGTCAAGATCGAGTTCCACGTGTCTGCGGCGATGGACTGCGATAGTTTCACGCGCGCCATCGAGTTTGCGTCTATCACGGGCAACAACGCGGTCCCTGAAATCGACAACTCCACCGTCATTTGCACCAGTGGCTCCGATGTGGAAACACTTCCTTACATAGGCGCTGTAGCCTCCGCTTGGAAGTGGTCGGCGAGCATTACCAATGTGGAAGATGGCGTCCACCAGATCATTGTCCGCAACGCCACAACGGAGGACATGGGCAGCTTCACGAACAGCGTGGATCGTTTCTTGATCAGACTCGGCACTGCGGGCAACCCGATCGTGTTTCCGACTACCGGCAACTACTCGTCCAGTCTCCTGACTAAGAGCGCCCAAGGCGACCTGACTCTCCACCATGAAGCTGCCGGCGCAAGCAAATGGCGCTACTCGCTGAATTGGGGCTCGACCTGGAGTGACTGGACCGACTACGAATCCGATACTACTAGTATCGACCAACAACAATGGTCCGGGACTGAATCTCAGGCTTGGGACGGTGAACATGTCATCGTCCAATACTTCAGCAAGCTCCTCGGGAGCAGCAGTATCGTTCAACACGGCGATGTCGACCACTCCGTAACCCGCCGGTTTCCCCATCTTTGGGCCAACGGACCATTCAATCAATTCGGATTCGACGCTGGAATCCACAACCAGCTCCATCAGACGGCAAATTCTCAATGGGAGTGGCACTTCATGGTCGAGTGGCCGAGCCGCTTCCAACTCAACGTCTGGGGTATGAACCCAGACGGGCAGCCGGATCAGTCATTCGTATATGGAGACAACAACGGCGACTTCGTCATCGATCGGCTACCGCCATCGAGCCTGGTCGAGAGCGCTGTGAACGTTACCGACGTACCTCCGGCGCCGTACTTGGCTTACCGACTTGTCCTTGATGACGCTACTCTCAACTACGACCTGGTGCCTACGGGAGACCGCGGAGTTCAGCTTGCCTGTGAGTAGCCTTCAGACCCTCCTCTTTCAGACCTCTCACGTCTCGACCGCATTTCTGTAAGATTTCAAGTGTTTTCTGACACCGTGCTGCAGTGTACATCATTCTCTGGCTCGCCCCTCTGATCAGCGGCATCCTCTGTGTATATGTCTTCAAGGCGTCTTTCTACAAGGTCAAGTACGTGGAGATGGGGCTCAAAGACGCGAGGAGCAAAATCCTACCGTACATACAGGATACTGCAAAGGACATCATGGCCCTCATGCCCCTGTCGAAGAAGGCGGAACAGGAGAAGGCCTTAGTGTCCCAGGGCCAGGGCCGCCGCTGCGTCTTAATCGCGACCATGGAATACAACATCGACGACTGGAACATCAAGATCAAGATCGGCGGTCTGGGTGTCATGGCCCAGCTGATGGGCACGAGCCTTCAGCACCAGGACCTCATCTGGGTCGTGCCCTGTGTGGGTGGCATTGAATACCCCATCGACACGCCCGCCAAATCCATGTTCGTCACCGTTCTGGGAATGCAGTACGAGGTGGAAGTGCAGTACCACAAACTGGGTAACATTACCTACGTCCTGCTTGACGCGCCAGTCTTTAGAAGACAGACCAAGGCCGAGCCGTACCCGCCCCGTATGGACGACCTCGACAGCGCAATCTACTACTCTGCATGGAACCAGTGCATCGCCGAGGCCTCAAAGAGGTTCCCCGTCGATCTCTACCATATCAACGACTACCATGGAGCGGCAGCTCCGCTGTACCTCCTGCCCAACACGATCCCGGCTGCCATGTCGCTCCACAACGCCGAGTTCCAGGGCATGTGGCCCATGAGGACGCCAGCCGAGGCTGAAGAAGTCTGCAAGGTCTACAATCTGGACCAGTCCGTCGTGAGCAAGTACGTGCAATACGGGTCCGTCTTCAACCTCCTCCACGCCGGCGCCAGCTACCTGCGAGTGCACCAGAAGGGGTTCGGCGCAGTCGGTGTCTCGAAGAAATACGGCGACCGCTCCTTCGCGCGCTATCCCATCCTCTGGGGTCTCAGAGACGTGGGCCAGCTCCCCAACCCGGACCCGACCGACACCGCGGAGTGGGACCGGGAGGCGTTCATGAAGGACACCGAGGTCGCCGTCGACGCCAACTTTGAGAACGGCCGAGCAGACCTGAAGCGCCAGGCACAAGAGTGGGCAGGCCTCGAGGTCAACCCCAAGGCCGAGCTCTTCGTCTTCGTCGGGCGCTGGAGTCTGCAGAAGGGTGTTGATCTTATAGCCGACATCTTTCCCGCGGTCCTGGAGCAGCACCCGGATACCCAGCTCGTCTGCGTCGGCCCGGTCATCGATCTCTATGGCAAGTTTGCGGCGCTGAAGCTTTCGAAACTCATGGAGAAATACCCAAAGAGGGTGTACAGTAAGCCCGAGTTCACGGCCTTGCCTCCGTACCTCTTCAGTGGGGCGGAGTTTGCCCTGATTCCCTCTAGAGATGAGCCTTGGTATGTCCAGACCCATGTCAACTTGAACGTTTCCTGAAGCTAACCTACTTGTAGTAAGTAACCCAGAGTCGGCTGAGCAGCTAAATTATGGTACAGTTTGAGAAAAAGACTAACACATTGTAGTTGGCCTTGTAGCCGTTGAGTTCGGTCGAAAGGGGGCTCTTGGAGTTGGTGCCAGAGTCGGCGGTCTGGGCCAGATGCCCGGCTGGTGGTACACAATTGAGTCGACAAGTGCCGCTCACCTACTCGCCCAGTTCAAGGAGGCCATCACCTCTGCACTGGAGACGAAGCAAGAAACCCGCGCCATGATGAGGGCCTGGTCGGCCAAGCAGCGTTTCCCAGTGGCCCAATGGCTCGAAGACCTGGAGACACTACAGTCGACGGCCATTAGGCTCCACGAGAAGCCCAAACCCAGGCGTCAACGCAAAAAGTTGGTCCGAAATTCGACATTGAGCATGGGTAACCAGCCAGGAGCGTCTGGCCGGGAATCGCCCGCGCAGACAGAAAAGCAGGCACAGGCGGTGGAGGTGCTCGGTGAACTTCGCCTTCCAGAATTCCCATCTGAGACAGTGACCTCGACACCTGAATTATCGCCCCTTAGCTCCCGACGGTCGTCAATCACTGGATTCCAAACACCACCCGACAATGTGTACCTGACGCCGAGAGACGGCTCGCCCCCGCTGTCCAGCTCCTCGCTCAGCGTCAACGAGGTGGTGGGCGGGCGCAGCGACTTCAAGTTGCAGCGCGTGGACCTCTTCTTCACGGATTCGCGCGGCGAGTTCTACGACGCCTTCGAGAAGAAGCTCGACGACCTCAGCGCCAGCAACTCGACGTCGGACCTCTGCATCCAGGACTACCTCACCAAGAGCGAGAAGCAGTGGTTCAGCCACTACCGCAATGCGAAACTGGGCCGCCAGTCTGTAGGTGGTTCTGCGCCCAACTCCCGGCCGGGGTCCAGCAGGATGTCAACCATCGCGTTTCCGTTCACGAAGTCCAGGATCTCCTCCCAGGCCCAGTCCGTCGTGACCGAAGCGGAAGAGAACAACAGCGTCTGGGCTTACAACGACGAGGAAGACTTTGGCTTAGCCAAGGACTACAAGCCGCCGGGGGGCGTTCAAAGCATTCTCCAGCGCCGCATTGGTGACTGGCCTATATACAGCATGCTGCTGGCGCTGAGCCAGGTCATCGCATCGAACTCGTACCAAATCACCCTCCTGACCGGTGAAGTAGGCCAGAGTGCATCAAAGCTGTACGTCGTGGCGTCCGTCTATCTGGCGTCGACCATACTCTGGTACATTCTCTCTCGCACCAAACCAGCCATCTACGTTCTATCGATACCGTTCTTGTTCTACGGCGTCGCATTCCTTATCCTCGGCGCCTCGCCCTTTGCGAACACAATCGGCGGGAGGGGATGGATGCAGAATGTCGCTACTGGGCTCTACGCAGTCGCTTCTTCAAGCGGTGCATTGGCCTTTGCGTTCAACTTTGGAGATGAGGGTCAGTCTACTTAACCCCCCTACCCCTGAAGCACTTCCAATCATGCTGACAAGTCCTAGGCGGCTCCCCGGTCACAACGTGGATTTACCGCGCGACCATCATCCAAGGCCTGCAACAGATATACTCCCTCGGCCTTTGGGCCTGGGGCAGCATCATCTCGACCTCGACAGCCGCCGGACAAGCCCAGAGCGCCAGCCTCGCCGCCTCGCCGTACCTCATGGCTGTCTGCGCGCCCATCGCCGTGATACTGTGGGCCGTCGGCCTGCTGCTCTTCCTGGGCCTGCCGGACTACTACCGAGAGACTCCGGGTGCGGTGCCGATGCTGTGGCGGTCGCTCGCCAAGCGCCGCACCATCGTGTGGTTCCTGTTCGCCGTCGTTCTTCAGAATTACTTCCTGTCGGCGCCCTACGGCCGCAACTGGTTCTTCTTGTTCGGCTCGCAGCACGTGTCGACGGGCGCCGTCGTGCTGCTCGCCTTGGGCTTCTTTGGTCTCGCCTGGACCGCCATCCTCTTTGTGTTGTCCTTCTTCAGCCGCAGCCACCCATGGCTGTTCCCTCTCTTCGCCGTCGGCCTCGGCGCCCCGCGCTGGGCCCAGATGCTCTGGGGCACCTCGGGCATCGGGCTCTACCTCCCCTGGGCCGGCGGCCACGTCGCGTCCGCGCTGGCCAGCCGCTCGCTGTGGCTGTGGCTCGGGCTACTCGACGGGATCCAGGGCGCGGGCGTCGGCATGATCCTCATGCTGACGCTCACACGCGTCCACGTCGCCGCGGCCGTGGTCGCCGCGCAGGTCATCGGCAGTCTGGCGACCATCGTCGGACGGGCCTCGGCGCCCGACAAGGTCGGGCCCGGCGACGTGTTCCCGGACTTCTCGCAGGGCGTTGGCTTCGCCACTTCCAAGGCGTGGTTCTGGGTTGTGCTTGTTTGTCAGCTGGGCATCTGTGCGGGTTATTTCAAATTCTTCCGCAAGGAGCAGGTCAGCAAGCCTTGAGCAGTTAGTGCTGTATGATAATTATGATAGATGGATTTTTCTTGCCCTGTATGCTAATTTAGACCTTACTGCGGCCCTTTGAGCTGGGTGAACGACGCCTGACGCGCATAGATATCCTTTCTTTAATATGTAACTAGAGACTTTCAACTCGAAGCACTCTGTACAAGTTCCAGTATTCTATAACTACATGAGGATGTGTCTATGGACATTATATACTTGACTTGTGGCCCTGGCCGCATGCACGTCATGCAAGGTCTTAGTTCACTCCTTCCTTCCTACTGCAGACGCCTCTGGGGTCCATGGATCAGGCTATGTAACCCTCGCGTCGAACATATGACGCTGGAGTATGTCCCTGATATTATCATCTCCCTCTCCACAGCGTTGCCGTAGAACGCCACGTCCCTCTGTGTGACCGCGTTTATCGTCTCGGTAGCCAGGGCCGCCAGATCCGTAGGCCGATCATTCCCGTCTTCGGCCAGACATCGCAAGACGATACTCCGCAGATCTGCGTCGAGCGATGGGTACGGGTCTGGCTTGGACGCATCATCCGGAGTCAGGTTGTTTCCGTAGGTCGTGAGTTCCGGGCCACCGGGGACTTGGAACTTGACTGGTGGTGGGGAGTACCTGCTGACTACGCCGGGTTCGATCGCGAGTGAGACGCTGATGTCCAAGGTGATGAAGTCGAGCATTGTCTGAGATCGCGTTAGACGCGCAAGACGATGGGATCGGACTTTGGGGGGATCCTAGTTACCCTTCCAATAACGTCGAACAGGTTCTGCTTCACTCCAGGTAATTCTTCACTGTTTTACAAGTCAGTGCTTCCCGCCTTCTCAGCTTGAGGTCGCCACCGTGGTACGTACATGGAATCTATATGCTCCTGCGAATTGCCGAAGTCGATAAGCTTCACCACGGGGGTCAAGTCATGCTCGACCTCTCCTGGCACTAGTGATCCGAACATAACTGTTCACGTTAACACAATTCTGGATTATGTCAACAAATAAAGAGAACGCGCACCATTGCCAGAATGAACATCATTGTGCACAAGTAGGCCTGGTGGTGGTGCCCCCGCAACTTCTAATATATGCTGCGGATTTGTAGTTCCAGCTGGTATCGGCGGTGGCCAAGCCATGGCAATGCACATGCGTACCACTTCAAATATCGTGTTAGCGAGCCCTACGATCTAATTAAAGGACTGTGTTGCCCAGGTTAAAGGGCAGACTTACAACACATCAATAACCTCCACAACATCCTGTTAGGCAGCGTCTTCATCTTCTGCCCACTGCACCGAATGCAGAAATCGAGAAGCGTCCCATTCTCGCCAAACTCCAAAAACAGCCAGTCCTCTCTGTCCCTGCGCCACGACGGAGCAGCTTCAAAGATGGCGGCAAAGGGGTCGCCGGCTGGCACCACCAGATATACGACATGCTTCGCGAGTCTCAAGGCCTACCAAGCTGTCAGTTCCAGCCGCAAGCCCCTTTCTTCAGGACAGGAAGTCAACCACGCACCCCCAGCCACCGCTTCTCGTTCACCCAGTCGGTATCGGGGGGGCTCGTCGCCTCCTTTGCGAAGCCCTTGTCAGTTTTGAGAATCAAGCGTTGTGCCGTTGGCTCGACCTTGTTCTTTTTGGTAGGCGGAGCAGCGGCCCCGGCTGGGGCGTCGGCGCCTCAATTCGAGGTATGAACTTGACAATTCACGTTTGCGCAAAGGCTCCGGAATCAACGGGTTTCTCAAGGGTGAAGCGCTTTAGATTGTCCTGGTCGAAGTACAGCTGTATTTGTTTACGTATCGCCTCAAGGTTCTCCTTGGCGGACATAGTTGCTTGCAGGCGGCGGTAGTATGGTGCCAAATGCTCGCGAGCTCTTGCTCGGTCGAGCGATGCTTCCCAGTATTAGAATTCGATTTCTTAGGGGAGAGCTGTCTGACAGACTGCTCTTTGTCATGATGATGCAGATTCGTGAAAGGCCGGCGAAAACGTTTTCGTCTTTGCCATTGTGCTCCGTTGTCCCGCCTCCGCCTCGTTAAACAAGATTCAATTGCGCTTTCTGTGGAATCCATCAGAACGCGTCCATGCGCATAATCAATACATTGTTCTATTCATGAATTTGGCCATATTGAATGAGAAAATGAATCGATGTTAGAAAACAGACATGGGCGCGGCTAACAACCTACCAAGTCACCGTTTGCCTGAAGCCCACCAATGTACAGAAACGGAGGTCTGTTGGATTCTGGGCTATGTTAGCCCATCCATAGTCATCCTTCAGGATCACCATCCCCATTCGTAACTCTGTCACATACGTGGCCAATATAAGGCCCCGTATCCTTTCCTTTAGTATCTTGGATATATATAGGGCCACTCTGGCCGCTCCAGAGTAGCTAGAATTCCTCTCCTTAATAGAACACTTTGAAATCTCACAAGGTCCCGTTTGCAGGATCTGTAGTAGCAGGAATAAACAGTCTTGTCCACCCACGAAAGATTACCTAAGGTATATACACTTGCGCTGAGCAGATAAGATAAGGTAGCTTCAACCTCAATGGGTTGACATAGAGTCGAAAAGATCAAAAAGAAGGAAAGGGGGGGGGATTGAGAAAGGAAAAAGGAAACACGACTTCCGAATCGGGGAATCGAACCCCGGGCCCGAGAGTGCTCAGTTGATGAGAATCTCATATGTTAACCACTACACCAATCCGGATATAGAAATTTCGAAATTACGTTCGTTTATGACTCCTGCCTGCTTCGTTGTGGTGATGGAAAGAGCAAACACACGCGTTGCGGCGTCGGGCCTTCCTCCGGCAGTGGCTACCTGCGTTTGCCTGTGGACCGATTCTGAGAGTACCTTGACATTGCAATACATACATGTGTCGAGTATTGCTAACCGTTTTCAGAACTACTCAAATTGATCAACCGAGCCCGAATAAAGCAGTTACATGTCTAAGTACATGTAGATACTTGACCGATGACTCACCGGCGATGAGGATATCTTAACCGATGTTTGCTTGCCGCCACAGGATGTGGGACAATACCATGCACTGCGACACATCGGCTTCTGCCAGAATTATCCGACAATTGGTTTGAGCTGTCCGCCGTATTTCGATCAGCTGACGAAGAATTGTGTAGCCATGAAAGAGAGCATGTAATACTTCATAGGCCCCGTGGAAGGAACGAGCCAAGTAAGACCATATCTCCTCTCATATCGTCCGTGACCCGTAGAAGGTAGTAGTGTTTTTGTTTTTTGTTTTGTTTTTGTATTTAACGTGGGGGGTAGCTCCTCAGTAGTGCAAACCACGCCTCCCAGAGCCATTGCATCGCAAGGTTGTAGAGGTGTCAAATTAGATACATTCAGATCCGCGCACGAGCCTATCCTCGCTGTAGCGGTACCAATCTGGAGTGTTCAGATGGTTTTAGTCAATACCCAAGCACGATTCCGTCAGAAAAACCTCCTATCTAGTGACAAAGCGACCCAGTGAACCTCAGTTCTCTGGTGTACATATCGTTCCAGTAGCCGTTCGATATATGTCGCATTGGTGGGTGGAGTAGGTGTTTGTTATCTGCTGGCGAGGGAAACCACAAGGGGGAAAACCTCGCAGGAGTGGGTATTGTGGAGACAAGCTGCTTGGCTATCGGGCTCTGCGATAAAATGGGGCCTCTCCACTGTCGTGTGCTGGTTATCGACTCGCACAAGCCGGGTCAGAAAGGGGGCCATAGCAGGATTCGAACCCACTTGTTCTCGTCGCCCACCGCACAAACGAGAACACAACCAGGCGCATTTGACCATTGCGCCATACGGCCAGAAGGTAGTAGTGAAATGCCGTCTGGGCTATGTTCCTTGAACCACAGCCATAAGTTAACTTTAACACGACTCTGTCTGTAAGTTCCACCGAAACCGCAACGGCCGGCATGTAGGCATTGCCTCAAATGGACTATCGACGGCTTACTAATGGTGAGTAACTGTTCGCGGCTTGAACAGACGTTATCTCCACGGCGGCTTTAACAGCCTGATTAATCCAGCCCCCTGACCGGAAGGGGGCCGCATTCTCACACCGACGTGACTGATCTGGATGGAGTATACTTCATTTCCATTCGGTCCCGAGGTCTTCGATCTATGGGCTGGCCGAGAGTCCGAGACGGCAGGCATGCGATGGAGTGGGCGACTGCACATCATGTGGAACTGGATACCTACATGTAAGTTACTCGGCCGATCCCGTCAGCCCGTTGCGACAAAAGGGCGTCGAAATCGTCTGCGGCCCCATCCCCACGCCAACCCCAATGTGACTGGATCTGTGCGACTTACCGATGATCATACCAGGATACAGAATGCAATGTAACCCAGGGATTCAGTTTCGCTTCCGCGGACGCGGCCTCGCGCCGAGTGGACGGGCCGATGAAAGACGCGATCCTCGAGTCGAGACATTCGGCTTGCCGACAAGCACCGAACAGCACCGACGATGACTAATTGTCCCAAAAGGGCAAGTGTTCCAAAAAGGGGCCGGGCGTCCTCATGAAAAGCAGTATGATGTCGTGGTATAGCTGTTCGGCAATGATTATAAAGGATGGCTTCGTCGTCTGCTGTTAATGGACCCGTTGGCGAAGTTACGATCCATCGCCATTGAGAAACAATCGTATCAGCAAGCACAATCTCTAGCCCAAACGTTCTCATCGTCGGTGGCGGCCTCGAAGGTCTGGCTCTTGCTCAGGTCCTCCGCAAACAAGGCGTCTCATTCGAGATCTTCGAGCGCGATGCGAACGAAGCCGCAAGGTCCCAGGGGTGGTCACTCGCCCTCCACAGGTGTTGAACCCACAGCAAGCCATTCAGAGGGGATGACGCGGCAAAACGTGAAAGCTTACAAGTATGAACAGTGTATTGGACGAGCTGCTTGCCAACGTACCAGATGATATGCCCCCGTTCATGGAGTCTGTCAGCGCACTGCATCCACTCAAGCTAGAACACCAAGCTGCCTTATATTACGGCAATCAGCAGCGCATTGGGATTCCGAGCGCTCCAGGGAAAGTTTGGGTGCGTGCAAACCGCTCACGATTGCGCGTTTGGCTGGCGACCAACCTCGATCTCCAATGGGGTAAAATCGCAAGCAAGGTCGAGCAGGGCGCTGAAAAGGTCACCGTGACCTTCAGGGATGGCTCCAGTGCGACGGGCGATGTGCTCGTGGGTGCTGATGGCATGCATAGTATCGGTGAATCTCTTCCGCTTTCGCTGCTTCAAAGTTGCCGGTATACATGTGGCGAGCTGACGTCCTAACAGTTAGAGAGCATGTTCTGGGAAGAAGCAACGAAGAGATCCTCAGGAACCTTCCCATTAGCACCATCACCGGGGAAACCACGCTCAGTGAAGACGCTTTCTTGCGCCAGTTGGAGAACGCTCACAGCGTCTCCCTCAGCGGCATCACGTAGAAGGACCACTGGAGCGTCATGCTCCAAGCCATCGTGAAAGTGCTCCCCGATCAGCAATCGGCGTTGTACTACTGGATCATTACCTGGCACAACCCAGTGGTAGAGCATACCGGCCACAGTTTCGTCGACGATATGAGCCCTGAGGATCGACTCGCGCTTGCTCGCAAGATCACGGAGCACTTCGACCCGAAGCTGAAGACGCTGCTAGACAACACCAAGCCCGAAGGCGTCAACCCTGCGCCCTGGCTGCCGAAGGACGGTGTGATAGAGGCGATTCCCGTGTCGCGCATCACTCTCTTCGGCGATGCCGCGCATCCGACATCCCCGTTTAGGGGTGAAGGTGGCGTACACGCTTTGCGCGATGCTGTGTACCTCGGCAAATTCTTGGGCCAGCTGAGGACAGCGGACACGGCCAGCATTCATGAAGCGTTCACAGCGTACCAAGAGGAGATGGTGCCGCGTGGCGCTTCCGTCGTTCGTGGCGCCCGGGCTCAGGTGGATCTCTATTATAAGGACCTAGCTAAAGTCAGAATGCTCGGTCAGCAAGCCGTGGGACTGCCGAAGGAGAGGATGGAAATGGGTACTGACGGCATACGCAGTATCGTGTTGGAATGATGTTCAAAATATCAGTCCTTTGAGTCTTGTAGTCTCTTTTCATCTTCGGGAAATGTAGGCAGATGGAAATAGGTCCAAGACTCCAAACACTGTTTCTTCGTTTGTTGGAACTTCCGTTGTTTGCGTTCTTGTCGTCATAAGTGAGTATCTGCATCCTAGTCCAGTCAGTAAATCCATTCGGTGCGTTTCTGTTCGTCTTCGGTACAGTGTCACGTAGCCGGTGCGTGAAAAGGAGTGATAGCATCCCTTACCTACAGCGTACAAGTAGGACCACGGGGAGAGGCGGAGTATGCATGCATGACAGATACTAAGATCTTGGGCTGATGAGAAATGGTAATTCATCACGGGGTGGGCTACAATACAGTCTGAACATGCCCGGCTGGAGGTGAGCGGCATGGACGAATACAGGCCCGGGGGTGGATGCTAAGGGGCGGCGAGTGAATTACAGTGCTGACCAAGTGCGAAGACAGTCGGACCAATGAAAAGACCCAAAGAGCAGGTCAGGATCAGGAGGTACCTCACTATGTCTGGTCCTCTGACAATCAGGCCAATCAGAACATGCTGGGGAAGATCAGGGCCGGAAGGTGTGCAGGCAATTTTGTCCCCTTGACCCTTGGGCCAATGGGAAGCGAGGATCAGGGCCGCAGCCGTGTCAACGATGCGGCTCTGCTATACATCTACCAATCAGCCAGTCGGCTGTTTTCCATGAAACTCCAACATCCGAATCAAGGCTAGCTCGATCTGTTGCGTGGCTGATTGTGTGCACCCGGAGAGAGGTGGGATTTTACTACATAAGTCACAGCACCATGCCGCACTTCTCCCATTTCCTTCACTCTTGCACACATCCAACACAAAACAAAAACATCCTGAGGACACTGCACCACTGCCATCATCATCTTCTTCCTCTCATCTACCTCACCATGCATCCACTGCTTCTTCAAGCATCATCCACTTCTTGCCATCATGGCTTTCATCCATCACCAGTCATCCTTGGTCTTGCATCATGATCATCACCACTGTCATCTTCCACTGCCTTGGTCTGCACCACCGACCACCTTCACCGATGCCATCTTCCACGCCTGATCTCAGCCATCTGCAGCCACTCGCAGCATCATTCTTCATGACGACAGATGCACACACCAAGAACCACATGCTCCTCAGAGCATTACCAGGTAAGCATCCAAGCATTCACACCCAACTATCATTGCTCCCGCACCTCCACCTTGCACATCTGTTGCCGTGCTGAAATTTTCTCCTTCCTGCAGCTGTGCATCGCTACGCACCACAACACCCACACGCACTCAATCAAATTCCACCTTCACCAGTCACCTAGCAACAGTGCTCCACGCAGCCGCGACTCTCCCTGCACTCACCTCCCTTGTCCACTGAAACCACTCTTGAGGCCGGTACGGTAAGCTGCGCAGAACACCAGCGTCCCAGGGCTGCCAATGGCTCTTCTGCGCAGCGACTTCTTGTTGCCGCTCATAGCGAAGACTCGATTTGATACCTGGAAAGCCTCTTGACGGTGACAGTGGCTTGAGACGAAGAGCCGGGGTTTGTTCACCGTTGTGCTGGCGGTGTCTTGAGCTGACTCGACCTGCTGACTTGGGACCCTGGCTGCGATATCACCACCAGCCAGCTGTCGAGATCACCTACGGGGATCTGAGCAACGCAATGCACATTGCATCTACACGGTTTGTTTTCCCTATCCAGTCCTCTCCGCCATTGCCTGCTGATTAACTCCAGTCCTGCCTTCCGCTTCACCTGCCTCTACACGTCGAACTCTCTCGAACGAGCTCCATTCCGATATGCTTCGACGCATCTACACACCTGCACAGCTCGACGTCATCATCTCAACCGCTCTCATTGTCTTCAGTGGCATGGACCGGGGCTTGACAAGCCCCCTCCAAAACTCAGGTGGCAACAAGGCAGAGGCGAGGCAGACGGCAAGGACATTCGCAGAGAACGGAAGCGGAGGGACATGGAGGGACCGGGAGTTGGAAGGGTTTTTTTAGGACTGGGAATTTCTTATAGGTATTGGGCTAGGACTGAAACTAGATCGGGGGTTCGAGGTATTAGGGGTATTGACCAGGGCAAACGAAATCAGGATCATTACTAGCACAGACTTATTGTACTTTTGCCTTGCCATGCGTTATTTTTTTTATTAGCAGCTTGATCGTTGGTGTCACGAAGCCTGCGGCGGTGTGCTGGATACTGGTGTTATATTCCGAAAATAACAAGGTGGGAGAGAAAAGGAACAGTTGTGTGTACAGCTGAGGCTGCAGCACATATGGTTCAAATCTCCTTATCTAATCTACACGTGACCTGATGACTCAGCATCCAACCATGTAGATGCAGCTGTACACCGTCACATTTCGTCGCTTATTTTAAAAGCTAAGCATTATCTATTTTTCTTAATATTTCATGTAATAATAAACTTATACGTTATTTATTGTAATAAAAATAAGCGTGGTTTCAAGTAAGAAAGGTAATTACCGGCTAACTTGAAAATAAAAAAGGTGACTTTTTATTTTATTTTTAAATCTTTTAACTTCTTTTTTTAAATTAAAGCTATAATAAAAGAACCCCTCGTTCTTTATATTAAAATCTAAACGTTACTTATTTTTCTTAATCTTATATATAGTGTGGTAGGTTTATGTTATTCGTAGTAATAAAGGTACTGTGACGGTCAAGCACCTGTATCCACCTAGTTGGATACTTAGTCATCAGGTCACGTGTAGATTAGATAAGGAAGAACACCACTATATATGCTGCAGCCATTTGGGTGCACATACACCTGGATTCCTTTCCTACCTCACCTTGTTATTTTCGGAATACCACAAGTTTTCCAGCACAACGCCACAGGCACCGTGACAGGTGGTTTACTTTATTATTCTACCATTTATTATTACTCTTATGTATATATACTTAACGAACTTCTTTATTACCGAAATCTTTTTATTTTTATTTTTGTTATATAAAAATCGCACCATTTCGCTTTTTTATTACTAGTTGAAATAAACAATCTTATAAACGCTAGCGTTCAAAGCTAAATCCTATTTATTTTTCTTAATTTTATACGTGGTTATAAAGGTGTATCTTACTTATAATTATGTTAAAAATAAACCCTCTTTATTAACGCACTTAAAGAAAGCTAATTTACTTAAATTCACAATAAAAATTCTACGAATATATAAATAACATTGTTTTATTACCTTTTTGATATAATACTTTACCGTTATATATATATAACGTACTTTTTTACAAAGTGTGAGCATTGTTGTGCTGTTAGGTATGGGCTGCAGCTGTCCGCCAGGTGAAAGGGATAAAAGGGGCACAAAAGGGGGTGAAAGGTCCATTATGGTGACCAGTGGCAGGTTTGTTGTTCGCTGTTAGGCAGTAGGGCATCGAAGGGCTGTCACACCTGTATTTAGGTAGGAATCTCCCCCATGGATCCATAGTCAAGACACGGACTATAATCCATCCCATTCTGACCCCTGGATTTCCACATCAAGTATGCCTTTTTCTTTTATCGTTATATAACTCTTAAGAGCATTATCCGTGAAACGATAAGTGCAGTATGAGTATGACAGTGTTGTTGTATTCAGGAAAAGGCCTATCAACTGAGTGTTGGTGGTAGAATACACTTAAATGCCCTGTGGGTCCCTGTATGACCTAACAGCGTGGCTCATTCCCACATACCGCTTACATATACAGATGTATACTGCTCACAACTATATAACTACCTTTTTTACGTTGTTATTTACCTTTATAAATACGAATAAAATCTCGTATTTTCATTAAAACCCTTTGTTGGAACAGGCTTGAACGATCAATCATAATACTCGAGGATGGTGTCAAGGTCATGATGTTGCTGATGGTTGGATTGAGAGGAATCTAGCTGGACTCGAAGGTCTGGCCAAGTGCCCTCTCAATCCACTATCTTATCTTATCTAATCATACATGTGGGTCCTAGTATAGATGGTTTACAGTCTGGAATCGCATGGATCCAACACAGGATACTCTTTCTTTCATGGTTGCGATTCCATGAAACTGTCTTTCCAGGTGATCTCAACGCTGAACCCAGCCTTCAACTCGAACCGTTGTCTTGTTATTAGAAACAAGACTATGAAGAGCTTTATTTGGAGACGATTTGGTCATCGAGTCAGCAGGGTTGTCTTCACCATGGATCCATCGGATTTCTGTGATCTCATGATTCTTGTATGACTGCCGGAGTGCCATGACGTCGATCATCAGGCGCTTCTTATTGGTAGTGCTGAGCTTGACAAGGCACTGGTATAGCGAGTATGAGTCCGTGCAGAGGATCAGGGGGATCGTAGGTAGTTTGAGGCGTTGGCAGATAATTGCCAGTGTACGGTGGATCACGTATCCGTAGTCTAGCCAGCAACCATGCCATAGATTTCAGAAGCTAGAACGCCCTGAGTGACTCTCTTGTATTTGATAGAGGACCAATGAACAATGTTTCCGGTCAGATCGAATGTGAATATCTCGTTATTGCCAGATGATTTATTCCCAAGAATAATGACAAATCCAATCTGTGATAATAGGTCCTTATTATTGGCGAATGATCTGTTAACAAACACAAAGAGTTTAGCAGTAGATAGGTCAGTCATTATGAATCAAAGTCCACGTGACTTATTGTCTAGTTGCTATTAAATGCATTTATTTAGCATCTTGATATCTTTGTTAGAGGGTTCTTGGGCTTAGGCTGCGACAGAATAGTCAAATACAACTTCTGGTTGACAGATGGAGGCAATGTAAGTGCCTCTTGCTCGTTGCTCAATAAATTTCTGCTTGTAGTCCTTATCACTTATGTCAATCAGGACGAGCTTGTCAGCTTGTCCTTTTTGAGTCGCTGTCATGCTCTCAGTCTGAAATTCTAGGCGGTATCCGTTAAAGTTGCCAAAAGAACCAGTATCAAACTGGGTTCGTGGCTTTGTCTTGTAGCCCACTTTCCTCGTTTTGTCTTTTTCCTTTTCTAAGAAGCCGGTAGTGCCAATGACAAAGGTATCATCAGTTTAAAGGGCTGTAATAACAAAGTCGTTGCCTTTCTTCGTAATGAATAAATAAGGGTCGTATACGGATGTCTCCATCTCTAGTCTTTCCTTATGGTGGGCAGAGTATGTGTCATATTAATGATTCCTAGCTTCTGCGATTCTGTACAGGGGTTTGTCGACGCGAAGAATTGTACCCTCTGGATACTTCTTCTTTAGTTCAATGGGCAGCTTGCATAAGACAAGACGATTCATAGGGTATCGTGACTGCGTATAGGCCATGGTGATGTCTCGAGAGGCAGCGAGGCATCCTAGCCGTCGTAGGGACGGTGTCAGGGCCATTGCCAATTGTTGGCTGCATCGCATGATTGTCAGAGCTTGAGTCATGATATCGTGCTTTTCATGATCGTTATATCCTTGAATGACGAGTCTGCTCTTTTCGTAAGGGCGGTCATTGACACCTTTAAAAATATGGACGAGACAAAAGTTAAACAGTTGGGTGTCGCCGTGAATCTTGCTATCGAATAGAATGGGGACAAGCACTTTATCGGCGAATAGAGACTCAATCTCAAGGACATCGAATTGCTCGAAGGGTGCTCCAGGGGCTGTGATCTTGCCTTCAGTGCGCAGTTTCAGGGCGAGAGCGTGATCAGTACGCTCTTTGTGCAAAAAGAAAATGCCATATTCATCTTGCTGGACAAAGGAACCAGCAAAGTTCTCCTCTTTGCTTGTAGTCATAGTGGCCATCTGTACCACGTATATTTTTCTGGATTGGCCTCGCGGTCGCTTTGTGCTTTGGACGGGTGTAAGGAGCTTTGGAGGGCGGCCGCGACGATGGGGGAGTGTTGGTTCAGGATATTCAAACGGAACGGGGGTATCGTGGTTATCGACCTTGTTAGTATCGAGAATCGCATCAGGGTGACGGTTGTACGGCTTGACGTGCGTGCGGTTGAATAGGGTTGGTCCGTTGACTATCTCAACGGTCACTTCTTGGTCTGTTACCGATGGAACCTTATACGGGCCTTGATATTTGTTTTTTTCGCGATAGACAAGGACCTCACTGCCGATGGGAAGAGAGAGAGGCAGTGTTAGGGTTGTATCAGGGCTGTTCCTTGTGTTTAGAGCATTTTGAACGTTGTGCTTGGCTCAAAGCTTACGTAGTTCGGTCATTGCTTTAGCCTGGGCATGGGCACATTAAAGCTGCGATTATGTCAGGGGTGAATCCATCGTAACGCTTGGATAGGCTCCAAAGACAAAGAGTATTAGTATAAGGCCATCAGGACTGGCGGTATCGTTCATAACTTTTACTGCCATTTGTAGGGCAGCTTCTTGAGAGATCCCGGAGGATTCGGCTCGGATGATCTTGTAAGAGCGTTGAATAGGGGTATGATACCGTTCAACCTTGCTAATCGACCAATGAGCTTCGACGGGAATCTGGTGACAGGTGATTCCAAGCAATCGGGCTTCAGCTCGGAATTCTGTGGTTGCAAAGTTGGTACCAGCGTCATGTGTTAGGACATCTGGAGGACCAAGATAGGTGTTGATCCAACATCGTTTCAATGCTTCCCAGGTCTCCTTGGCAGACAGGTTGGGGAGGAATTGGGCTGCCTGGAAGGCTGTAGCGGCATCAACGCAGTGAAGGACGGGCTTGCTCTCCAAGTACATAACATCGACGATGACTTCGTAGTTAAAATCAACATCCTTTTTGATGGAAAACTTGAAACGTTATGGTGACGGGCCTTTGACCTGGCAATGATGGCAAAACTTGTTGATTATTGCAATGGCATCTCGATTAGCTCCATTGCCAGATTTCTCCAAAAGCTTGTGGAGCTTGCCAACAGAAGGGTGGCCGAATCGGGTGTGAATACGTCGCAGCTCGGCTTCTGTGAGAAAAATACCAGTTAATGCAGTCGTGGATGCTGAGGGAAAGAACCAAGGGTGGCCCTATTTTTGGGTAATTGGGATGGACTTGCCATCTCGTAGTCGGATCATCCTATTGG